TTATTGCGACAAGTTTCGATCTATATTAGATCATCTTCAGGCGAACTACAAAAATATGTAAAATTATTATAAGGTTATGTTAACATAATAATGATAAAATTAACGCCGTGTCTAGAGTCCCGTCAGACGGTTCCCTATTGCGCTCCCGTTAACAGAGTGACGTCATCCAATGATGCAATCTTAGGACGGGAAGCAGATATTTTTTCCTTAACTAAGGTCCCGAGTCCGCCCGCTTCGGTGGAAAACCGGCTTAAGACACTAAATTTTCTTAGCTAACTCAATTTTAATTTATATCTATATTGAAAAATTACACTAATTTTATATACAGTATTTATAATTATTAATTAGATTTGTTTTTTATTTTCAGTCGGTCCCGTTAAAAAATACTTCGTACTTGTATTTTCATTTATATTTTAAGTACAATCAATTTTTTACTTTGACTTTAAACTTTTTGCATTACGAAGTACTAAAAAATATTATTTATTCAAATTAATAAGTACAATTATTTTTGTATTTTTACTTTAAATCAATTTAGAGTAAAAAATACAATGTATTGATAATTTTTATTTTCTCCATTCTCAAGTAACTTAAATATTTTAATGGCAATACTTTTTAAGTACAAATCTCGCAACTCTGACCAGATGATACGAGACTTTTATTGGTCTTGTCTAGAGTTTCGTGAGAGACGTCTACACTCAGAAAATTTTTTAATAAATATAACAAAAAAAGTAGTTTGTCTTAATAAAGTAAAGATCCCTATTCGTCCAACAATTGCTTTTGTTACGGCAAAAAGATCATTTTTATAAAAATTATTTATCTACAAACGCTGCTTTCAGTAATAGCATTTGTATTAATTATAAAGTAAATTTACGTTATGTTTATAAAAATAACAATCTTTCAGATGCAGAAACGCATTGATAAATACAGTTTTTATTATTTGTCCAAAGAAACAGTTCTATACCGATAACAAAAACGTTTTGTAGTGTTAATGAAACCCTAATGTTATTATTCATAGAAATATTGTAAATTTTACAAATCCCTTTTCGTTTAAAATAAAACTTTTTTTATTATTTTAATAAAATTTATGTAAATTTAACAACAAACTAATTGTTAATTCAATAAACTATTTTCATTGTAACAATGGTCAAATTTTCAACCTACTGTTGGGTGTTGGGTAGTTTTTTTTAAATAATTGCGAGGCATTAAAACAAATTATTTATTATAACAAAAAAATTAACTCATATTATATAATGTACAAAATAAAAAAAATACGAACTCACTTTTTAAACAACAAGTCTGCTTCGTTTATAGAATAGACCTTAAATATTTCTGTTACAAAACGTCGGAATTTTAATTTTCTTAGTGATCTTTTTGATATTTTTATGATGCTAGATTTTACCACACTTCACTCGCACAAGTGAAATCAATAAGATTATAACACAGACTGGATTATAAGGTATGTTCACCAAGGAGAGCTCTGGCCCTTTCCCCCTCTTTTTAAGGGAAATAACAAAAATTTTGTTACCATTGCAAAACAATAGTAAATATTAAAAAAGTATTTTTATAACAATAAAATATTTTTGTTATTTTTCTTAACATAAGCTATTAACAAAGATTTTATAACTGAAATAAAATTAATTTGAATTACAACGATAGTTACTTAAAGAAGACAAATATGACATAGTAAAATGAACAAATTTTACTATAACAACTGCACATTACTTTATGTAAGCGCAATTCACACACAACTATAGATTTAACAAAATCATTTTAAGTTCGACAAAGATTTAATATAAACATAAAGAATTTCTTATTGCCATGACAATATAACAACTATTACTTTGCATGTTGGATGAACATTTTTTTTGTAGAAGCTCAACATTGCTGCTTCATATAGTAAATAAGAATTTTATTAACAGTAAAAAAAGTTTATTCTGTAAATAAAAATAATCTTATTACTTTGACAAATCGTAGGTTTTTGTCCCAATAAGACACTGAAAATTTAATAAAAAAGGTACCTTAGGTGGTACATTTTTTTATAGCCATTACAATTTTAAATTTAAGTTAAATAATATTATTTTATTAATCGCTTACAAAATTAGTTTTATTATCAGTGCATGTACATTTTTCTGAGTGTAGCGTCTCGTGCAAGAGTGTCGCAGTTAATTTTTCTGCAAAACAGCAAGAATGGCTTTTAAAAGAAAAGCCTCTATCGGCTATTATACCAGTAACGATAAATATTACGCGTCTTGGCGAAAATAAACTATTAATACACGATGCTCCCAAATTGTTTTTAGTATTTTCTATAATCGTCCAGTAAAGTCTGCTCGTCGGTAACTGTTATTAAAAAGATTTTGCAACAATTATTTATAATGATATTCAGTTTAAAACATATTTAAATATGTATATATCACGCCGCCCATGCTACACAAAGAAAACGCTGAATTTGGTCCTAGTGGCGGCCCGTGACATTTTCTTTTGGTGAGGCAGGGGCAATTTATTAAATATTTTATTATCTACGTAATACAAATATTCAATTTTTATATTATAAAGTAAAATATTTAACTTATCTTAAATTTTCTATAGGGAAGCACTGCCTCACCTGCCTCTCCTGGCAGACCACCAAATTGGTCCATATTTACTTTTTATAGTGATTAAATTCAGATTAGATAAACTTATAAACAAACACCGTTGACATAAATCAATATGTAAAAACCGAGGTAAAAAACAAGAATGGCTTTTTTCTACTCCTATTATGGAATATCACTTTTATCTATGGAATGGCATTTATTCCGTAAAGTGTTACAGAATGAAATATTCTATCATCTGATGACAGAATATACACTCGTGGAGACATCTCTGTTTTTAATATCTAACAAATTTTAGACCGATCCAACCTCACTTTCTTTCAATTAAATTATTTGTCTATGGTATTTTTTGGAAACGTAGAAAAAGTATAGTCTGAAACACGTTTGGAATTGCATATTCCCCTCTCGTGAAACCGTCAAACTCGCCTTCGGCTCGTGTGACAAACTTTTTACTCGAGCGTAGGGTTGCAACTTTTCATGAAAAGTTGAAATTTTTGAAAAGTTGGGTTTTATTTTTCGGAAAAGTTCGGAAAAGTTGGAAAAGTTGGAAAAGTTGAGTTTTTTGTAATGTAAACGTATAAAACATAAATAATGCTTGTCAATGTATTAAAATAATTTATTTCTTATGTATTTATACATACGTAACAAAATAACAAAAAAAAATATCAAACAAAATAAAATGAACAGACAACATAATAACAACAAAAATAAACTAGGTTTGAGTTAAAAAAATCATATTTTTTAAGTAAAAAAGAATAGAAATTTATACACACCATAAAAAAACACATACCTACGAAATAAAAAATATTTACAAAAAAATATGAAGCAAAAATTATTAAATTTATTGAACAACATTGTTAAAAATGATGGAAATTTACAAGTAAAAATTTAAAAAGAAAAAGAAAATAAAACTTTCTTCTTTTCCACTTTTATATTTTCACTTGCAAATTTCCATAATTAAAAAAAAATAATATTTTTTTCCTACTGTGTATAAATTTAAAATACGTTATAATAAAACAATCTTTATATAATAGAAAATGCTGTTAGCAGACACCATTTTTGATAAAGTTTGACAGAATGTTATTCCAAAAAACAATGCTTTTAACACGTTTTACTAAAAACACTTCAAATCTAGCGATTTATATCGAATTTTGACCAAATTATCTACCAATAAAAATGTATGGTAGTGGAAACACTGCAGTGTAACCATGGTTAGAAGTCAACTCATTGTTCATTGGCTCCTAATAACCTAATAACTTTTCCAACTTTTCATAGGGGGTGCCGAACTTTTCCAACTTTTCCAACTTTTCGACCGAACTTTTCCTTGTTTGCAACACTACTCGAGCGGAATATGCCGTATTCCAAACTTGTTACAGAATATACTATTAATAACCCTTAACTGTGACGTGCCGTCAATTCTCGTCTCGTTGGTGTCATGGGAATACATTTTAGGATTTTAACTTTAACAATACTATGAATTTTCTTATAAGATAAAACATTGATACATATTGAGAACCATTGTTTAAACATAATGTACATTAGGCCTAATCTTTTTAATAGGACTTGAAACAATATAAAAATACCAACCTATTATTTTTAAGTTTAAAAACTCAAAGTTTACGCTCTTATATCTTTTTAAATAATGAAGGTATTACAATTTTGTGTGATTTCTGTATATCATATGGTGGATTTATGCAGCACAAATTAACATTAAGATTAAGATTAATTTAACATTAATAGGAGGGTATTTATGCAGCAAAATTAGTAGTAAATTAAGCATGCGTATAAGCTAAAGTAATTTTGACATCTGACATTTTTGGTTTGTTTGAATTTTGTTTTAATCCCGTTTTAGCATCTGTTAAGTAAAATAAATGAAAACTATAAACTCCACGTCAAACAATAATCCAAAGAAAACAATCATTGAATAAAAAATTAATCATTCAGCAGTAAGTTTCATTTATTTTCGGGTATGTTGGCATTACTGACACGGTTTATTTAAAAATTGCGCCGCAAACCTGCGCAGGAGGAATAAAAATTAACATTATCATTAAGAAGATAAAAGTTGGCCATCTCTTAATGTTAACTTAATGCTAAAGTTAATGTTAATGTGTTGCATAAAAGCTTCCAATGGATTACGTTCATTTAACTTCTTAATGTTAATGTTAATCTTAATCTTAATGTTAATTTGTGCTGCATAAATCCAGCATTACACATCTTAAAATGTGTCTCTAAAAAATATCTAAAACAGGTGAAAATGCAACAGTTTTTGAGATTCATTTAAAAATTCTATAGACTGAGAATTAAAAAAGTTTAACTCACTCATTCCGTAATAATCAAGAACAAATCGAGTACAATTTTTAGCTAAACATTACATTTTTGTTGATCGTCTGTCCTAACAAAATATTTTTTCAGGGTCTATCGGCAGCTTTACTGCTCTACAACAAAAAACATGGCCTGCAAACTTCCGGTTTGCAGTTCCTGTTTTGGCTCTTACTGGCGCTGTGCGGCGCTTTCCAGTTCCGGACGGAAATCTGGGGCGCCCAACAGGAAATACCGGACGAATACTATGGCTACGTCAGTTACATGATCTACTATCCATTAGTACTTTTGATGGTCTTACTAAACTGCTTTGCCGATCAAAAACCCACTAAAACGGAGTATCCGCCGTCAAACCGACCATGTCCGGAAGAGGGCGCCAGTTTCGTTTCACGCATGTTGTTCGCCTGGTTCGACAAGTTGGCCTGGTTGGGCTTCCGGCAACCTTTGGAGCCCAAGGACTTGTGGGACATGAACCCGCAGGATTCTTCTGCTGAAGTCGTACCCTTATTCGAAAAAAATTGGAAAAAATCACTTGCCAAATGTGAAAGGTAAGTTTCTTGATTATATGACATATATGCACATTAGGGTGCTTCAAAAAAATTTTTTTTTCCCTCTTACCCTCTCAAATGTTTTTATTTAATATAAAGAAAATCCTCACCAAATATGGGCGTTCCAGCTCAACTCTAAGAGGTCGCTGTTTTTATTTTAGTTTCCCATTGAATTAACATGGAAAAAAATTAATTTATGTTTGGAATTTTATACCTCTGTATCAAAGTAACTTATGGCAATGATCATTGCAGTTTCTTATATAAAATTTAACGCTCTACAAAAAAAGTTTCTTAATATTTTTCGATAAATTGATTTCTTCTAGAGTTATTCGAGGTCAAAGTTTGATTAACATCAAATTTACTGGTTTTTTTAATTTTATGGTACAATTAGCAGACGGGAGGTGAAAGGGGGCAAAACAATGCAAGGGGGACAAAATGGGGTACCCAAAAAATTTTGTACAAAAATATTTTTTTTAGATTGTTTTTTTCGGTTTCTAAATTATTTGAAAATTGACTCACAAGTTCACGCTTTTAATCGAAAATAATTATTCTGAGCCTGTAGAGCGAGAAAAAGGATGGTACAATTTTGGAAAACTTTTCATATGCTCATTTTTTGGGTACCCCATTTTGCCCCCCCCCGCTGCCTTGTTTTGCCCCCTTTCACCTCCCGTCTGCTAATTATACCATAAAATTAAAAAAAAAAACAGAAAATTTAATGTTAATCAAACTTTGACCTCGAATAACTCTAGAAGAAATCAATTTATCGAAAAATATTAAGAGACCTTTTTTGTAGAGCGTTAAATTTTATATAAGAAACTGCAATGATCATTGCCATAAGTTACTTTGATACAGAGGTATAAAATTCCAAACATAAATTATATATATAAATTACCAATGGGAAACTAAAATAAAAACAGCGACCTCTTAGAGTTGAGCTGAAACGCCCATATTTGGTGAGGATTTTCTTTATATTAAATAAAAACATTTGAGAGGGTAAGAGCGAAAAAAAATTTTTTTTGAAGCACCCTAATGCACATAGACCAACATATATGTATCTAAGTAGAAGCTTTTTATTTTTAGCGCTGCTTTTGTAGTAAATTTAATTCATTCCCTTGCAAAAAAATGCCAAAATTTTGGGCATTAAGTAATGCCTAACTTTTAGACATTAATGCCTAAAAAATTCCTAAGTTAGACTTGATTTTGAGTACCTAACTTAGACATTATGCTTAACTTGGGAATAATGCCTAACTGGGGAATAATGTCTAACTTAGGCATTATGCTTAACTTGAGAATAATGCCTAACTTAGGCATTATGCTTAACTTGGGAATAATGCCGAACTTAGGCATTATGCCTAATCGATTCAATAAAACTATTCATTTAATAAAAGGGGTGTATTTTTGTATGTCGGTATATTTATTTAAAAAAAATGAGTAGTCAAGCGCTTTCGTCATTTAATCAAATGACATCATCCGGGCTAGCCCTGAAAAGTAAGTAAACATTAGTTTCTATAGGTGGGTTAAAATTAATTTTTTACTTACTTGTCAAGGCGAGCTTACATTTATATGTAGCAGTGAACATAAGTTGAAAAACATATAGCCCTGAAGGGGATTTAACGGAACAAATTTTACATTTTATCTTTTACAGAAAAAAAACGTTAATTTTGACGTTTATTAGACAAAAAAGTAGCATCTACCAGTCATATACCGTACCTTCATTTGCAAGCTAACCATAGAGAAAATACATTGTAACTGGACCAGATAAGTCTTAGTCAGCACGAAGCGAAAAACGTTGTAGAAATCATTTGGACGCGTGGACGAGTAGGCTAGCATGCGCCGTAACAGTTGACCTTGCTTCATACATCGATGCTTTATTATTGTTTTTTATTTTGTGCGGTGTAAATCTGGTAAAATTTGTTTTAGTACGCATGTCTCGACGACGCATCCAAATCATTTCTGAAAAGGTTCTCGCTTTGTGTTGACTGCGACTTATCTGGTCCAGTTACAATGTATTTTCCCTATGGTTAGCTTGCAAATGAAGGTTCGGTATATGCCCAAAATAGGTATTTAATCTCAACACATTGAATCATTGAATTCACATACCAAATTTTTGAGCAATTAATCCTAACCCTTTGCATTTATGCTAAATTATTGGGCATTAATACCCAAGTTAGGCATTCAATCCTAACTCTTAGGCATTTATGCTGAACTGTTGGGCATAAATGCCGAAGTTATGCATTCAATCCTAACTCTTAGGCATTTATGCTGATCTGTTGGGCATAAATGCCCAAGTTAGGAATTTAATCCTAACTCTTGGGCATTTATGCTGAACTGTTGGGCATAAATGCCCAAGTTAGGCATTCAATCCTAACTCTTGGGCATTTATGCTTAACAATCAGACGTAATTGCCCAAGTTAGGCATTCAATCCTAACTGTTAGGCATTTATGCTTAACTGTTGGGCATTAATGCCCAAGTTAGGCATATATGCTTAACTTTTCAGCATTAATTCCTAATTCTTGGCATTTATGCCTAAGTTAGGCTTAATGCCCAAAATTTAGGCATTTTTTTCGCAAGGGTTGTAGTCTGTGGTTGTAGTAGTTTATTAAATTAATAAAGTGCATGCAATATAAAAATACACCATATTGTTTATTGGGATTACAATGTATAATTTAAAACGGTCACTACTTTCAAAGTTAACGATAAAAATCAAAGTTTTATATAGTTCTTTTTTTGGACTTTAAAAACGTCAAAAATTTGTTTATTTGGTTTGTCAATTCTATTGACAATCGTAATATAGTTATACTTAGCTTAATTTGACATTATTTTGACAGTTATCTAATTCAAGTTTACAGTTCATATTTCTAAGACAGAAGTATATAAAATTATTTGTAATATTAAAAATTTGAATCGAATATTTAAACAATTTAAATTATTTAAACTATTTAAATATTTAAACCAATCCAATATTTCAAATTATGTATCCAAATAATACGAACATTTGGATTGTTGAAATAGTAATATGTAGTATATTTTATTTGAAATCCGAATAATTTGTTCATTTGTCACACATTTATTGATTTTTTATTCCAACTTCTCAACTATCCTATTTCCTTTACAGAGTTGCAAAAAAATAATGCAATCGTCATATTTTTTTAATGGTAATGTAGTTTGTATACAGGGTGTTATGTAATTAATGTTATATATTAAAATGGGTTGTTCCTTAGGGTCCATAAAGAAGCACCTGAAACTTTTTTTTTCTAAATTCCAAAGTATAAAAATAATTTATAATATCCTTTATCCTACCAAAAAGTACGACACTGATCGACTAGGAACTTTAGGTTAATCTGGTGGATTTATTATGTTATGGTTGGTAACAACAGTTTTTCCAAAATCTTTCAAAAAAGTTGCCAAGCATTGTTTAAATTTAGCTTAATTACAAAAATGACAAAATTAACAATGCAAATTGTCAATTTGGCGTTTTTATTAATTGTTGGTTATTTCATTTTTGTACTGAAGGTAAATTCAAACAAAATCTGCCAACTTTTATGACAGAATCTAGTGCATTTCTTTTAAATTTTAGGTTATGTTTTCAAATATCTTAACTAAGGGAAGTGCTTTTGGATTTATTTACACAAATTAAATGTTTAAAGTTTAACCTGTGAACTGGTCCCAATTTCATCTGAGTAAACAGAGAAAAAAACTGATGAAAAAATTAATTTTGTGGTTATGGATTTCAAATTTCAATGCTTAAGCTAAAAGCTGGATCAGTAAATAAATACAGAAGGGTATTAGAGCTTTAAGGGCATAAAACTTTTGTATTTATTGAGTTTTTATTTATTTTTTGCAAGAAAAATTTTTAGTAACAATTTTTTACATCTGGCAACGCCTAGCTACTTTGTTGGTTGGTATCACAGACCTGTAGGTCTGTGGTTGGTATCTATGTACTCAGAAAATACAGGTGTGCAGAGATAAACAAGTGTGTAACCAGTGGCGTATCACAAAAAATATAAAAAACTTCTAATGCATATTTTTTCTTTATCTTTGGAAAAATGTTTTTTTAATTATTTTTCCTTTATTCCTTATGTCAAAAGGTATTCAGTATTTTAATATATAACATTAATTACATAACACCCTGTACATTAATCATTAAAAAAAATTGTAATGATAAATATTTTCATTACACATTAAAAAATTAATAAATAATGTCGAACAATACATTACTTATTACAAAATAAAAAATGAGCAATGAGAGACCGTACATTACACATTAACAAAAATGTGTAATGAAATGATCAGGGGGTTGATGGGGTGATTTTTTATATGGGGCATATTCCACCAAGTCTGACAGTATTAAAAATGTTGATTTTTGATTTCTTTTATTTTTCGATATTAAAAATCCCTTTCAAAAAAGTATTGAATCCGCGATGGTATGAACGAATAATTAATTTTGAACGTCTGCTTTGATAAAAAACAATTGAAAACAAAAATTGAAAAAATGGGTTATGCAATAAAAATATCTTCCTTGCCAACAAAAAATTCGATAATCCTTCATTTCTCATTAACATAAAAAAATTGTAATTGAATATTTTAAAATACTCATTACAAATTAATAATGAGTAATGTAAAAAAGAATACATTACTTATTGGAAAAAATGTAATGAGTAATTAACTTAATTTTCATTAAAAAAGAAGTAATTCATAATAAAAATTATTCTAATAATGTGTATTGAAACCTTAATGCATTATTTGCAACTCTGTTTCTTTATGAAACCTTTTTCTTAATCCTACATATTTTGGCTTTGTGGTTGCTTTTATTTTTCTTTTTGGCTAGAGCTTCGAGTGCAAAATTTCACATCAAAAACATCAAAATTAAAAAAACGACTTTTCGTCGTACCTTTATTACAGTTCCTCGTCCTCAAACCCGCGCGCACACTTTAAATCCAACTCAGCCAGTGTGGATATTGTTAACAGCTCGAAAAAGAAGCAGGCATCCATTTTACCGGCATTAGTTGTCTCCTTTGGACCCATGTTTTTATTCGGAGCTATGTTCAAATTGGTGCAAGACCTCTTGACTTTTGCCAGTCCACAGATATTAGGGTGAGAAAAGAAACAGTAGTGGAGTGGATAGGAATATGGAACCTCTTGCTTGTTCTATAATAAGAGGGATTCCATATTACCTTAATTTTATTCACAAAATACAATATTTCATTTTAGTCTTTTAATCGTATACGTAAAAGAAAACCAGGAAGAATGGAAAGGTTACTTCTACGCAGCTTTACTTTTTGGAACGGCCACTATTCAAACCCTGTTTCTTTCTCAATACTTTAACCGTATGTTCATAGTTGGTATGAGAATTCGTACGGCTTTGGTGTCGACGATTTACAAAAAAGCCATGAAAATATCGAACGTTGCAAGAAAAGAAACCACCGTCGGTGAAATTGTTAACTTGATGGCTGTAGATGCCCAAAAATTCGTCGAGTTTACTGCATATATAAACATGATCTGGTCTGCGCCGTTGCAAATTTGCTTGTCCCTCTACTTTTTATGGTAAGTAACGCTTTATTACAGGTATTATTTTTTCTGTTTTATTTTAACATATTATTGTTTAAAAAATATTGACAGGGGACTGTTTGATCATCAAACAGATGGTATAAAAAGTCTAATGCCGGTTTTCCACTAAACGAACAGTTGAGTTTGGGTTTTGTTTGTGTTTTTAAAAACTTGCAAATCAAAAACAAAACTGAAACAAACCCGAAACTCTTGTTTCCATCAAGCAAACTAAGTTTTGTTCGAGTTTTGTTTTTGTTTTCGGTCCTTTTCCATTAGTTGTCGTGATTATGTCAGAACACACTTTTTCAGTATCAACCAACATGTTTAAACGTCATATAAAAACGGATGCATGAAAATTAGAACATTTCTTATCGGACGATTTTATTGAAAAACGTACAAACGTATAACGGACAAACGGATACATGAAAATTAAGCTTTAAAATTAATATTAAGGGCTCAAATTTTCACCAATTTTTTTTTTGCCATTCTGAATGACATTCTCGATATATTTTTCAAAAAAAAAGTCAATTTTTTTTAGCCCAGTCTAATATATAGGTATATACCTATATGTGTATCTATTAAACTTATCCAGCGTTACAAAACAAATTTTCTATCCTCTATCTATAAAATAGGCGCGCCGCCGAGGCAGTAGATTGTGTGCGAGGTAATTAATAAGCTTTCGCCGCCGTGTTTTATATACTATTTTTTTTCAAGCTCTAAATTTCGATATTTTTTTGAAATTTTGTAACCTCATTTTTAGGTTAGGTTTAACTGTCAGACGACAAAATGTCACCATTATTGTTCAGCGGTCAATAATAATTTGACTTTTGAACTAGTACAATAATGTAGTGACTACTAGTTCAAAAGTCAAATTATTATTGACCGCCGAACAATAATGGTGAGATTTTGTCGTCTGACAGTTAAACCTAACCTAAAAATGAGGTTACAAAATTTTAAAAAACTACATTGTAGTATTTCTATATAGTATATTAGGAACACTACAAGGGCAGAAAGTGTGAGATTCCTGCACTGCGCGCCATGATGCCCGAGGCGAAGCCGAGGTCATCATGGCGCGCAGTTCAGGTCTCTCACACTTTCTGCCCGTGTAGTGTATACTATTTTTCTTACTACCTCGGCTGAAAATACAACCCGGCCGAAAATACGGGATAAAATTAAATGTGTATATCGAAATTGAAAACAAATTTTGGGGTTATATTAGAGTTGCATATGTTGAGTACTAGTGCACACGACTAAAAAAATTTTACTCCCGCTATTATAGAGGGTGCGCGTATAGCTTGACCAATGCATCAAACGTAAACTTTCTGCCGTGGAATCGGGGACGAAACAACGTATTTTCAGTTGAGGTAGTAAGAAAAATGTTTCTTACTTACCTACCAATTTAGTATGAAATTCGTATCCAGACTAAGAAAATAAAATAAAAGTCGAAAACAAAAAACACAACACGACCGTTTCCACTAAACAGACTCGAGTTTCAAAACACGTCGAAACCTTTTGATGTTACCGCTTTCGAGCGGGACTCGAAAAACAAAACTCAAACTGTCGCAAAACACGCCAGTCTTCAAAAAGTTTGCAAAAAGTTGCAGTTTTGTTTTATTCGACACGAGTTTGTGTTTTGTTTTTGTTTTGTCCGTTTGGTGGAAAACCGGCATAATGATGATGATAAAACCTAAAAATAGCAAACAATATTTTAGAACGTTAAAGAACTTTAAGTTTAGAATGCAAAGTTTTGGAATTTTTTTATCTGTGGAAAATAACTAATAGTAATAAGTTTTTTTTCATAAATAAAAAAGATAACAAATGTTATCTTTTTTGTTAAAAAGTGAAAAAAATTGACACAAATTTATAACATTTCGGTACAAAAAAACAAATTTTAGGTACGAATTGGGCCCCTCAGTTCTAGCTGGTTTAGCCGTAATGATAGTGCTGATTCCGGTGAACGGCTTCATCGCCAACAAAGTAAAAATTCTGCAAATCAAACAGATGAAGAACAAGGACGAAAGAGTGAAGTTGATGAACGAAATTTTGAGCGGCATCAAAGTTTTAAAATTGTACGCTTGGGAGCCCAGCTTCGAAAATCAGGTGATAAAAATCAGGAACAAGGAAATCAAGGTGCTCAAGCAGAGTGCCTACCTAAACGCTGGTACTTCGTTTATATGGTCCTGTGCTCCATTTTTGGTGAGTTTCTGAATGTTTTTTGTGCCGTACCTAGGTGAAAAATAAAATTTATTTGTTTTTTTGAGATGCCAATTTTTTTGTTGTATTTTTGGATATTTTTTAGTTATTTATGTCATTAGGCTGAGATGTGGGTCTTTCTTTGCTGAGCTATAAGTTTGAGCGTAGCGCAAAAAGACACTTCTCAGCCTCATAGCATACATTTTATCTTCAAAGCATAATTTTATTTGCTAAACGATTCCTAAAACGTACAATTATAATAATAATTATTAAAAGTAGAAAGTGAGTTTAGAGAAATCTGACAGTAGTCGAATTTTTTGATTTGTTCAAATAGGTTTTTTACAGACTAGGAGGTAAAAAACTTTACCCAAATGGTCTAAATTATTATTTACTTTACTAGAAACTTGTACCACAAGAAATTACGCTTAAACATCCGTATTGATTTTCCATTTGATAGAATTTATTTATATATTTTACTTATTTCACATGTCTTTTGTAATAATACATATTTTTATAACTAATTAATATTTCATTGAACTTTAACTTTTTGAAATTATTTTCAAGGTTTTTTAAGATTTGATGTTAATCCCACACATTGGTAACTTATGATTTTAAACACCTTTTATTTTTTATTTTATTAGTAATTAGGTATATTGTTTTTAAATATTTATTATTTTTAATTGATTGTACTAAATTGTAGAGATGGGAATCGGAAAGTTTCCATTTTAAGGAAACTTTCCGTTTTGGAAAGTTTCCAATTGGGAATTTATTTTCATTTTGAAAGTTTCTTTTAAGCTACCGGAAACATTTCTTGGAAACTTGTTTTTTTCATTTAAATGTCAATTGTTTAACCGCTGATTTTCGTTAAGGCCATGATACAGGCCAAGAAACTTTGAATAAGAATTTAATATGTGTTAATTTAAAGCAAAAGAAGAAGTATAAATAATGTAAGTTATGTTACATAACCTCAATGAAGCCGGATTATTCAGCATCATCACAAAAAACTAAACTAAAATACAGCAATAACACTTTTATTTACCTGTTTGGTTTTAAAAAAATCCTATTTTGTGTTTTTTACTTTTGCTATTTTTTTATGTGCAATGGTAGTCACTACTAGTCAGAAATGTTAATTTTATTTTGCATGTAGTTTTTTCTTTCATATTTTATCAGTCAGAACTGCAATACTATTTTTAGTATCTTTTACTTTTCAATATTCCTATATATTAGTTACTTTGTCCCTTATAATTTTTTTTACGTAATATCTAGGATTTACTAGCAGTGAATTTCTAATAGTAAACATTTTATTTTTATTTTGTAGGTTTCAGTATACAATAGGAATATTCCAAAGTAAAAGATACTAAAAATCACAATCCACAATGCGTGGATTGTGCTAAAAAATAGTATTGCAGTTACATTCTTATAAACATTTTTTTTTTATTTTTTTTCTTAATAAAATTTGACAAAAAGTTAATGTGTTATATATTTTTGCAAATCCCTGGCATAAAAAAAATATTTTCGCAATAAAAAATATTTTTTTGAAACTTTCAGAAAATTTCGGGAATTTTTGATGGAAAGTTTCCGGGAATTTTCGTCAAATGGGAATTTTCCCATCTCTACTAAGTACTACTACTTAGTAAATTGTATTCTACGGGTTTTACAATTTTTTAATTAATTTTATAAACATTTTAATAATTTCCAGAAAATGTAACTCTTTTGTATTATATTTCGCGTACCCCTAGTTACGGCACTGTTATTTTGTGTTTCTGATTTTTAGTTATTAATTTTTTTTCAGACATTGTTATATTTACTAGATTTTTTTATGTTCAATTTTTGTGTCAAACATTTTTTATGATGTGTATCCCAACAGGTAACGCTGGCCACATTTGTGGTATACATCTACAGCGACCCAACCAACACTTTAACAACGGAAATGTGTTTTAAAGCGCTCACATTGTTCAGCATTTTGCGACTTCCCATGTCACTGTTGCCAATGTTTTTAGTTTACGCTATCGAGGTATTTTATTTATTTGAAATGAACGAAAGTTGTAATACCATTCTCACCTCTATTATTTCATTTTATAATTTTCTATGCCAATGAATGACGCTTGAAACTGATTTCACTTTAATTGGATTGGATATTCTGGATAGAGGTTTCTTGAAAGCTTATCAAGTATTTTGTTTTATTTTAGCTGATATTTAATGGTATACCTTGATGAAAATGTTTGTAAATCTATATATCAAGTTACAAACTAGACAAGCAATCGATTTATGTTAACTGGATTTTTTTATTTATTCTTTTGTGGAAAACAAGGATAACATGGGTAACACTGGTAAACAGCCATTTTGCCATAGGTTGACCAAAAAGAGTGATTTGGGTGCGCTGATTCCAAAAATAACCATAATTTTGCTGAATTAGCATTTGTTTTCGGGATAATGTAAAAACGTAAATATTAATATTTAATAATAATAATTCGTAAATATATTTTTTTAATCAAATACTTTAAACAAGGCTCATTGGTCATGAAGCTATAAACGTACGTCTATTTTTATAAAATGTGAGCGATTGTCCATTAATTTATCTACAATATTCTTTAATATTCGTTTAAATCCGACATCAAATAAAAAAGTTATTTGCGATTGAAATTCATCGAAAATTTGTGTGGATCGATTATTTTGCACGTGAGTGTATTAAAATAACTTCAAAAATGATTATGTTAAGCAAATATTTTATACTTGGATTTTTTTTATTACTATAATTGCAAAATATTATCACAAAGTATTAAAAGGTACAAAAAGTGACAGTTGTATTTAGAAGTAAACGAGAAGAGAATATTTTATGGGCACTGTACGCAAAATTTTTACGCTCTACCAGTTAAATCTAGTTAACTGCACTACTACGGCAAAATCAAAAGGTCAGTTCATAAAATCTTTTCAAATATTGGCGTCAAGAAACTATTTAATACTTTTATATTTTTGTATTGAGATAATAAAATAATTTCCACATTTAGTATTATTTTACAGGGCACTTTATTTTAACAAAAACTAAAAACCTGTTACTAACTTTAGCCCGTGACTAAAGTGCCATAAAGCCACAACTTGTCAATGTGTATTTAAAGGGTAATTTAGTGTCATGGAAACATGTACGATAATGGGCGTTTTAAAGGTGGGTGGAAAAACATTTATAAAGTCGAATTGGCTCCAAAAAATGGTTTTTTTAGTAAAATTTGGACTTATCTAGCTACATGACCAGGGTTCCCACCAATCCTGAAAAACCTGAAAGTCTTGATAAAGTCATGAATACAAATTTTGAACCTGAAAGTCCTGAATTGAAGCTAAATATAGCTTAAATGTCTTGATTTTCAATTAAAAACAATTATTTTTCTTGATTTATAATAATTTTTATCAATTTATTGTTTCATACATTACATAAATTACCTATAGGTATGTTACACAAAAATTTTCAAATTATTTTTATAATATAACCTGGCAAAGCTTCTGGGCAACCCCATATACATATTTTGACCTGGCAACACTGCATTCCCATGTGTCATTTTTAAACGAATGCAATTTCAATAGGTGCGTTCTTTTCGACTGAGATCTCAGCTCACTTCAGTTCAGTGGCGGCTCGTGGGTGTACAGGAGGGTGAGGCTACATAAGGTTAATTTTGTCTAAATACGAATAAATTTCCACGTCACCCGGGAGGTATTATTCTCCGACGCGTTGACCTTTTTTAAAATGGAGCCGATAGCACTACTAAACCAAAAAATAAACAAACAAAATATCACATCAAAGACTAGTTTTAATCTTAAACTTAAAAAATAGTCTTAAAAAAGTTAAAAATAAATAAATTAATCAAAAAATAAAAATAAAACTAAAAAGTCGACCCCTACCTAAGTATTAAAAAATATAAAATACTATACGTCTATCTTTTAAGATTGAAAATTTATCTATTATTTGGTCGTAAAATTGTTGGTCTGCAGTGAGATTTAAAAGTAATTCTAAATTTTCAAACCGCGTCTCTAATTGAAGAATTATGCAATCTATTATTTCAAAATATAAAATTTGCTTAATAAAAACTGCTAAATCTACCTTAGTGTGTTCCCTACAATAATTAAATAAGAAATTTTACTAATCGAGACAAAAACTATAAAAGATCAGCCAAAAGTTTTAAATAATTTAATCTGAATCAAAACAATAACGTGCTCTACAAGCGATAAGATAAGACTGGCAACCTTCTTTGTCTCCGCTGGCATCCCACCATAAACGAACGACCAATCAGAACAAACCAAGCTAACTTAATTTCGCCTCATGTACGGTGTTTATTCGCGAACTTACGGCGATATTTTTGTTGGTGAGTCATTTTCGCTTTCAAGACGTAAATGGGAGCTTCCGAGGCTGTGAAAATTTCGCCTCTGTCCAAGCCAAGATACATACAACAAGCGACTCGACGCGCTTTGCGCCTGGATTTTTATTTACGCTTAATATTATTGATTGGTTTTTTACTTTTTATTGGGTAGAACTGTTGTAAAAATACACTTGTAATAGGCAAAAATATAAATACAAAAAGTCGTTCGTTCCTTCATTTTAAGGGTGAGGCGCGGCCTCAGAGGCCTACCCTGACGAGCCGCCACTGCTTCAGTTAATGTGATATGAGATGTAGTGATCTGAGTAAGCATCAAAAAGAACGACACACTCAATTGAAACGCTCAATATGACGGCGCATACGTGAACAATAGGCAACATAACCTAGATAGCTATCTCTGATATAATTATGTTCTGTGTCATATCCTTAATAAGGAAAAACACGAAATTTAAACCATAAGGATTCCTTATGGTTTAAATTTCGTGTTTTTCTATGTTTAAATTTGCGTTGAATTAAATAGATCCGTACAGAAATCTATAAATGGCACTACGATTTTCGTATTGTTCATCTTTTACGGGAGAAAGGAAGGAAGGAAGGCAATCTATAAATCAGGCTTTATCGATAATACCTTCCTGCACCCTTTGTGCATCTTCAGTGGACAAATTAGAGTATATATTAAAGCGTTTCCCGATCTATAATACTTATTCTTTCCATAATTGGATGACAAACAAAAACAACAATTTTTTGATAAGAATATTAATTTTATGACAAAATAAAAATTTATAAAAAAACTTCACTTTGACATGTTTTGTTCAATTTTATTCGAATTATATTTATTATATTAAGACTTAATAATTAAGTTGATAGCTAATTTACAACATTTAAGTTTTATTGTAAAAATTCACCTAAATAAGATTATGTTATGTTATTTAAAATCTTAACAAATCAATAATTTATTTATCCCCTCCACTTTATTTCCGACTTAATTCAAACTGATTCCCCCGCACAGCATGTTCAGTATCGGTGAGGGGGGAGGAAAAATCTCAGCTCACTTTATGTTGAGTGAAGCAAAAAGAACGCGCACATTTGCAAAATTTATCGATGTGAGCTGAGATTAACTGAGATCTCAGGCGAAAAGAACGCACCTATTGTCTCACTAACGGTCATAATTGCACTGATACGGAATTCTTTTTGTTTAATTTTGGTAAGTAATGTAACTTATGTTCTGTGACTTCGGCTTTATGCAAACATGCCAAAGAAAAAGACATATTTTCATCCAGATTGGCAAAATGCAGATTTAAATGGTAATTTTGTTAATATCATAACCCCAGTTGTCAATGACCCTACAAGATTTTATTGTAAAATATGCAACAAATCATGCAGCTTAAGCAATATGGGAAAAGCTGCTGTAGACATTCACATTAAAACGCCTAAACACAAAAGATTCGAAAAAGCCCTTCAACAAAATAAAAAATTGACAATTTGCATTGTATAATTGTGTCATTTTTGTAATTAAGGTTAATTCAAACGAAATAACGTCTATTTTTAGTAACCCTACTTATACTCTTTTAGCTTTTTGCCATATAATTATTTGTACAAAAAAATTTATTTTAATTAAATATTTTTATGTTCGGTTTTTATTAAAAATTTTACTTTGTTTTTATTTTATAAGAATTTATTTTATAACGAATAAATGTTTTTCAATAAAAAAGGTTAATTTCTTGCTAGGCTTGCTAGGCTTATTCACTGTAGTCATGAACCAAGTCATGAAAAAGTTAATTTTTGGTCATGAAAGTCTTGATTTTTTAAATGACAATGTTGGTGGGAACCCTGATGACCAATAAACCTTGGTTAAAGTATTTGATTCAATAAATACGAATTTGATGTTTGTATGATATTTCAAAATCAAAGGAGCAAAATTACCCCAGAAAAGTTGTCGGCTCTTCTGTGGCAAACAAAAAAATCATTTTGTCTACCAGTGTTATCTATTCAGGCTAATGTTGCATTAAAAAAAATTTCCACCACTAACATTTTTGTTGGCGAGGACTTTCTTGATTACCTATTTTTTTTTAATGTTAGTATAGTTTGAGTAATACAAATTGTTGTCTAGTGTTATCATTTTAATATGATTTCTTAATGAGGTGACTTATAATTGCATTGAAATAAATACATATTTCAATAAATATTAAGTTACATAGAATACAAAAAAATTTTAGGTATACTGTTATTTATTTTAACTACATATTTATGCTATATTTTTAACTTTGGTAAAGTCTATAATAATAATAGTAATAATATTAAAGCCATACGTTGGGGTACTAAATATTTATAAAACACACAAAGATTTTTTTTTGTTATTTAGTTCCCTAAAAGCCTAATTTTAACACTAATTTTTCTTATCGTGCATGCCTTCTAGGTGTCGCTAGTGACTTTTGCTACGTACGTGCTGGTGGACGAGCGTAACGTGTTAGACGCGAATAAGGCCTATGTCTCTATCTCTCTCTTCAATATTCTTAGGTTTCCATTGAGCATGTTGCCCATGATGATCTCGAACTGGGTTCAAGTAAGACATTTTATCATTACCTAATAAAACGGGGTACGGCATGGGATCAAAGGATTTTAAATGTGCTATGGTAATAGAAAATTATCCGCGAAATGGGCATCAGTACTCATAATTAGGGTTTTAAAGTGTCGGAAAAAAACTAGAAAAATTGGGGAAAAAACCTGTTTTTTCCGTTTTTTTCCCAGGCCTTGGAAAAGTTGTCTTTTTTGAGAAAAATTGATTTTTTTTTGGAAAATATACAACAACTTAACAATATTTTAATAAAAAAAATCCTTTATTACAAAAAAAAATAAAACTAAATATTAAATTAAGTTTAAGAAAATAAACGTAAACGTGAAATATACTGTCTGTTGGGATTTTTGTTGCAAAAAGGAGTCCATTATGATGATTTATTTAAGTTAAATTACAAAATTATAATTTTATAAATCGAAGTGTTAAATAAAAGTTATGTTAAAATAGCACCGAATATGTTTTTTTTCGGCCCGGTAGAAAATTCTTACTGAATTAAAATAAAAGGAATAATTGTTAAATAATAATAATGCTTTATTGAACTAAAAGCAAGTTCAAAGGCTATTGACCGTAGTCCTTCAAAGGCTATTGACTGTAGTCCTTCAGCCGTAATAATTATTATAATCATAATATTATATAATTATAATCAGCGTCGGAAATTCACTTTATTCTCGATTAGAGATGTGAAAAAAAACATGAAAAAAAAACTAGAAAAAAACCGTTTTTTTTCAAAATGAAATTTTGAGTAAAATGTATATTAATAAATAATAAAGTGAAATGTAGAATATATTAAATTTTTCATTATTGAAAATTTTGACTGAGCAAGAAGAAATGTGCAACGCTCAATCCTAACGAATACCGAAATAAAAAAAATCGATTTTATTTTGGTTTCAACATTTGAAAAAAAAACTGAAAAAAAACAAAAAAACGGACCGTTTTTTTTCAGGTCGCATCTCTATTCTCGATATCAGTGTACGGATACTATCCGTAAAAATTGGGATAAAATTAAAAAGTCAATTTTTCTGAAAATTTCCCAAAAAACGGTTTTTTTCCGCCGGTTGAATTTTTCCAGAAATTTTAAAACCCTACTCATAATCACTTAATTTCCCCACCAACGTTTTGACTTTACTTTCTTTAGTCTAAATAGTCATGAAAATCTAGGCATTTTAAAACTATCTTTCCATTCCATTGCCGCCACCCTATAATAATACTTATTTTTTAATAAACCATGGTGCATTTGGCAAAAATACACAAACACTTTTTTTAAACAATGCATTTGTTATAAAGAGGTTTTTGTAAAGTAAGCTAGAACTTCTTAAAAAAAATTGCATGATTAGATCATTTTTTAATGGTTACAGTTTAATTAAACATTTTTGCAACTAATTTCTTCTAGGGCATTTTGTTATTCAAAATGCCTTAGCTTATTTAAATAACTCACTTCCATTTCATTTGTTTTATTTAGACTTACGTATCGATTAAAAGAATTAACAATTTCTTGAACGCTGAGGAACTGGACCCTCATAATGTGTTCCACGACAAGGATGAAGGTAAATTTGGAAGAAAAAAAGATTTTGTGTTATTTCTAATTATATTTTTTATGTAGTGGACCCCATGGTAATCGAAAACGGAACGTTCTCGTGGGGTGAAGACCCGATCTTAAAGAACATCAACATACGCTTACCTAAAGGTAGTTTGACGGCCGTTGTTGGCTCAGTCGGGGCGGGAAAAAGTAGTTTGATATTGGCATCATTGGGAGAAATGGAGAAGAATTCTGGAAGAGTGAATACGATCGGTTCAATTGCTTACGTAGCACAACAAGCTTGGATACAGAACGCCACTTTGAAAGATAACATTCTATTCGGCAAACCTTACGATCAGAGAATATACAACAAAGTTGTTAAAGCTTGTGCTTTGAAACCCGACTTTGACATGCTGCCGGCAGGCGATCAAACTGAAATCGGCGAAAAGGGTATTAACTTATCCGGTGGGCAGAAACAAAGAGTCAGCTTGGCTAGAGCAGTCTATGCGGATTCAGATATTTATCTACTAGACGATCCTCTAAGCGCTGTAGACAGTCACGTGGGAAAACACATTTTCGATCAAGTTATCGGCCCCAATGGCATGTTGAGCGGCAAAACAAGAATTCTGGTCACCCATGGCATCACATACTTACCACAAACCGACAGGATTTTGGTGATCAAAAAAGGAGAAATATCCGAAAGTGGTACTTACAAGGAGCTTCTCAGCACCAAGGGATCATTCTCTGAATTCCTCATGCAGCACATCACCCAAGACAACTCAACAGGTAAATTTAGATAATAAAATCCTTAATATGTGACTTGGAAAGGGAAAATTAAGTAAGTTTCAATCCAAACATTTGATTTTTGTTTTAGTGTAAAATGTTCTAAGCCTAATTTCCTTCTTCTGGGTCACATACAATAATAATTATAATAATAATAATTGTCCCCCTTTATTAAACATTTTAAATTTTATTATCCAGGTGATGTTAAAGATAATATTGGTAAGTTGCGAGTTTCTTTAAGTAATGGTATGTTTACTTACATTACCTTGTACAGTTTTGTGTGGATAAATGAAGTAGTCCGGCTGTCTTAAAACTAATCTTATGATCCATTTTTTTTTCAACGTTAACTTAAATCGTCTTCCATAATTTTTATTCATTTAGGAACGTGAAAAAGGCACGAAAACGCAGGTACACGTAACTTAATTTTATTTTACATCCTGAACTCTAACAATGATGACCGTTCATTTTTTCATTTTCAATTTATTGTTTTTTATTTTTAACCTCACTCAAAAGATCGATTTTTCTCATTTTTGTTGATTTTTTAGAATTTATTTCGATCAATTTTTTCGCCTGGAATCGACAGGATATATTCGAGTTTATTTAAATTTGGGAAGTGTAATACTGTGCTATTTTTTTAAAGATATATCAAGATTTTAACGATGCGAATTTGAAGTAACAAATGACAGTATACACTGTGTCCCTCACATACTTCCACACATATACCGCTAATTCGCTATATTTTGTATATATAACCTTGTTTCCTTTTTTGAGGGAAAAGTCCACGTATGATACGAATTGTCAACTAAAAAAAATATAACCTATCATTTTTTTCTAAATCATTTGCTTACATCGCCTAGGTTAAGCTTACATAATATTATGTTTTTGCTTTATAAAAAGCAAAAAGTGGCATAATATGAATATTATGTAAAAGCCACTAAAAATCTCGTAAACACAATGGAAAAAACAATGCCAAAACAATTTGTATACAACAAAAAACAAATAAAATGGCCAATTATAAAAACCATTTATATATTAGTATGTCTATGACAAAAACCTCTTGGCTATTGTGGTAGAAATACGACGTTGCCAAATTCTCGCTGTTACATGCCATTATAAAATCTAAAATATCATCATTTTGTGTGTTGATTATTGTTAAATGCTTTTTTTCGTACAATTTATTATAAAGTACAGGGTGTCTCAGTTGGTTTTTCACTTTTTGTGGCCCTGTAAAAAAGTTGTTAGGTGGGTTGGAAGAGTGGGGTTAGTCGTAAACAAACTCTTGGTATTGGGAAATTTAGTCAACATGCAGCGTTACACAGGAGAACAACGCGCTTTTTATGTGCGCGAGTTTTATAAAAATAACAATTCTTGCACTCTCGTTCGACGTTTGTTTAGACGCCATTACAATTTACACGACATTTAACAATGCCCAGGCATTAATTTAATTAGGGCATGGGTTCGTAAGTTTAAAGAGACTGGTTCAATGACAAATAAACGCATAACCAACCGTTTAAGAACAATAAAAAGACCTGAAAACATTGAGATGGTGAGAGCGTCTGTGAGGCAGGAACCAAACTTGTCGGTTCGCAGGCGTTATGTCCACATGATACGTGATTTTTTGACACCTGCTCTTCAAGAATTTGAAGGATGTGACCAAGAAAGCTGGTTTTAACAAGACGGAGCCACAAGTCACACTTCAAATCGGTCTTTGCCCGTTGTTCAGGCGTTTTTTCCTGAAAAACTGATTTCCTGAAGAGGTGACATAAATTGGCCCCCCAGAAGCCCGGATTTGACTCCATGCGACTTCTTTTTATGGGGATATCTTAAAAGTCAAGTTTATCGTAACCACCCTGCCAATTTGGAGGACTTGAAGCACAATATTCGGGCAGAAATGAAAGCCATAAGTGAGCAAACTTTTCGGAGCGTGATTGCAAATTTTAGAGCTCGACTTCAAGAGTGCCAGGAAAAAAATGGGCAACATTTGGACAATATAATTTAAAAAAAAATAAATTTCCCAAGTTTTTTCTTTAATTTAATAAAAATTTGTCAAAATTGATCGATTGTTTTTTTTTAATTTTAAATTCAAAAAGTGAAAAACCAAATGAGACACCCTGTATTTATTTTACTTCCCAAATAGTGACGCCACGCATGCACTTCAATGCAATTTACCGTGTGATTCTCACTTCCCCTAGTTTAACCCCACGAAAAGGATACAGTTTTAGTTAGGAATTATTTGTATATGTGTGGAAGTATGTGGGAATAAACACTGGTGGCGACATCTCTGTGTTTATTATTTAACAACTTTTAGAACGATCCAACCTCACTTTGTTCCAATTAAATTGTTTTGCTATGGTATTTTTTGGAAACGTAGAAAAGTATATACAAAATATTTTATATAAATACAGTGTGACCCATTTGTTTGCGACTCACCCCTGTAAAATCTTTATTTATTGTGCGATTTCAACCGGATTTATTTTAAAGTGTAGATCTTGATAAACTGTATTTTTGGAGCAAAAAACGCCAAAATACAAAGCCTACTATGTCAGTTAAGTTAAGTAATATATGTAATTCCATAATACGTTAGATTTATATTTATTAGTTTTTTTCCGGTACCCCAATTGTGTATTTGTAAGCAAGCAATTCCACTCGACAAAAAAGTATAGTGTTTACCTCGCGTGGAATCGCAATTACTCTCTATTCTACTCTACTTTCATCGTCGGGAGTAATTGCTATGATTCCACGCTCGGTAAACAATATACTATTGTAATTTTATTTAATTTTCCTCCGACGTCAATGCTCTGTATTCTTTATAACCTATTATAATTATTTTAATGACTTATGTCAGTGATAAACCGGTTTTAAGCAATAATATTATGGTGACAGTTTTTTCTTATTCTAATTCTTGTAGGTACGCTTTTTTAATGAATACAACTAACTGTACAGGGTGGTCCACGTAAGGTGACCCATATACTTATCTCAGAAACTCTGGAGTCACAAAAAATTTGCAAGGGAGAAATATTCACGTAGAAAAAAATATTTTTAAAATATTATATTTTCATTAATACAGGGTGTTCGGTTTTCCGTGGGACGATAGCAACTTTCTTATTTTCAATGGAACACCCTGTATTTTTTTTGCATTTTTAGATTCAACACACTATTTTAGGTATACTTTGTAAATATATTAATTAGGGAAATGTTAATACTTTTTGAGTAAAATTAAAATTTATCAAAATTTCTCTAAATGTAGACATTCGCTAAAAGTTAAATCGATCAAAAAGGTGCAAAAAATAAAAACAATAAATTGTATCCGAAAATAAACTGTTATCAGTTTTGAGTTGAGTATTAAAAAATTAAAAATAAATAAGGACATTTCAAAGGAGATTTCGATGTCTTTTCTTAAAAAATAAGCAAAATAAAACAAAAAAGTGAACCAAAAAGTACCCAACCTTGAATCTGATATATCTTAAGAAAACGAGCTTTTCAAAAGTTAAAAATTTACCTACAGTGTAGATTTTCAGCAAAATATAGGTTTAAATCAGCATATAACTTTTAAAATCAAAAAGTTTTTTTAACGGGCATAATTATAGGATAATGAAACAGTCGGACTATTTTTACATTTTTGATCAGCTTTTTAGATTTTATAGTAAAATAGTAGAATAGAATATTTAAAATTCATTCTTAACACTGGTCAACACAGTTTTATAAGTGTTTAAAAAATACTTAAAAGTCATTTAAAAATGTTGACCATTGTTTTTTTATCATTAACCTTTTAATGAGTTATGATTAGTAATATCTTTAATCGTTTTCAAACGACTAATGATCAAAAAGCTTTGTGCTTTTTATTCAGTGTTCTTTATGGTTAGTTTAGTTGTCACACTTTTGCAATTGTCACACTTGGTTAAGTAAACACCAATCGAAACGTTGCACATTAATCATTTAAAGATAATGCAATTTAAAAATTTATCCAACCTCATCATACACGTTATCTAAAACCTTTAAAAAACCGTTTTAATAATAATAAAAGTTAATAAATGTAAATATTGCACATAGTTGAAATATATTTAATCTCCTAATTGTTCTACAGGGTGTCCTGAATATTAAACATTAAGCTTGTAAGATGAAATAAATTACATGATTTGAATCACATTTAATAATGGTTTTATGAAAATAAACTAAATATTATAGAGATATTATTTTGACATGTGATCAGTACTTTATGATAATTTTGTTTAAAAATCAAAGTATGGTTAATTATTTTTATATTATTTGTTAACCCAAAAACTACATTTCGTTATTTAAAATGGCGCTGTGACATCCTGTAGTTATTTAAGTAAATAAGTAAGTAAGCACTATGTCAGGGACGTGCGCAGGAATTGCTCTAGGGGAGGGGGGTTTACAAAATTTCATAAATAATATGTATTTTTTGGTAATTTTTCAGTATTTTAAGTAAAAATTGTAATTTAAAACCCTCATTGGGTTAATTTTTACTAAACTTTAGTGGTTTTGACTATACAAAAGTTGCTAATAAAATTATTTTAGAACCATACACATGTAATAATTACAATGTAGGGAGGTGAAAATATCATAGCTAAACGCTTGGACACGTAAACTTAATTTTTGGTCGTAGATTACAAATCCGTGCTTGGTTTAGCTGTATCAGGTCAAAATTCAAAGATATTGGAAACACCCTGTATAAATTTAAACACCCTGTATAAATTTAAAAAAAAATTGAATTTTGCTGGACCCACACATCGGTTCCAAATTAAATAAATAAAGAATTCTTGCAAAATTTAAAGTTAATTGATCAACCCTAAGGGTTTTTATTAGATAATTTAATTTTTTATTGAGTATAATTGAGGATATTATATTAAATGAAATAAAAAGCATAGAAATGTTGGAACAAGAGGTGAGATATATTATTTTACAAATTATAATATACCAGTATACAGTGTGTCCCCGGATCGGATTTCCAATAGGAAAAACTTTTTTGGACCTGATACAGCTAAACCGAGCACGGATTTGGAATCTACGACCAACAATTATGTTTACGTGTCCGAGCGTTTAGCTGTGATATTTCAAAAGTTAAAAATTTACCCACAGTGTTATTAGTTTATGTGCTTCCAAACTGAAAATCGACAATTCATGATTTTTTCAATGAAGTATTGTATTTTTAATCACATTTTAAAAACCTTAAGGCCTTGTAAACATAACTGGAAAAACTAACCCTGTCGACTTTCTTTTAGATCTCGACGAGCTCGAAGAAGTTCCCGAAGAACTGAAACGCGAGTTCCTGCGTCACAGGTCGCGCGTATCCGAATCCGTATCCGAGACCGGATCGGAAAAAGCGAACGGCTCTTTGCAACGACAAAAGTCCACTGACAGCGGCGGCGAAAAGGGCCGACAACGCTCGCAATCGACCGACGATTCAAAGAGCCAATCGGCCAATGACGGCGAGAAGCTGATCGAAGCCGAAAAAGCCGAAACTGGCAGCGTGTCCTGGGAAGTTTACAAATACTATTTAAAATCGATCGGGTTCTTTTTGACTTTCGCTACCATTGTGCTGAACATGGTGTTCCAAGGTTTCAGCATAGGGTCCAACATTTGGTTGGGAGTGTGGGCCGACGATAATGAGTTAATGGTGAACGGTACGCAAAATACTGCGAAAAGAGATATGTATTTAGGTGTATATGGTGCTCTAGGAATTGGACAAGGTAAGTCGCAATTTTAAATAAAATTTAAAATAAATTTTTCTTATCTTTTTAGCATGTTAATTATTAATTTATTTGCGGCTTTTTATTGGACGGTTATTGAAACAATTTTATGTTTTGATAAAGTATTATGTTTTAAATAGTGTTTATTTAGCATGATTGTTTCAATACCTATTTTGTATTGTTTATTATTTCCTATTAAAAAAACCGTTCTCTTTATTTAGCAAACATAATAACACTGATACAAAATTAAACGTTTTAGGTTTTTTATGATAAAAGATTATATTAATTTTGAAACTTTTGCAATATTGTACAGTCAAACTGTATATTGAATGATGAAAAAATTACTAGTAATAAAATCTCCATGTCCATGTGATTATGTAAGTGGTGCAAGGTCTAAATCCAAATTTGCGAACAAAACTTCCATAAGGGTTTTTTGTTGGGGGAAATTTGGGGTGGTCGTAAACAAGTGCTAAACCTTAACCCATATAACTTGAACTCTGTGAGATAAATTGTTCCCGGGAAAATTTTTTTTCACAGGGGAGAGTTTATTTTGGGGATTAAAAAGGAGAGTAAATTTTGGAAAATCACTTTTTCGAGATTTTTCAACTTGTAATTTTTTCATCAATCGGTATACAGTTTGACTTTACTAATATTAAGAGTATTTTTAATATTCTGAGCTCTTTTAAATTTGTCATAAATAAATCTTTATACCTATTTCCTGGGGCTTTAGTAGCAGAACTTTACCAGCGGATACTTATAAAAATCTTGTGTTTTTCTTAATTTAATTAATTAAAATTACATTCACTTCTGTTGAAAAATTCGACTTATTTTAGCTAATTGAAAAATAACATAAGACAAAATTTAGTAAATAGATTTTGGAATGAAATTTGATGGTCATTGGAGTACAAGAAACATTCGGTTAGGTTTAATACGAAAATATAAATGCATACCAAATTTGGATCATTTATCTTTTATTTCAAAATTTATTGAAGAAAATCTTATATTATATTAAATAAAACTTTAACACCCTGTTTTTCAGAAAAAAGCAATATTTGGAAATAGGTTTGTTATAACTTTTTACTTACATCTGCTGGTAAAGCCTTGCTACAAAAACATTGGAAACCCTATTTAGATTTGTTTAAAATGTTAATAAAACCTTTTCTTATGAAAAATCAAATTCTTAGTTGGGCAGTCTTAATCAGTAGCGAGTACTGAAACCTTTCCTTTTAGGACTTTTAGGACTACCAACTGAAATTTATGCTGTTAAGGTTTCTTATAATTCTATATGATATGGTATTTGGCGTTGTTAATGGGCGAACTAAATTCTTGACTACAAATAAATTTCTTATAAAAAAAACGACCTACTAATACGAATCATTTTGAATGGACTATACTATATTCGGTAATAAACGCGTCTATTTGGTTATATGGTTTTTTAACTATTCAATAAAATTCAATAACCACTATTATTAAAAAAAATCATCTGCATCATCCATTTTTTGCTTTTTAGCTTATGCTTTATCTTTTACTTTTACTGCCCTGTCCACTTTACACTTAATTTACACTTTGTTTTTATTTACGCTTCAATTACACGTTTTTGTTTTAATTTTTATTTTTTTACGAATTTTCAACATTTTTACAGGATTAAAATCATTTTATTCAAATTCATGATGTTTTTTAGCATTTCCCAGTTATATTGTTGCATTTTAAAGAAATGTAGACACCTTCATTGTATGTATGCTTCACATCCACATTGCTCCACATCCACATTGTACTATGCTCACATCAAAAAGTCCCATCTTGACGTTTGAATAAGAAATGCAGGTTATCGTCAGTTTAACGTCAATTTTGTGTTATTTTCTGAAAATAATACGATTTTTTGTATTTTTTATGATACAAGTTAAGACTTGTGTAAATAAAAAATACACTACCTTTTGTATTATTTAAAAAAAAAGACGAAATTGGCATTAAACTGAGATACATAACCTCAATTATTTTACTGCATTACTTATTCAAATGTCAAAGTGGGATTCTTTGATGTAAGCATAGTACTTAAAAAAAATTCGTAATAAAAAATAAAAATAGATCTGAAAAACAATATACGTTTTATTAGAAAATTCTTTAATCAACGTTTTGCTCTGTTTAAAAATGTAAAAATGTTGAAAATGTAAAATGTTTGAAACGAGAACACTTTTAAATCATCGTTTTAACATAAACTATGATTTCGAATCGGGAAACTGGAGAACAGCTACACGAATAGAAAATGTTTGTTGGTTTTCAGTGTTCGCCATATTCTTGTCGGTGTTGGCACTGTACGTAGGCACGTTAAATGCCGCAAAACTGTTGCACTGGCTGTTGCTGCAGAACATCGTTAAGGTGCCTACGACAACGTTTTTCGACGTTACGCCCGTAGGCCGTATCCTGAACAGATTTTCCAAGGACATAGACACCTTGGACAACGTACTGCCGATGACCATCCGCGGATGGATCACTTGTTTTTTTTCGGTTAGTTATTTACCAAACTCACACAACTACATAAAATAAACGTTTGTTTTTTAACACCATATGCACAAATGGTTTTCCTTGAAGATTGGAATGGCTATAATAACAGTGTTTATTTTGTTTGTACATACTACATTTTACCAAAAACAAAATAAACACAATAATAATTATTGGAGTCCCATTCAAATTTTACTTACAAAAAAGCTTGTAGCTATAGCCAAGAGTAGATCCACTAGTACTGTTCTTGTTTCTTAAAAGATAATTTTTTGGGAAAGGTTGGAAAAACACTCGTAGTCGAAACATAACAAAATCTAGTTCCCGGTCCACAATAATAATAACACGGTGGATATACTACCTCATGTTTTTATTCTAAATATACTAGTAGTAACTACACACTGGTCCAGTATATAATCAGATATCTTATCGAAAAATAAATAAGTAAATTTTGGACGAATACTTTGGGATACAGGTTTTAAAAAATAGTTTGCTATAATAAAATTAAACCATATTTTATTTAACGAACTGCCTTAATTTTTACAATTCTGTATACAGTGTGACCCATTTGTTTGAAGCTCACCCCTGTAAAATCTTTATTTATTGGGCAATTTTAACCGGATTTGTTTTTAAGTGTAGATCTTGATAAACTGTATTATTGGAGCAAAAAAACATTTTTTTAAAAAATACATGGCCTACTATGTAAATTTTTAAGAATTCATATTAGCGATTAAACAAATCTTTGCACGGCACTGGATTCACCACCCCTCAAAACGACCCTATAGTAAATTTTATTAAAAAAATTTAAGTAGAAACGATTTTGTAGCTAAATTAAAAAGGCACAATAATTACTAATCAAGTTATCCATTAAAAAACATTGAAATAAAATTAAACTAATAGAAAAACTGACATAGTAGGCCTTGTATATTGTAAAAATATGTTTTTTGCTCCACAAATACAGTTTATCAAGGTCTACACTTAAAAAGAAATCCGGTTAAAATCGCACAACAAATAAAAAACAGATTTTTCAGTTACACTAATTAAAATATTTTATATTTTTGTCAATATATCATTACCTTTTCTAAAAAATATTCTTTTATAAAAAAGCAGTGTTTTTGCGGTCCCCTCTCTGCCTAATAGTTCTGTATCAGACCCATTTTTACTTTAAATTCATCCTTTTTTAAATCAAGAAAGCAGTTATACATTATACAGTTAATGTAATTTATTTACTAACCAACCAAATAATTTAAGAACAAATACATATTAACCTAAAACTATTTGCCTCAAAAACACATTATGTATATTGGTAGATTTATTCGTTGAATTATGTTTTTGTTGCTTATCCGTATTTTTTATTTTTTTGTTGGCCCCGTAACTAGTTTTTTGCTTTGCTTGCATTATGGAGATTTTCCAGGAAAATTTTGTGAAAATCTCGAGCAAAAATATAGGCGGTAAAAATAAAAACAAAATAAGTTTTTTAAGTAGGTACCTTCGTAATCTACATTATAAAATAAGGACTTTTTGATCGTATTATTTTAATGTAGATTGCTATGCTATGCTCAGTCAGAAAAGTAAAAATGTGATCAAACTATCTAAAATCATTAATAGAATTTGCTGCCTTAGATTGTCGGTTTGGTTCATAGGGTATCCTATTTTTGTTGTAAAGCCTAACTGACGAATTGTCAATATACAATTTACCACATCATGGCGCGCAACCACTTTGCAGCTTTCTGACTGAACAGTGCCTTTTAGAGCCTCATTTCCTAATTGTTGTCTTTTTTGCCAAATTACGCCTAAACGTGTACCACCGTCGTGAATGTTGTTGTGTATTGTAGCGATATCGATTTGTTCTTCGGAGCTAAATTTAACGCTAGCCTCGCTGAACGCCGCTTCAGACATGCACAAGTTAATGTTGGGTAACATTTTGCGCCAGCCGCAGCAAACGTTCGAAATGTTTCCGATCGGACGCATACTGAGCCGATTTTCGAAAGATCTGCTCGACATCGACACGGATCTGCCCTTCAATTGCTACGAGGTTATCGAGGCCTCTTTCATCGTAAGTGCCCACCCCCGAACGAGGCTAGTTTTAGGAGGAATAAGATATTTATCGGCGGTCCGAATTATGGCTCATCCCTTTTATTTATTGACTGCTCCAAATAGGGCTGTTTCAAATTAGGGGATGTTCGATAATTTTGACCATGCTGTACTAAAAACTAATATTTATTTCTTTTGAAACATCCTTTCATACTTAGAGAATGATACATGAATTATTCAAATGTTGCATGAGCTCGATTTAGATGAAATTTTTCATTATAAATTTTTTTATTTTTATAAGACAAATAAGAAATACTCATAACTGTTGTACTATTATTATTATTATTATTAGCATATGCTTTTTTCTTCTTTTTTGGCCCTATCCATATTGATAACTCAGTATTTTTTTGACAAAACAGCGTTTTGTATTTTTTTACTAATAAACAACACTACAGCCTAGTACCTGGGTAGAATTCGTGAAACGTATTACTTTTTTACGATTTCACGGAATACAGAAAACAAAAAAAATGTTATCGTTTTTTTGATACTCAAATATTAAATAAAAATATTTTTGAAAAATAGTTATCAAAAAAGAGTGTATTTTACGGATTTTTTTAAATATCTTATGAAAATAAAGCCTTTTGATAAAATTGCACCCTAAATATTTTTTTTAAACTTAAATTAAATGTTTATTAAAAAATATTTTAATTAAAAAAAAAGTGTTTTATAACAAAAAAATGTTTGAAAATCGGTTAACTTTATATTTTCGTCAAAGTCTATCCTTAAATTTTGTAATTTTTTATATTTAAAAAAAATATATTAGAAATATTTTGGTGTCATTGAGTACTACAAAAACTAATAGGTATTAGCAACTGTTGTTTTCTGTATTCCATAAAGTCGGAAAAAAAGTGATACGTTTTATGAATTCTTACCCAAATGTAGTGTCCCTAAAATTTTACAAAATTACAAAAATAAAGAACATTTTAGTTGGTGAAGGATGGTACACAAAATTTCATCGCGCACGCTTATACATCATTTTTGTTTTGTAATTTACAGAGTAATTAAGTAATTAAATTTAAATAAAATAAAAAAGGTATTAAAATTGAAAAATTCTTTTTCACCTTTATTGAAATAATCTCCATGAATTATTTCTTAAAGTTTCAGAAGTCTTAAAAACATTTGGAGTCTATAGAAAACAAATCTGTAGCTTTAGACCTGGTTATGAGGCGCAGTTTGCGTCAAAATAGAAGTGTAGAAAATAAATATAATATCTCTCACAAAATATAGAATTTAACAGAAAATGTATAGAAAACACAAAATAGGTATATAAAATATAACAAAACAAATAAAATCCAACAACACATATAATACACCTATAATAAAACAAATACAATCAAACAAAACATATAAAACTATAATAAAACAAATAAAATCCAACAAAATATAGAAAAAAAAAAAAAAAACATAAAAGCCAACAAAATATTAAAACTCGGGTTCCTCACTTCACCGTTTGAGGGCGCTCGACGCAAAACTTTCAAGAAGACTAATAGAACCCCTTCAGCGAAGTCATGCATCAAATCCCTGAAAAATGTTGTAACTTCATCCATCCTTGGCAGATTTAACTCCATCGTTTCCAATTAAAGCTATAAATTAAAATAAAAAAGTAAAAGGATTTAAAGAAAACCTTAAAAACTTATCGCATTGGCAAAAAATCTCATAATATTAGTATTTTTAAAACTTGTGAGTCGAGCGCCCTCAAACGGTCAAGTGAGGAACCCGAGTTTTAATATTTTGTTGGCTTTTATATGTTTTGTTTGATTTTCTATATTTTGTTGGATTTTATTTGTTTTATAATAGGTATATTTCATTTTATTTTTTTCGTTATGTTTGTATATTTTATTTGTTTTGTTATATTTTATTTTCAGTTACATTCTATATTTTGTCAGAGATATATTTATTTTCTAAACTTCTATTTTAACGCAAATTTGTGTTTTCTATACATTTTCAGTTACATTCTATATTTTGTCAGAGATATATTTATTTTCTAAACTTCTATTTTAACGCAAACGGCGATCTAGCAGGCATAGGAAAAAAAGTTTCTATAAACATAGGTCCAAAAATGCTTCTCAAGGGAGCTACAGCACATGATGATGGTTTTTATTTTGAGAATTGATCAAACTCCCTGTTACATTGCATAAAATGTCACCTGTCATAAATAATTTTTCGTAAACTGTGTTCCATTGCCCAAGCTAAATCTTTTTCTGTAGTTGTGATTTTATTATAAATTTTTATGCCATGCAATCTTTAAATCGATTTTAAGCGAAAATGGTAAATATTATCGAAGGTCAACAAGAGGACCTTTTTTGTGTGTAAACCAAAATAAAATAATCTAACATCAAATCCTGGGGTGTTTTTTCCCTTACTCCCTATCTATCTGACACTCCTTATGGAAAATTTAAAATTGTTATTAATACATCTCATTGGCGAAAAAATGTTTAATCAATTCCCAAAATTTCAAGTTTCTATCTTGAACGGTATTAAATAAAAAACATCTTAAGAGGCTCCTCTTTCAGGAGCTGTAGCTCCCTATTTTTCGACCTATGTTTATAGTATTTTGTTTCTTATTTTTGTATGTTGAATCTGATTTTAAAGTATTGCACACACAATTTTGGGACACCCTGTATAATTAATACCATTTATATAATGTTTATAGTTCTAGGTTATTAGGGTTAGTTATTATTGAGTTATCGATATAAAGATAAAATCTTTCTTTCTAGCCTTGGCTATAGTATGTATGAACATGATGTTCGCAAAAGCAACTATAGACGCCGCATGTAGCATCCACAATTTTCTTGTTACCAACGTATTACGCCTGCCCCTTTCCTTTTTTGACACCACCCCGAGCGGCAGGGTGTTGGCCAGGTTCTCCAATGACGTCAATGGCGTCGACCTTAGGCTGCCGGGAGCTTTTAACGTGGTTTTCTCCAATATCATCAAGGTAGGTCGTACGACGCTAGATCGCGATCCCAACTCGGGTTTTATGACTTAAGTCATAATTATGTATAACCAAGGCATAGTTAAAATAAAAAAAACAGCGACTGGTTTGAACTGACCTTAATTGTGTTCTGTACCATGAATTGCAAATTCAAACCAATCCGATTTCCATTGGTAAAATGCTTTTTGATTATCCGTTGCCCATGGGAAAATACCAGTTGCATATACCAGCCGATTGGAAATAACCAATTCAATCTAATTGATTGAAAATAACCAATTACAATACTTAAGTTTTCTTACCCACCCGACTATCCTAATAGAAACTGTGTTGGTTAGTAACAATAGATCCTCTAACCTCAAAATTAGTTAGTTAGTTTTTGCATTCGTCATTCTATTGCCCATTTAACAGTCTTCGTGCAGTGATACTTCGCTCTTTATTAATATTCCCTGTTTCCAAGCCTGGGAAACAGAGAAACCTGGGAATCCCAGGAGACATAATCAACGAACGGACTTGTTTTTATCTATTTCTCTAGTAACAGTATTTTACAGATGATTGTAGTCAAAATGTAGAAGATGCAGGTGCCTTGCACTTTAATACACAAAATGTGGTAAAGGACTTATTTTAGACAACATTGATAGTCATAGCAGTAGTTCTAGTAAAATTAGTACTTGCTGCAAACCTATGCAGGCATGATGTATTGACAATGGTGTAGTTTGTCATTACGCCCAACTTATCTAACTAGACTTTAATCCCCCTATAATGAAATGTTTATACTGCACTGACCGGCTTGATAACAAATATTGAATTTAAATCTGAAGTTCAATGTTTTACCACAGAATGCAATACTGAACACATTCTTTCAATGTTGGATAATAATATATTGATAAATTTTTTCATTAACAGAAATCTATCAGATGAAAAGATCTACACAGTCTTCATCTACAGGAATCTTTATCTTTCTCTATTAGTGATGTTTTGCAAAAATTCAAATATTTCTCACCGTTTTGATCCCAGTTTCAATTGTAATACAGGCGGAGCACCAATTTTTGCTTCTTCCCAGTTGTCTATGTGGCCCATACAAATGTCAATGAACTACCTCCTCTAGAAAGATTTCAAAAATTAATTCTGTTTGGAATATATTTATTTGAACAAAACCTATTATTAAGGTTTAATAAGATTTTCATCCTGCAAGTAATCCAAATGATCACGAACCAAATCCAAAATACCCTTTAATGTTTTTTCTTTCCCTAAAGTATTCCATTTTAGAAAAATTGTTTTTATTTAAATTATTCTTAAATTAACATACAATGTGACATTTAAAATGTTATTTTATATATAAATTCATATGTCATTAATTCTACACTCTCAATACCGTAGCCTGGGGTTCCCCCCTGAAATTTTTTGAACAAAAATATTTAATTTCGTAACACCCTGCCACTAATTCGATGAATTCCCCAAAATTTATTATTTTTTATTATTTAAAATAAACTTTTTTATAGTTGGCATGGCATGAACTAGTACTAGTATTGCTGTTAATAATTATTTATCTGTGCATATGTGAATTAAATATTTATATTTTCAATATTATATATAAGTTATACTGTATGTCGGAAATCAAGTTATGGCAGCAAATTGTCCACACCCAAAAAGCCTACTTTGACATTTGAATGATGAACGAAGCTTCATAATTGAGGTTATGCTAAATCGATTAATGTAATGAAAATTTCGTCTTATATTCTAAAAATAGCAGTTTTCGCGGTGGTATGTGCATCTTAGCGTATAAAGCTCATAATTTAAGACACAAAAACATTAAAAAACGTAAAAAATATATATATTTCTTTTCAATTTTACTCGTTGACTTCTTGTCACCATAATACTACGTTTTGTATTCAAATGACAAAGTGTGCTTTTTGGGTGGTGTACAAACAGGAACACAATATATGACACCAATAATATAATAAATGTATGCACACACCTAAATAAACAAAATTTGTACTTAAATTTATATTTCTGGTAGTCAAGCTTTAATAATACAGGGTGTATTAAACACAACATTTAAATATAATATATTTATATATCTTTACAGTGTGTCCGAGTTCTCTATATATGGGAAACTTTTTTATTACTAATATAACGAAAAAAACTTACTCCTTGTAAAAAGTTCTGCTTCTTAAAAAAATAATATTAGACTATCAGAAGTTAAAATAGTGGGTATGTAATAAAGTGGGATAATTTAAAAATGTTCCAAGAAAACTCCATAAAAACTCCTGCTTATTTAAAAAATTACATTTGCTCAAAAATTGAGAAAACATGAAAATTCTTTAAGACAAAGTACATTTATTTATTATTTTACTAAAAAATTTATGAAAGAATGTCAGTGGCAATTTAAAGTTTTAAAATATTATTTTTATGAAAAGTAGTAGATTTGTTTTTTCTATTGGCAACCCATCCGGGGCACCACTGTAATATATACATATTATATTATAATGTAAAGCTTTTGTATTCATTTGCACATCATTTTCATCATCCGATTTAACCAAAATTGCACGCAGTTTTGTCCGGACACTAATATTTTTAATGTACTATTATTTTGTGTCATCAAATACGATTTTTTTACAGGACTTCATTTATATTTTATGATTTTTGGTGTATTTTTTAACCAAAACTAAAAAGTTAATCTCACGGTCTTATTCAAAAAGAATAGTTACGATTTTTTGGGTAAACAAATTTATGTAGCATCTGGCAACACCGGAAATTTAATGACTCAATTAAAGTAGAGCGTATTAAATATTTGTTAGTCAGCAAATTTGTTATAATATTTTTTTGCTTATAAATTTTTCGTAATATTTTGCAGTTAGTATAAAAACTTTCAAAAATATTCTAATTTATTTTTTTAGTTTCTTTAAAAATCTTAAATATTTTTTTAGATAAGGCCCCCGTTGCCGGCAACGGAGCCCGCTAATGCTCATTTATTACTTGTAGTTTCTTAAAAAATCTGAATTAAAATTAAAATATCAAACCAATATTTTTAATTAAATGTCAAAACCATATTTTGAGTTGTCAGGGATTTTTTATAATGATATAGCGTCGTATAGTAGAGGATCCCAAGTAAGGTCGACCTTCACCCATCTGCTTACCAGATGAAAATTATATTTTATCAAATAAAATATGTTTCTGAACATAAACCAATAGGGTTGCCATAAAAAATATGATCAAGGCTATCTATAATAAATAAAAAACTAAAAAAAAATAATTAATTTTTTAAATTTCACCGACTTGCTTGCCAAATGAACGAAATTCCAATGGAAAGCATACAACATACAGAATATGTAACAGCTAGGTTGCCTACCTTTTTCTGGTCCCTATTACCTGGTTGCTTTGTACAGGGTGATCCCCTATAAAGTCGCCCCCCTTTAACTTTTTTATTTTAAGTGTCCCAAAAAATTTAAAAGTTTGGTTATGTAGGTACTAAAAAATACTTTTTTTCTACGTATAAAGAAAATTGGAAAATTGATCAGTATACAGGGAAAAACAAAAAGTTTATTTTTTTTCAATGGATCACCGTATATATGAATTTATTTTTCGATTCCTTGTAAAATTCTGAGCATAATTTATATAACAAACCATATACCTAAATTCAACCGTTTCTGAAATATTCGCATTCGAAATGTCATCATTAAATGTTTTTTTAAACTGTTAGAAATCAAGAAGCCTCAGTATACCAAAAATTTTTATTGAAAATAAATTACTATAGTGAAATTATGTCAATAAGTGTTGTTAAATAAGTAAAAATGGCGTACTCAGACAGAGAAAGACAAACTATTTCAACTTATTATCTTAAAAATAATTTAAATATTTCAGAAACGGTTGAATTTAGGTATATGGTATGGATATATGAAATATGCTTAGAATTTTACAAGGAATCGAAAAATAAATTCATATATAGGGTGATCCATTGAAAAAAATAAACTTTTTGTTTTCCCTGTATACTGATCAATTTTCCAATTTTCTTTATACGTAGAAAAAAAGTAATTTTTAGTTCCTACATAACCACACTTTTAAATTTTTTGGGACACTTAAAATAAAAAAGTTAAAGGGGGGCGACATTATAGGGGATCACCCTGTACAAAGCAACCAGGTAATAGGGACCAGAAAAAGGTAGGCTGTTACATATTCTGTATGTTTTATGCTTTCCATTGGAATTTCGTTCATTTGGCAAGCAAGTCGGTGAAATTTAAAAAATTAATTATTTTTTTTTAATTTTTTATTTATTATAGCTAGCCTTGATCATATTTTTTATGGCAACCCTATTGGTTTATGTTCAGAAACATATTTTATTTGATAAAATATAATTTTCATCTGGTAAGCAGATGGGTGAAGGTCGACCTTAATTGGGATCTTAGACTAGTAAGTTAAATTTAAAAATATGAAACGATATTTTTAATTCAAAGGCATATTTAAAATTCGGAATTAAAAATCTGATGTAATTTTTTCATTGTCAGGAATTTCTTATTTTAGTTAATAGTACCACTATACGAAATGATACATATATTATATTGGAATAATTGATATTTTTAATTTAATTTTAAATATCGAATGAGATTTTATTTAAAATAAATTAAAAATATCGAACAATATTTGTAATTCAATTTTCAATATGACATGAAATAAAATCACAAACAGTCTTTTTCCACTTGGTAATTCAGTGAATTAAAAATATCGTTTGAAATTTAAATTTAAAAATCTCAAGTTATATTTTTAATTCACTTAATTTTCAAGTGGGAAAGAAATATTTGCAACTTTTATTTCTTCTTAAGCTTATTCGTTGATTTAAAGTGATAGTTTTATTTCGTTGTATTTTCAAGTTGAAAAAGAAGGATTATGACTAAAGTTAGATTTAAAAATGATTGAATAAAAAATATGCATTTATTTTCTTTCAATAATTTGAAAGTTTTTTTTGCTATGCTCGAAATTAATTACAAATATGGTAGAGAGACGTTTAATTTACTGTCAAGCAGATTTTCAAATTGCTAAATAAAAAAAGCTTTGGCGTTCTATACTGTACCTAACCTTTTTGTATGTGCATTTATATTTTTTATAATTGAACTTATCATTGTTCCTTATGGTTTGTATTATTATTTTATATAGTTCTTTTAACCTAACAGATGCACTTTTAATTCCTTTGGGAATCCAAAGATTTCTTTTTAAACTGTTACCATTTACAGTTTTTATTGGAAAACATACATCAATATAGTATTTCATTGTATCAACAAATGATTCAAAGGCGGAATTGATTGAACTTTATTTTTAACAATAAGTACCTATTTGAAAATTCAATTTTTTTTTCGATTTATTAACTACCCTTGTGAGGTCAGAGAGACCATTTAGAATAAATTTACATTGAAAAACGGAAAATTCATAATCCTTGTAAAAATCTTTCTGAAAATTTTCAGCACAGCCTTATGTCTGGCTCAGCAACATTTCATTTAAAATTTTACAATTGTAAATAAAATGTTGCAAAAATGTTACTTTAATTTGATTGCAATGTTACTGAATGTTACTTTTTTACCTACTATGTTACAAATTAAATTACATTACATTACATTAAAGATGAACAAGTTTAAATGGTTTAAATCCAACCACAAAACATACAATAAGTATATTAATTTTTAGGTCTTTATTTTCTCGTTAAAAAGTAACGCTACCCAGTTAACACTCGTGAATCCACTATTGATTCACATTCAGATCATAGCTGTTGACTTGCACACTTTACATAAATTCACATCAGCGTCATTAAATGTATATAATATATGTAAATATATTTTAATTGAGCTATTTACCAAATTTTGGTAAATAGCTCAATTAAAATATATTTACATATATTAATTGATATTGATCAAAATAGAAACGCTTTTGACTTTTGAACGTTGAGTTATAAGATAGCGCTGAGATGCAATACACCGGAGACAGTTAAAACTAAGATTATATTTGGGAGCTTCAACTCTACATATGCGAGTCAGTGGCGGCTCGTGGGTGTACAGGAGGGTGAGGCTACATGAGGTTAATTTTGTCTAAATACGAATAAATTTCCACGTCACCCGGGAGGTATTATTCTGCGACGCGTTGACCTTTTTTAAAATGGAGCCGATAGCACTACTAAACCAAAAAATAAACTCTAAAAAACAAAACAAACAAAATATCACATCAAAGACTAGTTTTAATCTTAAACTTAAAATATAGTCTTAAAAAAGTTAAAAATAAATAAATTAATCAAAAAATAAAAATAAAACTAAAAAGTCGACCCCTATCTAAGTATTAAAAAATATAAAATACTATATGTCTATCTTTTAAGATTGAAAATTTATCTATTATTTGGTCGTAAAATTGTGGGTCTGCAGTGAGATTTAAAAGTAATTCTAAATTTTCAAACCGCGTCTCTAATTGAAGAATTATGCAATCTATTATTTCAAAATATAAAATTTGCTTAATAAAAACTGCTAAATCTACCTTAGTGTGTTCCCTACAATAATTAAATAAGAAATTTTACTAATCGAGACAAAAACTATAAAAGATCAGCCAAAAGTTTTAAATAATTTAATCTGAATCAAAACAATAACGTGCTCTACAAACGCTAAGAGAAGACTGGCAACCTTCTTTGTCTCCGCTGGCATCCCACCATAAACGGACCACCAATCAGAACAAACCAAGCCAACTAAATTTCGCCTCATCTACACTGTTTATTCGCGAACTTACGACGATATTTTTGTTGGTGAGTCATTTTCGCTTTCAAGAGGTAAATGGGAGCTTCCGAGGCTGTGAAAATTTCGCCTCTGTCCAAGCGACTCAACGATGCACGTTAACTTGACGCGCTTTGCGCCTGGATTTTTATTTACGCTTAATATGATTGATTGGTTTTTTACTTTTTATTGGGTAGAACTGTTGTAAAAATACACTTGTAATAGGCAAAAATATAAATACAAAAAGTCGTTCGTTCCTTTATTTTAAGGGTGAGGCGCGGCCTCAGAGGCCTACCCTGACGAGCCGCCACTGATGCGAGTGGATGAGGAAGTAGTGTACTATGAGCACAAAGCCACCGCGCATAGACCGTCGACTCACGTGACTAAATGCACGGTTGGTCAACGTTTGGTTTTTAAACTTGTTAACCTGCGAACAACCCTTATATAACACGGGCAACGTTCTTATAGACCTCTCCACTTCTCAATATTTCTTTGTTGAAGCTTCTGATTATAATATTCTTAGTTGGCACTAAGTTAGTTTTAAGGTTAGCTAAAGAATGGTGATGCAAAACAAGTTGCTGATATATACTGTATTGTAAAATAATTAATAATTAGGTAAGTTCATGAATAGTGTGTCATTACAAGTAATAAAAAGTGAACCAGAGCTATAGTTGGGTAACGGTTATTTCGGCCTATTAAAAAAAAGTACATGGTCCTATATGATATAACGTACCGGATAAATGTATGAGTTTATGGTTGATGCTAAATGTCGATGAAATCTGAGGCAACAACCAAGAGTGGCCAACGAATGGGGATCGACGACAAGGGGGGAGAACGACAATATTATTTGTATTTATATACTTATACTAATATATAAGGTTTTTTCATATTTTTGCATTATTATTACTATTTACATAAGGTGATTCAAAAAATCTACTATTCTTTTTTGTTAACATGATATCGAAAAATTGGTTGCTGGGCACCTTAAGCCTATCTACTTATGAGCTCTTACTATTAAGAGTAAGATACTCCTCATTGGAATTTATTGTTTTCACATTAGTCTGATTAAAAACATTCTGTATCTCGCTAATAAATGAATATTTTAATAGGGTATTAAATTTTCGTATTCAAAAGATACAGTTCATTTTTTTATCTGGACTCGTGTCTTTTTGTTAGGTTGGTGGCTTATGCCAGTTTGACTTAGTATTTAAAAATGGTACTTCTGCTAAAGAATTTAATTAAATACTTTGACACTGTCCAATTGACAATAATATTTATTATTTATAATTTACTTGTCAATTATAAATAAAAAGATAATTATGCCAAAAATAATAGCAACGAATTCGAATGTAAAACTCCTTTTGAGGGCAAACTTCATTTTGATGAAATTATGCCAAATGCCACAATGGAAGAAAAAGTACATCGCCTTAGGGTAATTCCATTTATTAGCCACCAATGAGTGCACCTCATATACTCTAATTTTATTTCTTTTTTAACTGTAAATAGACATGGACCCAAGAAGGGAAAAAACTCCCCTTTTCTTTTCTCCCCCTATCACCTATTTATACAGGGCTACGCAAAAGTTACTATGCAGACCTAACTTAAAAAAATTGTACTTTTTTTGCTAATAAAGCTATCGACATTAAACAAACTGTTAATTGTTAAGAAAATATTTCTCTTTTAAACCATATATGACACATTTAGTTATCGATGCCCTAAATGGTCTTTGGGAATTTTTTTAATAATGCAATTTTTTGGCAAAATTGTCTAATTTTATAAATTTATATATTCTTAGAACAACTTGCCAGCAAAATTTTTTTAATGTAGTTTGTTACCATAGATCTTACTCTATATAAAAGCAATTAAAACATTTTCAAATAATATTGGGTAAGAGTTCAAAAAAATATAATAAAAATTCATGTTTTCGAAAAATCACCATTTTCAGCCATTTCATGGTTTAAAAAGGCTATGTTTGAGTGAATCGATTTAAACCAATTTATGCTTATCATCACATGCACTTATTAGCCTCCAATAACCATTAATAAAATTATTGTGTATTTTGCTTTTAACTGGGCTGTGGCTGTATGTACAGCCCAGCTATAAGCAAAATACACAATATGCCCACCTGACTAAATCCATAATATGGATTATAATATTATTAATTTTATTATTATAATGTGGAATATATTAATAAAAATCCATAATAATCCTATTATAATAATAATAAATGAACTTTATTGCAAAAAAAGTTAATACAATTTCTTACAAATGGCCATTGACCGAGGTCCTTCAGCCGTATAATATTATATTAACCAAATATTTTATAAAAAAACTCGGTAGAAAGACTTGAATTGAGTTCTAATTCGCAAGAGAAAATTTATAAGATTTTGTTTTAATAATTAAAATATTTTTAAGATATTGAAATTTTTACATATTCATAAAAACTAACCTACTAATTGTGCATAATTTTCTAAAAACAGTTTACCTACACACCAATTTCTGAGTTGGTGGCTAATAAATGGAATTACCCCTTATGGACATTTTTGGAGTAAAAAAGTAACGAATTTAGTTTTATAAATATTACATCACACATTATTCACCATTGGACAACATTTACGTTCACAAAAAAATTTAATTTCTTTTATATATATATATATTCTTTTCAAAGCGAAGATTATTATCCGCTAGGAATACTTTCTCTTCTGGGCAGTAAAGCAACCTATATTTAACTACTTTTTTATATGATTTTACTCATCCAAGCACCACCAAAGCCAAATTAATTGCATTAACCGCACAATGTAACCTACAATAATGTATACATAGCCACAATTAGATTTATAACTAGCTTAGTTTGTTTTAATCAATGCGACCAACTTGACAACTGTACTTACCAACCAAAACCCTAAATATGCAACATTTCCGCAGTCCAGATAAAAAAAACCAGTTTTGAAAATTTATTTTTTTAAATTATATAACTTGCAGAATGGTTAGGATTGGTGCCTACATATTTTTGTTGGAAATTAACTTATCTACAAAAAGTTTTCTTTTGTTTTTTCGATAAATCTAAACGTTTCAAAAATAATCGCGAGCGCGGAATAATAATAAGTTTTGTTTTTTATAATGTATAACCCGTATGGTCTAGTGGTTAGGATACCAAGATCTTAATATGACATGGGTTTTTTAAAACTAAATAATTTATTGGTATAAATGTTGTAATGTAATTGTTTATATGACAAATAAGTTTTAAATGTCTCTCATTCAAGAGGCTCGGATCCGGTATTTTGAAATAAAATTTTAGAATAAAATGTGAAATAGTTAAAAGCTTATTTTAATTAATAAATTAATTTAAAAAATTGACAAGTTAAATTAATATGTTTTAGGTTAGTCATTAAAAAAAGGTTAAACTATAAGTTAAACTTTAGTTGCGATTATTTCCCTCATTATAATATGAACCAATCAAAAGCCTTGAATTTTCGAATAAATTTCGTTTAAATAAGCGATTAAATCACTAGAACTATTTAACAGCGATTAAATTTTAGCCTCCATATTGGATTTTTGTTTACGATTTTATGGTGTTATTTACAAGTTTTAATAAACATTTTTTAAAAAACAATAAAAAATAAGTTATCTATAGTTTACGAAATATCAATTATTACTTATTACATACCTTAAATTAATGGAATTTTCTTTAAAAAAATATTTATAAATTTTGACACATACGTCAGATTTTATGAATTGTCAAATAGTTTCCTTTAATTCGAGAAATAATCTAGACGTATATCACTCAACCTATAAATTTAATCTGTCAAACTATCCTCAGTAAGTTTTTTATTTGATTTTTCTTTTTGGAAAATAGTTTCATGCAAAATAATTAAAAATAAAACCCCTCGACCGCTACGCGGTCTCGTGATTTTATTAAATTATTTTGCATTCAACATTTTCCAACAAAAACCAAACAAAAAACTACTGAGCCTAGTTTAACCGATTAAATTCATAGTTCTCGTGATATAATATGATTATTTTTGAAACGCATACACTTATCAAAAAAAAACTAAAAATACCTTTTTTGTAAATCAGTTAATTTCTAAAAAAAATATGTACCTACCTACCATTTATTTCAAAATCCTAACCATTCTGGGAGTTATATACAATTTTTGAATTCAGGTTTTCTAAAATGACATAAGATAACTTTTTTTGTGGAGTATTCAATTCCCTATCAAAATGTTTATTGGGCTTAGCTTTATATTTATTTGTTAGTGAGAAACAAAATGTTTTTTATAGGACTAATGTTAAAAATGGAAAATTGCAATGAGGAGGATCTTAATCTTAATATTAAGAGGTGCCCAGCAACCAATTTTTTCAATCATTCATATCAAGTAAAAAAAAAGAAGGATTTTTTCAATCAGTCTAATATACACGATATTATACAGTGTGTCCCACTTTAGACCTTACCACCCTTCTCCTAAAATTTGCATTTTTTAATTGATTTTTGTAATTTTGTTGTTGGTAGATCCCTGAAAAAGGTTTTAAACGCATAAATGTTACTTGTTTTGACGACGGCCGGCCAACTGTGATCTGTTTCCAAACTACTATGGATTTTTTTAGAGCAAAAGTAATCACGGATTCTTATTCGGGGTCACTTAAAACCCCATTATTTCAATTTTTTGCTTTCCATGGCGAAGTTTGCCTAATTATGAATTTATGTGAGAAGAATTTTTTCAGTCGGATTATAATAATTATAATTCAAAATTGGGATAATTTTGATCTACGTGTTTGTAAGAAAATTTCATAAACATATACAATGTAAGAATACCATTGCCTCTGAAATTACCTCTACATGACTCATTAAATTTTAATCCAAGAACACAACGCAGTGTCCTTTTTTAACCACAAAAACATTATGAATGTCAATAGCCCCCAGAACACTATTCCAAACCTCAGCAAGGAGTGATAATTTGCAAAGTATACCGTTTTAAGCATATCATAGTGAACATAGCATTTTATTGCCCTTAAAGAATATTGGACTTGTTTAATTTTATACAAAGTTGTTAGAAGTGATTTGTCCAGCTAAGATTTTCATCTAGGTATACTCCTAAGAATACGTTGTTAATTTTGCTCTGTAAAAATACTCAATAGTACTTTCGACCCCAAAAAGGGATCACAGTTGGCCATGAGCTTAGTCGTCAAAACAAGTGACATATGCGTTTAAAGCCTTTTTCAGGGATCTATCTCCAAAAAAAAAGTTTAGTTTAATCGGTTAAAGAATGTATATATCTCAAAATCTGAGGTCACGGTGATTTATATAAGTTCATTTTAAGGTAAAATAAACTCATCACGCTTGTAGGTTCATATGAATTTATCTTGCCTTAAAATAAACCAAAATGAATTCACCGTGAATTCATATTTTGTGGGACTTAAAAATTTTTTTTATGTGAATCCATACTAAATTCACGAATGTTAATACCCTATAGGGTAATTCATTTTTGCTTGTATGTTTTTTAATGTTTAAAGCGACTTTTTACTTTAACCCCGTATTATTGTAGAACAAAAAACAAATAATTTACAAAACTACTAAGATTATAATGACTCCTAAATGATAAAAACTATATTTTGCTATAATTAACAGTTGGAAACAATTAACCAAAACACATAACCATCCTTCCCCTCATTTTTACCAGGTATTGCCTCAGCGCTAGCCAATGTGCTGCCCGACTACGGCACAAAAGTGTTGGCCGCCCGCAAGCTGCACCATATGATTTTGATCAACATCATAAAACAACCCATGGCGTTTTTCGACACCACCCCTCTCGGTAGACTCTTATCCAGGTTCTCGAAAGACGTCGATGTGGTCGACAACAATCTACCCGCGTACATATCGGATGGATGTTTATGTTTATTTCAGGTATTTTAATGTTTCTTAGGTAGTAAGTACGTCCTGGTAAGTATGATCAAGAGTAAGTGTGTCAGTATTACTTGTTGATATATTGTGTTTCTGAAAAATCGCCAAACTTCATTTCTACGTATAACTGCTTTGCTTGATGTGTCAAAAAACCTCGCCCATCCCTCCAATACCTAGATAAAGATTTCGTACTAATATCTTCCGATTATAGGTAATAGGTACTCTGGTTGTCATAAGTTACACAACTCCACTCTTCATATTGGTCATTATTCCAATTGGTCTTCTCTACTACTTCATCCAGCGTTTCTATGTCGCCACATCACGTCAACTTAAGCGTCTAGAATCCGTGTCCAGATCCCCTATCTACTCCCACTTTGGAGAGTCTATAACAGGAGCACAGGCTATAAGAGCGTTTGGACAGGAAGATCGTTTCATTACGGAGTCGGAAAGAAAAGTCGACAACAATCAAGTATGCTATTATCCGAGCATTATTTCCAATAGATGGTTGGCCGTGAGGTTGGAAATGATTGGTAACTTGATCATCTTGTTTGCAGCCCTATTTGCCGTCCTCGGTAAGGATAATGTACCTGGAATGGTCGGATTGTCCCTTACGTATGCCTTACAGGTAACTATACCATTTTAGTTGGTTTTGATTAAAAATTACACTAGTTTACAAAATCGAAAAAAAATTCTGCCCACCATATCCCATTATAATTTGTATTTTGACCCACTAAACACGAAAATCACAACAAAAAATTTTTATAACTTGATTCTAATTGATCGATTTGGTCAAACAAGCCCTTAAATTGAAGGTGTTTGAGCCATCTAAAACTTTATTTACATACTTTTGATATCGGATAAGTATTTTGACGCTAGCGATTTTAATAACTTAAAAAAATCGTTTTTTTTGGCAAAAAATGAGGTCGAAAACTTACATATTCCTATTTGGATTTTTTTTCGTGAAGCTGACATTTTAACATAAAAAAACAAGCTAATGTTGATAAAAAATACATGAAAAAATGGCGAAGTTATGAATTTTTTAGTGGAAGACCAAAATTCAGCTTTTTAACGATTTTTATTTTATTTATTTTCTTTTAGTTCGTAATATGTTTATTTTTTAATGAAAACCTAGTCAAAGGGCATGATTGGAATTTTTTAAGTTTTTTACGTACTTTTTTTCACCGAAAACATTATATAAAATTTAAATTTGACATAACTCCGCAAACGTGAATTCTTTTGTTTCTTGTGTTGGCATAGTGACATTTTACTGTTATTTTTTGATATTTTAACAAAGTATTTTATCATGGTTTTATTTAGTTAATATGAAGTGTAAAATAAGTAAAAGAAGTAGAGAGTTCAAGTGCGTAAATAATCCGGACAATATGGGCGACGTTAGTGATGAGCACGGAGAACGTTTTCACCAGCAAATGAATGGAGCGGAGGTATCACGGCTTCTGGGATGCAGCCATGATGGGTGATTACTAGGGATGGGATTTTAGTTATTTTACCTTTTTTCAACCGATGTAACTATTTGAAAACCAATAATGCCAAAATGTGTTTTAAAAGATTTTCTTTTATATGAACCTAACTTGTTTTCACCTTTTTTACCTTATTTGTAGGTTTTTGCTTTAAACTACCTTTTTTATACTTTTCTTACCTATTTTTTTAACTAGTTTTAATTTGTCAGTTTATTTTCACATATTTGTTATCTATTTTTACGTATTTTTACTTATTTTATTTTTTTGTGTTCTTTTTAAATTTTCCGCCAATATTTTATCCAGGGCGTGCAACTCAACGGTATAGAATTTTTTCTTATGGTCACAGCATATAAATTATTCTATTATTCTAAATTATATCTATGGGTCACAGACTGTAACAGTAACTTTCTTTACAGTATTTCTTTGTATTGAGCTTATGTTCTGTCATAGAATTTCTGTGTAGTGAGTGTCACTCAGTGAAACACAGTTTATTGCATAGAAATAGTTTATTGTGGGTATGTTTTGTGTTTGGGTATGCGGCTAAACAAAATTATAAAAGAATCTTTTAATGTTTTTTTACCTAAAATGCTTTTTTTAGTACCTTTTTAGTTACCTATTTTTCAGTTTTTAGTACCTAAATATCCCATCCCTAGTGATTACATTTGGTCCCTTATATGAGAAACGGAATACGAAAGCAACAATATGCAACCTATGCTTATTACAACAAAAAAAACTTTCAGTATCTTCAATGTTCAATATTTATTGTTCAATATTCAATATATAATTTAATTTCAATATTTAATGTTTAAAATAAAAATCAATGTTCAATATTAAACTTTATATAACTCAATAAAATTAAAAAAACTTAAAAACTCTCGAAAAAACTGAATTTTGGTCTTTCACTGAAAAATTCATAACTTTGCCATTTTTCCATAGATTTTTATCAACAGCAGCTTATATATTTCCTTTAAGTATAATCTATACGTTAAATAAATCAAACTGAACTTATCTTTTCGATTTCTATCTTTCCCAGAGAGATATGTAAATTTTTGACCTCGATTTTTGTAAAAAAAAAAGGAATTTTTCAACTCGCCGGTATCGAACTACTGAGCCGATACCAAAACTATACAAGAGAAAGTTGTAGATGGCTCAATTACCTTTGTTTGGTCAAATCGATCAATTAGAACTCGAAGTATACTCTAAAACGTCAAAACACCTCACAAAATTAAAAAACAATTGAAAATTCATATCTCGAAAACGCTTCCCTGTTTAGTGAGCCAAACTACACAAGAAAATAGACATGGTGGACAAAATGGCTGTAAACTAGTGTTATAAAATAGGACTATTTTATGAGATAGATACTAAACTAAAATGTTGGTAATTAATTTTTAGATTACTCAAACACTAAACTGGCTAGTAAGAATGACATCAGATGTCGAAACCAACATAGTGGCAGTGGAAAGAATAAAGGAATACGGCGAAGCACCCCAAGAAGCCGCGTGGGAAATCCCGGACAAAAACCCGTCGACGCAGTGGCCCGAAGCGGGCACTGTCGAGTTTAGAAACTACGGAGTCAGATACAGGCCCGGATTGGAATTAGTTTTAAAAGGCGTTAGTTTCACTGTTAAAGGTGGTGAAAAAATCGGTATTGTTGGAAGGACTGGTGCCGGAAAGTCCAGCTTAACTCTTGCGTTATTTAGGTAAGACAAGATTTTCCCCTACCTGCAATTTTTTGTTACAATATTTTTTCTTTAGAATTATTGAAGCTGCTCAGGGAGACATTTACATAGACGGCGTTAAAATATCAGATTTAGGATTACATACATTGCGTTCCCGTTTGACAATCATCCCACAGGACGCCATTTTGTTTTCGGGAACTTTAAGAATGAACCTTGACCCCTTCGATAAACATTCCGATGAGGACGTTTGGAGGGCGCTGGACAATGCGCACTTAAAGTCATTTGTTCAAGGTGGGCTTCCTAAAAATATTTTTAACTAATCCATCTTAAGACCACATAAACGTATTTATTGATCTACAATTACGAGAAATTCACGGAAAATATTTTTCAGGTTTACCAAGTACTCTCCAACACCAAGTATCAGAGGCCGGTGAGAATCTTTCAGTGGGTCAAAGGCAGCTAGTTTGTTTGGCCAGAGCCCTCTTGAGAAAAACGAAAGTGCTGATTTTAGACGAAGCCACGGCCGCAGTTGATTTGGAAACGGACGACTTGATCCAAAGAACCATCAGAGAGGAATTCAAAAACAGTACAGTTTTAACAATTGCGCATCGTCTTAACACCATCATGGACTCCGATAGAGTTCTGGTATTAGATAAAGGTTTAATAGAAGAATTCGATTCGCCTGACAACCTTTTGTTGAATAACAAGTCCATATTTTATGGCATGTGCAAAGATGCAGGGTTAGTTTAATTATAACAATCAATTTATTGTTACTTTATAATATTAATGCAAATGTGCCGAATTGTCGTAATTGAAAGTGATAAACCCTTTAGAGATTACTATTTTTCGCTTGTTTTTAAACACATCACGTAAATTTACTATTAGCTATTATACTTATAGTTATACTACTTAAAAAGGTACTTACATTATTTTTGTACTTAGGCCAATTGTCCGTTATTGCCAGTTTTAATATTAATTTTTTTTAATTATTTTTTACACATTGTTTTTTATGTATCAGTATTTTTACCTTGCCCATTTTAATGTATGTAAATATTACCTACTTAATTTTTTTTAAATACATGAAATGTAAAATAATTTTAATCTTTAAATCTAATTAATGTTTTTATATATAGAAATTGAATATACTATTTTTGTTTACAACAGTCTTTTACATTTATTTTGTAGAACCACCAAGTCCAAGAAAAGCAAAAATATATATTTATAAATAATATATAAGCAAAGTAAAACAAAATATATGACAAAAATGAAAAATAATTCCCGACGCAAGGTGTCCCCCAATGTACAAAAGGTCCCCTAAATGACACCTAAATAAATACCCTATTCCCATAAAATTAACTTCTGCCACTTATTTCATCTATTAAAAGTCTCCAATGCAGACTGTTAATAGATGGCTCCAACTAAATTGGGTAGGCTACAAAACCTAAAATTTTTATTCTTTGTATATAAAAACACAACCAACAATGCTTTTTCATGCGCGCCATCTAATACAGAGAAAACTATGTAATATACTTAAAATGTTAAACGACGACAGCTAAGCTTAGCTAGCAATGTGTTTGGTGCAATATTTAATATAATTATTGGGGCAAGACTCTTTAACCTTCCAAATTATTACCTTTAAATCGGTAAGAACTACATTAGAGTGAGTCGAATATCCGCTTAAATTAATTTGGTAATAGCAAAAACAATAATCTTTGAGGCGAAAAAAAAATAGTGCGAAGAGAACAAATTTTTGGTTGACATCTTAGGTTCGCCAATGGCACTTACAATTAAAAGTAAAAAAAATGTTTTTATAAAAAAAAACTTTTAGTAAATTTAATTGTCTAAAAAACATCCTTTTCAATTATCGCATGAATATTATGGTATCAGAGATACTTGTGATTTCAGTTATGAAAATGTAAATTTTAAGATATATCTTTTATAAAATCGCAATTTTTTTAAATTATCTGTGAAACAACAATATTTATGCGATAATTAATAAGGGCCTTTTTTGGTAGAAAATTGAATTTAGGTAGTACCATAATTGATAAAAAAATACTTCAGTTTTATAAATATAATATAATATAATTATAAATGCAATTGTCGAATTTGTTTCTTTTGTACATATTTTTTTTACCTAAAAGATTAATATTTTTGCTATTAAAAAAATTTAAAAAAGCGTATAAAGCAACTGAGGCCGGGCCTCACATGTTAAAATTATAATATAATTTGAAATGTTAGATACATTACTTATTTAAATATAAAACGTTTTTAAACTAATTTCCAGTCATTAAAAGTATCAAAAAATCGAATAACCATCAAAGTTTAAAATATTTCCTTTAAATTTAGTGCGCACCCCTTCCAACTTTAATTCTAAACGCTTAAATCATTGCCCGACCGCATAATAGGGAAATAGAAAGCCCCGAAATTTGCGCTTCATATACGTATATGAAGCGCAAATTTCGGGGCTTTCTATTTGACGTCACACATTGCCGATACAACATCATGCTCCCCACCGCTGCACGGTGCCGCCGGCACCCTCCAAGGCGGGGATAATAAGCGAATTTTTGTAGACATTGAGGCCCACAAGTTGGGCTATTATATTAACACACAAATACCACAGTAAAAATCACAAAAAATATAAATAAAAATATTCATGTTTTTTTATAGTTCTGTGTTAAATCTTTTAGTTTCATACACCTACTGTGCTTGTACATTATTATTTTGTTGTTGTGCGGTTGTGCCTTTATTTATCTAAAATTAATTATTGTAAGATAGGTAAAAATGAGCAGTACCTCCTGGGTAATGTGGAAACCTGCTGAAGGAATAAATAAAAATCCCACCTCGTCCCGCACTTTTTGTATTATTCTAGCTAAATTTTGAAAATTCTTCTCGTGAAAGAACATATTTTTAAATAATATATTTGTGCTTCAAAAACGCGAGACCTTGAAAATTTCAAAAAAAAATTGCCTAGGCTGCGGCGCCATATAGCGGCCCAAGCAGCAATTTGTGCCCTAACTTAGGCACGACACTTTTTGTTTCCAAATTGTTTCGACACAAATCGGAAAACTTATGTCTAAATGGAAACTGTGTCCATTCTTCAAATTTGTGGTTGCTTTGGGTCGACACCTTTTAAACCAATTGTGTCCAAAAAAAGTATGGGTCTAAGTAGCATTATTTCAGAAATATGTGCCCAAGTTGTGTCGCTTTTGTGCCCTCTTGGAAACAGTAACACAATTTAGACTCATTAGGGTCGACACTTAGTCGACTCAATGTTTCCATATTGTACCTTATCAATCTGTTTCCATTTTATTACCAAATTGAGTCAAGTGGACGCAAAAGTTTCCATTTAGCTGCATTTTAGATTCATGGTGTCTGATTTGTTTCAAAAATGTGTGGGGCGGGCGCATTAGGTTCCAAAGGGACACATTGTGTAATTCGCCATATTTTTTTGTTGAAACAGATTCGACGCTTTAATTTTTTTACATAATTTAACTTTCTGGTGAAATTTAAACTTAAAATTTAAAAAATGCAATGTTTTAAGTTACATATGTATAAGGCACATACGTCTAGTTTTGATAAAAATATAAGAAAAAAAATATTTTTAATAAAAAAAAATTATAAATACTTATTATTTGTGAGGCCCTATCAATTTTTAAAAGTATTTTGCTTATAATCACCAATAAAATTTTGTTCGCAATAAAAATGAAGGTAACATACCTATACCAAAAATGTTAGATTTAAGTTATAATGTATTTCATAATATTATATTATATACATAATTATTAATAAGACATCACGCCTTACTTTGCCTCTTTGTATCTAGTTTGTTTCCAATTCGTTTCCAATTAAAAATAGTTAGTGTCCATTTGGGTTTATTTTAGGACACAATACACAATACAACAATTCGGAACAAATGGTGACCATTTGGTAACATACAAATTAGAAACTCTTTGGGCATAAATCGGTCACACTACCGGGCACATTGTGGGCAAATTTTAAGAAAAAATCGGGCACATTTTGTGGGCAAACTATGGACACTTTTTGGTACAACTTTCATCACCACTTTAGTCTCATTTTCGACACTTAGTGGTCTTAAAGTGGACTATGTGTCTTTAAAATGTGTCGTGTCCAAAATCATGTTTCGACGCTGTGTCGGCACATTGCCCAAAATGTGTCATTTTTTGCTGCTTGGGGGTTCATGGGCCTCACCTTCATGAATGGTCACGAGCCGCCACTGTATTCGACCCACTCTAATGTACGTACCTGAATTTTGTTTTTGTTTTAATTTGATTGATTTTAATTTTTGTTTTCAAATACATAAATTTTTTAACAAGTTTTTTACAATTTATTTCATTAAAATAAAACTGGTCAAAAATGTTTTCCCTGCGGCGCTATTTTGGATGGGCTCTGACGAATTCCGGGACTGGGTCAAACATTTTTGCCCCTTTTAAAATAAATTCTAATGTGGTTACTTTATAAAGTGTTTGTGCAGAAGATTTACATAGGATTTTAGCTTAAGCCTATTTTTTCTTAAAAGTTGAAATTTTGGACAAAACGCATTTTGGAAGACTGCTCCTCATTTATGGCCAAATTTAAAAAAAAATTAAAACAAATAACTATTAAACAAATTTGTTTTTAATCCGGCAATAATTATTGCGAATATACGAAGATAAAAAGGTTTATGTATTAATAATAAACACTGGGTCTAGAAATAAAGACATCATTTTAAAGAATATACCTATCTAATACAATATTATATTTTTTAAAATGACATTAGGTAGGTATTTATTGACACTGTGTTTCTATAAAATATAGGTATACTCTATATATTTTTATAGAATTGGCAAATGATTACAAAATGTTTAGTTTCGCGATAATTACAATGATTAACTATAATTTTTAAATAATAAAAAAACTAAATTAAAACGACTCTAGCGTCATCTACAAGAATCCAAAGTTTGGATTCCAAACCGTTAAATATTCGAACTTCCCGCCTCGGCAGCGGCCATGTTGTAGTCCGATTTCCGGTTTGCAAATCAAGTGAACGGTTCTGGCGCGTGGAATGCTCGTAAAATAATTTCGCAATTTGTTGTTGTTCATTTAAAATGGCAGACTCAATAGACGATTTGTTCGACTGCTTCGACGAAGCCCCGAAAGCCGAACAACAAGATGAACAAATGGAAGAGAACAGGTTCGTAGCAATTCAATCTAACCTCAAAAACACACCACCAATTTTAATGCTTTTTGTGCGAAATTTAGCGAGTCGAAGGTGCCGAACAAAAGCGTCAAACGGTCCAACGATGATGAAATTCAATTAGCCGTGAAAATGTTTAAGGAGGACGGCACTGTTAACTGCGACGATATTAAGTAAGTTGTAGACGAGTTTTTTATTCGAATTTAGGCAGCGATTTCGGAATCGTACATCAAATTTTGATTATTTTTTACATTTTATATGTTACACAGATAATTTCTAATTGGACATTGACGTTATTGGCCCAGTCAACGACATTATTATATCCATTTGAAATATTAGTAAAAATATGTACAAATGTAACTATTTATCCAATCCAACCAACCAACATTCACACACATTTTTGTATAAAATATTAGTAAAATTATACCAAAAAGGAAAAAAGGACATTCACATCATTCACTGGCCATTATCGTGAATGTCCAATTATAATCATTGTAACATAGATAGTATATTATACATTGTACAGTCAGAAACATTAACCAATCAAAATATGACAGATGGCAGTCATGTATTTTTTAAAATAATAGATTGAATGGAGAGCTTTTTAATGATACCAAATCATTGATTTTATTCAGTTATACTTGTAATAGTATATTATTATAGTGTAGAGATGTGACATGAAAAAAATCGGTGCGTTTTTTGTTTTTTTTTCAGGTTTTTTTTCATTGTTTTTTTCAAATGTTTTTTTTTTCATATTTTAGTTTTTTTTTCAAGATTAGTCCCATTTTTTTATGTTTCCAGTCCAGTTCATAGACTAAATTTAGCCACTAAATGACATTTAGTAAATGTAAATACAGTCCAGCACTATGCACTCGCCACCACCACCGAATTGACCAATAAGGGCCGCGCCTGTTTTGATTTGGTCCTAAAAAAAGTAACTACCTATAATATTTTTGATTCAGCGCTTGATTTTCCAAAAAGCTACCAAAAGCCCTTTTTTCATAATTTTTCAAATTCATGTAGAGTATTGGATTTTTTTTTCAAAAATAAAATAAAAAGTTCTTGTGTTTAAAACCAACCTTGAATTTTCTGTGCACTTTGGTTGCTGAGATATCGATGGTCAAAGACAAAATGATCCTTTTCCGATATCTCAGCGAAAAATGGCCGTATCAAAGTCTAAAAAAAAGCAAATTGAAGCTAAATGAACAAGTTATCCAGTCCATATGGCGGTTAAGTCAACAATTTTTCTGACCAAAAAAGAAATCCAAAAAATTTTCGGTTTTTTTTTATTACGGTATTTGAGCGTTGAACGTTGCTTTTTCATTTTTCATCTAAAAATCTCAAAACTAGAAACTTCAATCTTCAAATTGCTATTTTAACGGCTCCAATACGACCATTTTAAACGAAGATACAGCTATTCAAAAAATCGCAAAAAAAATTGTATCCTTTAATTTTTTCCATTAGTGGAGGAGTTTTACATTATTATTGGTTTCTTATGTGTTTTAGCCTTGGTTAAAATTTTCAATAATGAAAAATGTAATATATTCTACATTTCACTTTATTATACATTTATATGCTTTATTGTAGCGGATTTGAAAAAAAAACGAAAAAAACCGTTTTTTTATATCTGTCAAATGGTTAACCTCACTTTTTTATAGTCACCTCCAAATTTATACCTGATTGGTTCAAATCACAGTGAATATTGAAATTGGCCAATAACTGATGCCTAACAACGTGAATAATAAGTTTATTCCAGTTGTTAGGCAGGAAATTTATGTCACCCTATTAACAGGTTATAAAAAATCAGTTTACTACTACTTTGTAACTACTACCATGGGTAACATACTTTTTTGTTATTTCTATGATTTTGTCAGTAAATGACGCATATTATTAATATGAATATAAATACGCATTATTTATTAGTACCAAATTTAATAGTTCTTAATTAACCTGGCAATGGCGAACGTCTCAAACATTATGACGTAAGCGCAACTTTGTTTGATTTTTTGTATACTTAATTAAGGTAATAAACGCATTATTGAACATGTATGTTTTAATCAATAAAAACATGATAATGGGAATAACCTCCTGTACATTATTTTCGCGAAAATAATATGACATTCTAACAAAATTCTAAGTTCTATAAACGTCACACCTACCACTTGAAAGTTCAATAAAAAAGAAAATAATTCTGCAGAACTTGTTGTCATTAGGCAATAGCCCTTTGAACAACATTTTGTATAAATTTTACCATGTATCATTATTTCAGCTTTGAAGAGTTTAAAAACAGAATAATAGTTCACACCATAGAGACCATAGAATCTTGCACACACGAGGTGGCTTGTCCCCCAGGTCAACCCTACATACCATTAAACCCAAGCAAAGGAGAACCCGTAAAAAAATACGCTTTTGCTTTAGATCCCTTCCAGAAAGAGTCGATTTTATGTGTGGACAACAATCAGTCTGTTTTGGTGTCGGCCCATACTTCAGCTGGCAAAACAGTTATAGCTGAGTAAGTGAATTCAAAATGTTTACGTTTCAATGTATTTCAATAAGGCAATGTTGACAAATCATTTTCAATTTTATCTGAAATTTTTTTGTTGATAGGTAATAATTTAGTTTGGTAGCTTAATATCAAGGCCAATAAGTTTTTAAACGTTAAATTTTAATTGTAGATACGCAATAGCCACATCGCTTAAAAATAAACAGCGCGTTATTTATACAACCCCAATTAAAGCACTGTCCAATCAGAAGTATAGGGAGTTTATGGAGGAATTCAAAGATGTAGGTCTTGTAACTGGTGATGTTACCATTAACCCAAGCGCATCTTGTCTTATTATGACTACAGAGGTTAGTTTTTGGTTTAATATAATTTTTGTTTTAAATAAAATTGGTTGAAAGATGCGGTTTATTCTATTTATTTTTCTATATGGTAAATATGATTAAAAACAAGCTAAAATAATGTTTTTTTTTGGTTTAATGAACCACGTCAAATGTGCCAATGAATTTTTATTGATTTTTTGGAAAGGAAGTATAATTATAATTAACGATAATTATAATTATAATAATTATAACAATTGTAAAAATCTGTAAATAACTAAACAAAAAACAATTTAAATAATTTTTCTAAATTTCGCACCGTTTTTATTATTTTTAGAAACTAAGAATTTTACAACAAAAAAAAGATAATTTGGCTCTTTAGCAATAATTGGATGAAATTTGTTTGACAGTAAAATGCATTCTCTTTAACATGAATATGCGCGACGTGCACGTCTCTTTGCGCAGCCCGCTGGACGTCCGATGCGCGGCGCGACAAAAAAATGCGATACCGACTGTCAGTAGGATTGATATTTTGTTTATTTTTGGAACACGAAAATAAGAATGCAGAGTACATTTTATAAAAATTTTACTGCAATAGTAGGCGTAGTAGGCTGTCAAAAAAATAATCTAATTATTGCGAAAGAATCCTGTGTTATAGTCGCGGCCAAATCTGCATGGATGCACCAGTGTTCCCAACCTTTCAGAGTAATAATTCCCTTGTTGCATGGCAAAAATTCCCTATTTCGTGCCAAAATTCCCTGCTTTCAATGTTGCCAAGAAAAATTAGTTCATAACAAAAATACAATTTTTAAAATAAATTTTATTATGTTTGTAACAAAAAAATAAAATAAAATAAAAAACAAACGCCGAAACATCTGAGGCGTATACTGCAAAAGCGGCCCAACTGAAAAAAAAACATTTTGTGTTTTATCTCGACATTTCAATAATGCGCTTATCGAGTGAGCTAGCCTAATAAAGTGAGTTTTAATATAAAGAGTAGTTACTACTAATAAATTATTAAAATATAAAGGTTAACATGAAATAAAATTGATTTTCTTCTTCTTCTTCTTCTAGCCACAACACTTGTACTTCTTTTTATTTTGGGTCACTTTATTAAATAAGTGACCGAAAAAAAAGTGTAATCTATAACGTGGGCTTTTTAATAATAAATATGAAAAATTCCCTAATGTTAACAATTTTTACTAAAAAATTCCCTTTTCCCTTTTTGGTACCAAAATTCCCTAAAAAGGGAAAATTCCCTGCAGTTGGGAACACTGGGATGCACGTATTCAATGCGATATAATGACGTCAGCATTACCAACTTTGAATTGTAAAGTTACTGCCGTTAAATTTGCTTTTTTAAGGCGTAATTCTGATGTGTTATAAAAAATATCAATCATTTGCGTATTGTTTACCAAGAACTGTAACAATTTTCCCGGTTTTTTTACGAAATTATGAAAATAAAACCATTCACGTAGTAATGTGCCAGTTGCTAATAGCTTAAGGTTCAATATTATTGATGTATCACCGTCCTTATATTTGACGTTTTTTTTTGTAATTTTGTCCTTCAGCATCGTTTGTTGCAGATTATTATAAATAATTTGTGTTTATCCTATTCTATCACTGGATTATGCAAACAATGTTACAAGGCTTGTTGGCAAAGCCAATAGTTAATAGAATGCGAAGACATTGCGCCATTAATAGTAAATTTGGGTAAATAATCAGACTCCAAGTCAGAACTGATTCACTCAGACTATCTTTGTCGGTAATTTAGTATTTTTGTGTTTCTGGTAATTTGGTATTTTTTTGTTAAGTACATATGTAATAAATATGTAATTAACAGTGTTTGTAACCCATGTAATCAAAATTTGCCCGTAAAAAACTCCCAATTAGTTGGTGTAGAAGATTATAAAAATGATTTTATAATTCCATCTTAATAAACAGCCCCCACCGCTATAAACATTTCACAATACTCGAAAAATAATTTCAAGTATTTCTTTTCGTTTAGGGTATTTCCATTGTAACGAGTGCGACACTAAAACTGCGTTTTTTCATGAAAATAAAGTGTTTGTTCATATACAGGGTGTCCGGGAAAAGGAGGTCAATCCGTTAACCATATATTCCTTGAGTTAAAACAATAATACCATTTTTCAATTTAGAGGTTCATGTTCGATATACAGGGCGACAAAGTTTGAAATTTAAAACTGATTTTTTTAAATAATTCGAGTAATTGATAAGATACTAAGTTTAAATTCGGTACACTACTTCAACATAAATAGTTACATTTTTGGAGACCAACAAAACAAAAAACAATTGTCAAATAATCAAAATAGGGGGGTCCAGTACTCACTGACTCCCCCTATTTTTTAGTACTTGCGCCAATGACTTCCAAACGGTATTTTTTCAGGTAATCATTTATTGTTAAAAAAATTTTGTCTCCTATAAAATTTTGATAAAATGATTTGTTTTAGAGATAATTTGTAAAGTATGGGTCAGTCCATATCAAATCAAGCAAAGGTCCTTCCCCCACCATCTCCGATTTTGATCATTTTTGGTAAATTTGTTTACCTCACTAAAAAACTCAAAAATCCCATATATGAATTTTTTTCGATAGGTGGTTTTTGTTTTATTGATTTTTGAAAATCAAAAAATTCCGATAAATTTGGGTCTTGCAAGTACTTACAAAAATAGCGATATCTCGTAAACTATTAAAAGTAGAAAGGTGAGTGATGGCTTATTTTAAAGGCCTATTAGAGAATTTTTTTATGATATATCACATGACCTACTTTTTTTCAAAAAAAAATTAAATTTTAAAAATTTGATATGGACTGACCCATACTTTACAAATTATCTCTAAAACAAATCATTTTATCAAAATTTTATAAGAGACAAAACATTTTCAACAATAAATGATTACCTGAAAAAATTCCGTTTGGAAGTCATTGGCGCACGTACTAAAAAATAGGGGGAGTCAGTGAGTACTGAACCCCCCTATTTTGATTATTTGACAATTGTTTTTTGTTTTGTTGGTCTCAAAAAATGTAACTATTTATGTTGAAGTAGTGTACCGAATTTAAACTTAGTATCTTATCAATTACTCGAATTATTAAAAAAATCAGTTTTTAATTTCAAACTTTGTCGCCCTGTATATCGAACACGAAGCTCTAAATTGAAAAATGGTATTATGAAAGTGTTATTGTTTTAACTCAAGGAATATATGGTTAACGGATTGACCTCCTTTTCCCGGACACACTGTATATCAAGGTACGTTAATATAAAAAAATAGTATAAAAAATTAGGTATTTAACTCCAACAAAATGTCAATAAAACTTGTATAGAAAACCTTTTATAACGTCATGAATAGCGTAACGGGCGCGACCTTAGAAAATCGACAAATGCGACCAAGTTGGCTTCTAAAGTTGATACTGTAAAATTTTGGGTGAAAGCATATAGTAATAATTTTTTGTATAAAATTTGAATAGTAACCTTAAACAAGCACGTATTTTAAATGCATATATTGTATACTTCATTTTCTAAAATGTAACAGGTGCGACATTTGAACATTTTATCGAGTATTGATTAATGTTAGCTTCTTAGCATCACAATGTACGAATATTTTAAGGTTATAAATTACGTCGCAATTAAACTATTTGACTTCAGATATAGTTGTTATTATGTTAAATAACACATCTGATTTTTTGTAAAGGTGGGGTAAGGTTTCATGGAAATACCCTTTAGTTATTATCTACTGATTTTTACATATCGTGGGTTGAATATTATATTGTTCTATTAGAATAAAACTAATTTTTTGAAAATCAAGTTTTCAAATTTTGAATATTAATATTATTGAAGTTTGTAAAGATATTTTGTACTTAACGCGAGTAAGCTAGTGCATAGTGCTTAGTGCACTTAATTTTAGTATTTTGGTTAACTAAAAATGTTAATAATAATAATAATAATAATCAAAGAATTGCTAATAGAACATTTTTGTTTTATTATTTTTCAAAATTTTACAAAACTTTCCAAAATGTTCTAACAGTATAGGGTAAAAAATTACTCTTACAAAAAAAAACAAGGCTTAAGTAATACTAATTATTTATGATAACTCAACAACTAATTATTGTCTTTTTTTTTTCATTTGCAAATACAGCAGCATTATTAAGTTGTTTAAAACAAGTTTTTTAAAAATTACATCAACAGGCGGCATAAACTTAAATAATTTGGTTAGATCAGCAACTTTTGCAAGACATTTTTTTAGTTCAGGTGCATTGCGAATATCTGGTATCAACATTGGCGAAAATACGTCATCCTTAGGTCTAAAAACAAAACAAAAACCAATACAAAATTATAAAAAAGTAGACTAGGATTTACCTATATTACCACATTTTGCATGTGATTTCAAAGCTGCTTCATTTGAATCTAAAGCCACATGTGGCATGCATAATCTGGATCTGCAGGAATATCACTATCTTCAAAGTATTCAATTTGATGCACAAAATGATTATTTTCGAATACGTCTAAACTTGTTGAACAGCAACTAAAAAATATAGTTTGAAAAAAAGTTCTAAAAGCATGTTTTAAAGCAAACAAATTCGTAGAAATAAGCTAATAATGTTCTGTTAGTAGCTACGTTTGAGTTTAGGGCACAAATCACTTTACGTATAAATTATAAGTTTTATTTGGGTATTTTATAACTATTTTATAATAATATTGTATTTTTGTACTTACGGAATCTTACTATCATTTATTTTTAAATAAAATAATCACTTAAACCACCAAAAACCCACAATCCACACAACAAGGTCTGTTCTAACTCATACTAAAAATACTAAAAATCACTGCAACACTGCACAGAGTTTAACGGCGGCCATTTTTGTTGTTTACAATTCTTGTGCTTTGGGTTTGTGCTGTTTAATAATTGTTTTAAACGTTGTGTTTCTTACAGAGGCACTTGTAAGCCTTAAATAAGGCCTTTAAGTGCTAAGGACAACCGTTTTACTCCTCTTTTATAATAAATATACCTTATTTTATCAGGGCTGTCAAATGACAATTTGAAGGTTAATTTGTGGGTTATAATTTAACCTTAAAATTGACATTTGACAGTTTAATGACAGCCCTGATAGAATAAAGTTTATTTTTTATAATAGAGGAGTAAAATGTTCTTAGCACTTTAAGGACTCTTTTAAGGCTTACTATGAGAAACGCAACGTTTAAAACGATTATTAATCTGTATAAACAGAGCACAAACCCAAAGCACAAAAATTGTAAACAACGAAAATGGCCGCAGTGTTGCAGTGATTTTTTGTATTTTTAATACAAGATAGAACAGACCTTGTTGTGTGGATTGTGCAAAAACCTACGACGTAATTCCTTAAACTGCCGATGACAGATATGTTATTCTGACAGGCTCAGTGACAACTCGAAAACTTGCAATTTAATTGATTGGTTTGTTAGAACATTATAATAGTTAATTATATTTGAATTTCGCACATAGAACAAAATAATAATGTCGTTTTTAGTATTTCTGGGCTATATTTAACAGTGATACTTATTTAGATAGATAGATATTCGTTAAACCTTCTTTTTCATGTAAAAATTTCATTTTCCGCCAAAATTGCTGATAGAACAATATAATATTCAACCCACGATATATTGTTACTTTCCTAAAAGTCAACAAAAACTCATTGACACATTTGACGTAGTTTGACACACAGATAAAATGATGACTTTAAAAAATCAAAAAAATAAATTACAACATGATAAAATAATAAGATTTGTTATTATATATTATTTGTAATATGTCAAGGTAAAATAAAAAAAAGTAAAATATTGACGAGCCAAAATGACGAAAACCTAAAATAACGACAATGTAAACTGCTGAATTGACTAGGAAAGAAGTTTACTAGTTGAATTCTGTTTTTAAATGCGCTCTTCAAAATTTGAAAAAAACGCGTTTTATTTTCAGATCTTGCGTAACATGTTATACCGAGGCTCCGAAATAATGCGTGAAGTGGGTTGGGTAATATTCGATGAAATACATTACATGCGTGACAAGGAGCGCGGTGTCGTATGGGAAGAGACCTTAATCCTACTGCCGCACAACGTGCATTTCGTATTTTTATCCGCCACCATACCGAACGCAAGGCAGTTTGCCGAGTGGGTGGCGCATTTGCACCAACAACCCTGCCACGTTGTCTACACCGATTTCAGACCTACACCACTGCAGCATTTTATTTATCCTGCTGGAGGAACTGGCATTCACATGGTCGTTGACGAAACGGTAGGAAAAATTTTTTGTTTACTAAAATAGTTGAAATTACCACAAACTAAAATAATAACTAGCTAAGATAAATGACAAGATAAAATAAATACCGACCCAAGTCATAGACAGAGTTGCAAAAATGTTAATGTAAAAAATAAAGCAATCATCATTTTTTTAAAATGGTTATTGGTTTGAATACATTAATCATTAAACAAAAATTGTAATGAGAAATATTTTCATTACACATTAATGTATTGTTAAACAATACATTACTCATTAAAAAATAAAAAAATAGTAATGAGAGACAGTTTATTACACATTAAAAAAAAAGTGTAACAAAAGACATTAGTGAAAAATGATCAGGGGTAGGGTTAGAGATGCGACTTGAAAAAAAACGGTCCGTTTTTTTGTTTTTTTTTCAGGTATTTTTTCATTGCTTTTTTTTCTTTTTCATATTTTAGTTTTTTTTCAAGATTTGTCCAATTTGCCGAATTTTTTTATTACGGTATTTGTTAGGATTGAGCGTTGCACGTTTTTCATCTAAAAATCTCAAAACTAGAAACTTCAAGCTTCAAATTTGCTTTTTTACGGCTCCAATACGACCATTTTTAACGAAGATCCGAAAAATCGCAAAAAATTTGGAATTTTTTTTTATCCTTTAATTTTTTCTATTAGTGTAAAAGTTTTACGTTGCTATTGGTTTCTTATGTGGAAACTACCAAATAATAAGAAATCAGATTTTTTACTCTCAGTCAAAATTTTTAATAATGAAAAATGTAATACATACATGTATATTCTACATTTCACTTTATTATTAATATACATTTTACTCCATTTTTTAAGATTAATGTTATTTATTGACAGAATATGCTTTATTGCAGCGGATATGAAAAAAAAAAAACAAAAAACCTGTATTTGTTTCTAGGTTTTTTTCACATCTGAAAAAAACCGTTTTTTTTACATTTCTAGGTAGGGTTGATGGGGTGATTTTTTATATGGAGCATTTTACACCAAGTCTGAAACAATCGCGTTTTTTGTTTTTTTGCTAATTTCTTTAATAATGGTTCGAATTGAAATTTTTATTTCTTTCAATTTTCGTGTATCAAAATTATCCAAAGCATATTATCATGCGAATTTTGATTTTAATATTTAAACTGTTTCTTTTCTCCAATTTCCTTGCAAATTTTTTACTTTAAGCTTCTCCCACTCAAGAAATTTTAAGCTGGAGTTGATAGTGGGATTATGATAATTAGGTGAGAAGGCGACCTAAACTCAAAAAAGTATTGAATCCGCGATGTTATGAACGAATAATTAATTTTGAACGTCTGTAACAGTTATTGGTAAAAAAACAATTCAAAACAAAAATTGAAGAAATAAAAATATCTTCCTTGTTCACTAAAAATGAGTAATTCGATAATCATTTATTTCTCATTAAAAATAAAGAAATGAGTAATGTAAAGTAAGAACATTACTCAAACATAAAAAATTGTAATTACAAATTTCAAAATACTCATTAGAAATAACAAAATAAGTAGTGTAAAAAATAATACATACATTACTCATTGGAAAAAATGTATTGAGTTACAATTTTTTAGTTTTTCTCATTATCTAGGGAACTTTCAAAGACGACAGCTACAACGCAGCGATGGCGGTGTTGCAAAACGGAGGCGACGCTGCCAAAGGTGATCAGCGCGGTCGCAAAGGCGGCGTTGCCAACAAGGACCCCACTCAAACGGACATCTTCAAAGTGGTGAAAATGGTGATGGAGCGAAACTTCGCCCCCGTCATCGTGTTCAGTTTCAGCAAGAAAGATTGCGAGCTGTACGCCACGCAAATGACGAAGCTGGATTTTAACACCGCTGCCGAAAAACAATTGGTGGACGAGGTTTTTAACAACGCAATGGACGTTTTGACTGACGATGACAGGAGGTTGCCCCAGGTCGAAAATTTGCTGCCTCTACTTAGAAGAGGTATCGGAATTCATCACGGCGGCCTTCTGCCCATATTAAAGGAAACCATCGAGATTTTATTCGGCGAAGGTCTTATTAAAGCTCTTTTTGCAACGGAAACTTTTGCCATGGGACTGAACATGCCTGCTAGAACAGTTTTGTTTACTGGCATGAAGAAATTTGACGGTTCTGAATACAGATGGGTAAGTTTTTATAATTGGCACAAATAATTACAAACTAAGTAACAGCCAGATAAAATAATGACAAGAAAAAATGAAGATCTAAAATAAATATATTAATTAACGATTTAAACCATTGCCACACTAAAATAACAAGGATTAAATGAGGAGACCTCCAAAATGCGTTTTGTCAAAAAATTCAAAACGCGTTTTGTCCTTTTCTCCGCCAGTGTTGCCAGATCACACAATTCAATAAAATAACTGAAAAAGTACTGAGAGCTTTATTTTTAAATTGGAGATGTAGAGAAGATTAAAGTTAAGCACTTTAATGATGTTTTAACAGAAATTTACAAAATTAAACTCAAAACAATGATAGTTTTTTTTTAATATAAAATACAACTGTAAACTTTAAAATATTGATTTTTTAAAAATTTTAGTTTGGTTTAAATTTTTAAAGAGCCATTTAAATGATGGTCAATAAATTTTTAATACAAAAATTATCACATTACATGTAAATGTAAGTTTTAAATTATAAAGTGGTAATTTTCGGGTTAAAAATTATTAACTATCATTTAAATGGTACTCCAAAAATTATCACTTTAAAATTTAAAACTAACATTTAAATGTAATGTGAGAATTTTTATATTAAAAATTTATATACCATCATTTAAATGACTCTTTACAAATTTAAACCAATAATTTTGTAGAATAGAATATTAAAACTACAATTTTAAAAACCAATATTTTAAACCTAAACTTTTACATTTGCATTTTATATTTAAAATATTTTTGATTATTAATTGTTTTGAGATTAAAAAAATTTAACTTTTTAAACCATTTTGGTAAAAAATGTTTATATGGTTTTTATTTTAAATGTCTCAACACTATTTTTAAATACTAAAAAATTTAACTTTACTAATTTAATCTAAATAATTAAAAAAAAAAAATATGTAGGATTTACAAAATTCTGCCCAAATAAATTATACTTAAAAAATTATTTTTATGAAAAATTTCTGCAAAAATTGTTTGAAAATAATATTGTTAGTTAGTAAATTTTGTCTTTCAATACATGATAGTTTTAAATTTATAAATGTAAACCCAAAATTTTTAGTTAAGAAAATTTTAAACCTATAAAATTTTAAATTAAAAAATTATTTAATAAATATTAGAATGGCTTGCCATAAGTATGTAAATTAGGTGTGAAGTACAGCTGATTACAATTTAAAAGCATTATTTTTAAATGTTTGTCTTTTTGTTTGTAGTTTTGTCTGCTTAAGACATTCAAAGAGCATCTAGGATCCATCTTTTTTCAGATTTATGAAATTCTTTAATATTTTTTGAAGTTGAGTTATTATTAGAGGAGTTCTTTTTCCAAATTGACGGGCATCTTGAATTTTGGTCCAAAATATCAGTTACTTCACACCAGACTTTTGTGTTTCCCAAAGTTAAAAAAAAATGTATTGCGCAAATAAGTTTTTTGTGCCAATACTAAAAAGAGTATTGCAGTTCTGACCAATGAAATATGAAAAAAAATCAACGTTTTTGAGTGAGCCTGAGTATCGTTTTTAAAAATACAGGCTCTGGAGTTGCTACAGTTATATTTATTAGTGCCACCTCATTGACATCTGTCCAACCATCTGAAAGAATTGTAATATTATCGGCCTCATGTACTTTATCTTCAATTAATTTTTGGATTCTAGCATATTTGGAGTTAAGCAATGTTGTACTTAATTTCCCTGGTAGCTTGAAACTTAGACATAGTTGCTTAAAAAATAATACATCAGGGTTATTGACTAAACTAATGGAGCAAGGACTGGAGTAAATTGCTTGAACAAATAGTTCTTCCAATTTATTTTGTTCATTAAGAGACATGTTATCAACAAATTCTTTTATGTTTCCAGTATTGGCATTGTTACCTGGTGGACTCTCTTCTTGACTTTCAGTAGACTTAAAATTTTGCATAGATTATCTTTTAATATAAGATATTATCTTGTGGGGCACGAAAAAACGTTTTTATGTTTGACCATTTTGGTTGCATTAACAACATATAATTTTTTAAAGGATTTGCATCGAGCATGGTCTTTTTTTGAACTATTTTGTAATAGTTCCAAATATAAGATTTTTCTCTTGGCATTGTAATGTACCTATAAATAAACAACAAAAACATTAGAATGATTTTAACTTTGATTATTAATAATTGTTTGATTATTGACAATTGTTTTAATTTTGTTTACCTTTTAAAAGATTTTTATGCCAAGGGGTTTTTGCAAACTATTTATGAATTGTCATGATGAGATCTTCAACAAACTTCTTCCTCTTTAAATTAACACAAATTTTTCGGAAAGGTTTCCGAAACTTTCAAAATGAAAATAAATTCCTGGCTGGAAACTTTCCAAAATGAAAACTTTCCGATTCCCATCTCTACCAAAAATTATGCCATTAAACTCATTTTCGAAGTCTGCTCTCCTCAAATAATAGTGAACTAAAATAACCAAAAGATATAATAGTGACAAGTTTTTAAAAATATTTTTTTACATTTTTGATCACTTCAATTCAAATCAGTTTTTGTAATTCTTAGTCACATTTTCTGAAAATTAAAATCAATATAATTTTATAGTTAACATCTGGAGAGTACATACAAATGTCAGGTAGAGCGGGTAGAAGAGGTCTCGACGATAAGGGTATAGTAATACTTATGGTGGACGAAAAAGTGCCACCATCAGTGGGTAGAAACATCGTTAAAGGTCTACCGGATCCGATAAACTCCGCTTTTCATTTAACCTACAACATGGTTTTAAACCTCTTGCGCGTCGAAGAAATCAATCCGGAATATATGTTGGAGAGGTCCTTCTTCCAATTCCAAAATCAGACTGCAATTCCTGGCTTGTACGATAGTTATGTGAAAAAGTTGGAGGAATACAGCGGGTATCAGATTGAGAGTGAAGATCAAGTTGCCACTTATTATGATATTAGACAGCAACTTGACGCTTTGGGTGTACAATTTAGAAGTTATTTAACCAAGTCTCAGTACCTGATACCTTTCTTGCAACCAGGAAGAATGTTGAAGATAAAAACAAACGAAGATGAGTATGATTGGGGGGCGGTAGTAAATTTCAAAAAAGTACAAGAATTCGTCAGGAAAGGCCAAAGCAAACAAACTAAACCTGTAACCAGGCTACAAGTCGACATTTTATTACACGTTATGTCTGAAATGGGTGACTCCTCCGAAATACCCAAACCTTGTTTTGGGGATCAGGTAATTTTATTTCAAACATGATTGTTTCCAATTGCATTAATTATGTGATTTCTTAGAAAGGTGAAGTAGAGGTGGTAAGCGTGGATTCAACATTCATAACCCACGTATCTTCGGTGCGATTGTTTTGCCCCAACGATTTAAGATCTAAAGATAGTCGCAAAGGCATGTACAAGGCATTGAAAGAGGTCAAAAAACGCTTCCCCGAGGGACCGCCACTGCTAAATCCCGTCAAGGACATGAAAATTAAAGAGGACGAGTTCGTTGATATCGTGAAGAAAATTGAAGTGTTGGAAAAGAAGATGTTTGAGCATTATTTGCACAAAACGCCGCTCTTGGACGTGGAATATCCGAAGTACGAGAAAAAAGTGACGTGCGGTGAGGAGTTGGCCGTGGCGAAAAAACAATTGCAAGATGCCAAGTCCGTATTGCAACTGGACGAGTTAAAGTGCAGAAAACGCGTTTTGCGACGAATGGGTTACAGTACAAATACGGACGTTATACAATTGAAAGGTCGCGTGGCATGTGAATTGAGCAGGTTTGTGTTTTTTTATTATGTCTTGATTTTGTTCTACAAAATTAAAATTTTAGTGCGGATGAATTATTGATCACAGAAATGATTTTCAACGGTGTTTTTGGAATGCTGGCTCCCGCTCAAGCTTGCGCGCTTTTGAGTACTTTTGTTTGTGATGAAAAAAGTCAGGAGGCTCCAAGATTGACTGATGAGTTGTCAGGACCATTAAGACAAATGCAGGTTAGTGGAAAACATTTTTTTTATTAAATTTAAAATTAGTTTCCATAAAAGCGCAAAAACATGATTTTCAGACATGTAAACGTTCCTGAATTGGTCAATTATACTAAATTACATTTCGGCGATTCCATGATTACTAATGGGACCAACAGAAAAAAACAAATTTTTTTATGAAGATGTTATGTTCCTATAATAATAATTTCATAATTAAGCAATAATAACTATCATCAAATTATTGTTATAGGAACAACATATCTTCAAAAATATTCATAAAACATTTTGTCTTAATTCTTTTTGTCCCGTTAGTATTCATGGAATTGCTCATTTATACAATTACAAAGCTAAAATACCGACAAAAAAAACGATGACAAAATAAGCCCTTGTGGGAATTATCCCTAAAAAAGTTTTAATAAGTAAAAATAAGAGTTAAAAACTCTAAAAAAGACTTAGTCAGAAAAACTTTGAATAAGACTTATTAAGTTAAAAAGAGTCAGAATAAGACTTAGTAAGTCAGACTAATATGAAGATTTAATAACTATAACATTAAATGAGGGTAAAATTTCAAAGGCTAGAATATTAAATAATAAAATAAAATACTGTCAAAATGAAAAGTTGCGATTATGACCAGCTTATTAATCTATGATTATCACAGGCTAAAACAATTACAAAATAAAATGACAGCGTAAAATAGCAAAAAGACAAAATGATTACAAAATAGCAAGAAGATAAAATAATAAAAAAATAAAATAAGCTAAAACAGGATGATAATCTGAAATGAAGACCTCAGACCTCAAAAAATGTGACGAATTTATTTTTTTAAGTAAAAATGTTTTAAGCTATTTTTTTATCTTAAAAATCGCCTTTTTTAACGTTCGTTTCATTTCAAAACATTTAATACATTTAATATACTAGTGTATTAAGTTAATTAATGCATTAAATTGGAAAAAAAGTAAGGTTAAAACCATTTGACAGATGTGCGATTGGGAAAAAGTAAGGTTAAGACCGCTTGACACTAGTCAGATGCCACATAAAATGTCAAATAAAATTTACTTTAAATTTTGAAAAACAACTCTACGTTTGTTGCAACTCATTTATTAAAAAGTTGCTCCGCTTGTGCATAATTTAAACCGTGTATTAATAGCATATTATTAAACGAGAGGTAATGCGCATGATTTCGTACTACTTTTTTAAATTTTATTAAAGAATTTAGTACATGTACAATTTTGCAATTTTGTGTAATTACCATAACCACAGATTCCATGACAATTGACAATACAGCCATGGAGAAAATCATCAATTGAACAGTAACCAGTAACAGTAAATGGAGAAAGACATAAATTTTTTCCACAGTTTAAAGACTGTCCCACTTTCTCAATTAAAAACGTATAGGAAATGTATGTATGTTTAGAAAAAAAAACGTATAGCCTCACTTTCTCCCGATTTTAAAACTCTTTATAGGCGCCCCTCATATACAAGGTGTTTGTTTGCTTATCTTTAGAGGTAGGTAGTTGCTTTAATAAATGTAGTTGCTTTAATAAATAAAAAAATAGTTGCGCATTTTTACGCTAACAATGATCATTTTTAGTTTTCAAGATATCGTAAAAAACCGAAAATTTGTAATTTGTATTTTTTATTTAAAAACATAAGACTATTAAAATTAAATTTATAAATTAGAAAAAAAGGCAGCTGTTAACCAAAAATCGTTATTTCATCCAATTTGTAATTTTGCGCGTAGATCACGCGGTTCAATTGATCCGCGGTTTAATCCGTGGTTTAAATGACTGTAGATATAAGACCTGTTTTGGTCCGTGTTTTAAACGACTGTAGAGATAAGACCTCTTGAGTAATATCAAATCATAAATGAAAATACCATTTCGTAAAATTTTTAATACGGACGCCTTTTCAATCGGTATAATACTGTTGTGAATTTTAATCAAAAAAATTCCAATTGCATTAAGTAAGTACCCAGATAACATTTGAAGTTCATTTTACCTGCGTAGTACCCGAACGCTCGGGGGTTAAGCCGTACGCGTGCTTTTGTATTGAGGGTTGCGTGAGTCCTCAATATATAGATCGTTTAACAATTGTTCGCCAGATGCGCATGCGCAAAAATGACATGCACGCCTTGCGAGCAAAAAGCGGGCACAAAAATGCTATCTAGGTAAGTTTCCAATGGCATATATGGATAGCGTTTATCGAAAAGGAACCAAGCGCCAAAAACTTTTTCTGGGGTAAACAAAATTATATGCAAAGTAACTCATTTTTAATGCTTCTCAAAAAATTAATAATGATTCCTAATCCGATTGAGCATTATTAAATATGAGTTATACAAATAATTTTACCAAGCCCAGAAAAAGTTTCCTTTTCGATAATATATTATGTAAGAAAACATAAAATGTGAAAAAAAGCTGAAAAAAAATTAAACGGGTGTTTTTTACGTAAGATCTGTACATTTATAGGTATTCAAAACAAAATTATTATAAACTTTTATGACGAGAATGACAAGCTAGATAAAATAAAGGCAAAGTAAAATGGTATTCAGGTATTAAGACATAAATAAAATAGTTTTTTTTTCATTTAAAACATTGACCTATTTTGCGGTTCTTTACATCCACTTTTGACATCCCATTGCTTCACTTACATTTAGGGTTGGGAAAATTTCACTTTTTGCTTGTACTTGAAATTTCACTTGAAATTTTCATGACATTTATGAAATTTATTAAAATTTCCTAAATTTCTGAAATTTATGAAATTTATTGAAACTTTCAATAAATTTCAATCACTTTAAGTGTAATATATTAATATTGAAATAAGCCCACTCGAGGACCATGGCAAATTGCCTCTCTTACCTCCTACCCCTCTGTGGGCCCCTGCACCAATAATATAAATAGTAAATACCTATGTTTACCATAAATTTCTTGAGGTTTCCTTTTAAAATATTTTTAAAATTACTAAAACACTTTTTTTTAAGCTAATGAGATTGTGCCACTTTCATTGTTTTATATTTATATATATTTATTATTTTTAAATATTTTACTGATATTTTACGAAAATTGAAGAAACTTCATCAAAATTTTATGAGCCAAATGCATTTTTTATCCGTTTTCCGATGCAATTATAGCAAAAGTAAAAGTTTAAATTAATCATGACTTTTAAAAAAATTTAAAGTCTGATTTTAAATCATTTAATTCACAAATTAAATTGGTAACTGAATTAAATTAATTTATGCATATAAGTAACAATAATTACTTATAGTGTATTCAAATCCAAGCCGAACTAAACAAAAACGCCCAGACGCTTGATAACTCGTTCTTATTGGTCGATTCGGAATCTGTTGTAAATTATTATTAAAGGTCCCAGTATGTGAAATTTATGCGAAATTTTCAGTAAATTGCGAAACTTTCAATGAAATTTCTGAAACTTTCACAGGCAATGTTGAAATTTTCGGATTGAAACTTTCATTTGAAATTTTTAAAAATTTCACTTTTCCAACTAAATGAAATATTTCAAGTTTGAAACTTTCAAAGTTGAAATTTTCATTTGAAAATTTCAACTGTCCCAACTCTACTTACATTGCTCATCTTGTAAAAACCATACTCCTTTATAACAAGATAAGGTCATAATAAAAAAAATTATATTACGCACCCTTTAAACATTTATTAAAGGACCTCGCGCGTCGCATAGCTAAAGTTAGCACGGAGGCGCGCCTTCCTCTCGACGAGGACCTCTACGTGGAACGTTTCAAGCCTTTCCTGATGGACGTCGTGTTCGCCTGGTGCAACGGCTCCCCTTTCAGCGAACTCTGCGAGATGACCGACATTTTCGAGGGTTCCATCGTACGGTGCATGCGAAGGTTGGAAGAACTGCTCAGGCAGATGGTGCAGGCATCGAAAACCATTGGAAATTCGGAGCTGGAGGATAAGTTTAATTCGGCCATTAAGATGATTAAGAGGGATATTGTCTTTTCGTCCAGTTTATATTTGTAGATTACGTAATTTTATTTAGTTTTTAATGGAATTTTGCAGTTGTTGATGCTTTAAAATTTAACAGTTCGAAAAAAAAAACGTTTTTTCTGAACAATTGAAAAATTGGTGAAAAGAAAAAATTAAAAAATTATCCTGAAACCTGAAAGTATATTAATATAATGTGATATACATCTCACATATGAAGGGGTAAAAAGCGGAAGGGTACAAGTGCATTTTAGCATGAAAATATGTACAGAATTAAATTTTCCCATGACGTGAAAATTGTACAGGTCCTGCATGTTAATAAATGCAAACAATATTGTATATAGCAAAAACTTTAAAAGTAAATAACTCCACTTCTCTTTTTTGCACTTGTACCTTTTTTCTTCTTACCCGTTCATATACAAGGTGACCCTATACTTAGTGGCATAAATTTAGGAGCAGATTAAGCAAGTCAAAATAAGACAAATCTAAATAAATATTTTTCCTAATTACGTATGTTTAAAAGATACAGGGTGATAAAGTGTTACTTATATCAGTTTTTTTAATATAACCTTTACTATGGTAGACTTGGAAAGGTGATATTTTGCAAACAGTCACTTACAACCAAAACACATATTCACACATAATTACAATTGTTTGAGTGAACAGTGTCGTAGAAACGGGGGTTGCTTTAGCGTATTGTCCCATACAAACTGAGGTTAGGTTTTTATACCATTTGATGCAATTTTTCGATTACTCAGTTTGGCTACTATTAAAAAGGTTTTCCTCTCAAATTTCGATAAAATAAACCGTTTCCGAGATATTCGAGATTAAAGCAACCCCCGTTTCTACGACACTGTTCACTCAAACAATTATAATTATGTGTGAATGTGTTTTGGTAGTAAGTGACTGTTCGCAAAATATCACATTTGCAAGACTATCATAGTAGAGGTTATATTAAAAAAACTGATTGATAAGTAACACTTTATCAAGCATTATTAAATATGAGTTATTTTACAAATAGTTTTACCAAGCCCAGAAAAAGTTTTTGTCGCTTGGTTCCTTTTCGATAAGCGTTATCCATATAATAGGCATATTATGTAAGAAAACATAAAATGTGAAAAAAACTGAAAAAAAAATAATAAAACGGGTGTTCGCAAAATATCACATTTTCAAGACTATCATAGTAGAGGTTATATTAAAAAACTGATTGATAAGTAACACTTTATCACCCTGTATCTTGGAAACAAGTAATTAGGAAAAATATTTTTTTGGGTTTTCATCTTATTTTGACTTGTTCAATCTTTTTCTAAATGTATGCCAATAAGTTTAGGGACACCTTGTATAACTGAAGATTATATAAATATGTTTTTTAAGTATTGTTAGTTGGTTAAAATTAAATTGCCTCGCCAATTCGTCAATGTTGTAAATTTTCGTAAAATCTTTTCGTTAAAATAATTTGTAAATAATATTTGGAAAGATTTTAAAACAATTTTTCTAGTTTATAACATAATTTTCCCAAATTTTTTTTTTTTAATTTTTCTGGTGAAAAGACCTGTTTTTTTTGCAATGAGATTTAACGAAAATCTATTGATACTAGAAAGGATTTATAGAAATATTTTAAACGAAAATACAACGGAAATATTATTTTATATTTAACGAAACGTTTTTTATTTTTTGTTTATTTTTACAATTATTTATATACAAATTTTTTCTACTGTTTTTTTTTTAAATTACGATTAGTATCCAAGTACTCTTTTCTGGTCCAAATATACTATAAAACGTACTAAAATATAAAAAAATATATAAACATTGGCAAAATTTCAAAGTTTTTTTTAAGTTTTTCAATGAACTGTCTAGTTTTTAAAGTATCAAAACGGTTAAAATTTAACAATTTTATCAAATTATTGGAAATCAAGTCAAAACAAGTCGTTAAATTTCACAAATTTTATGAACATACCTGTTAAATTTATTATTTAGAAAAAGGATTATAATTGTTTGTGGATTTCCTCTAATTTAATGTAGTTTAATATAGAATTTCGAGCTGATAATCCTCGAAATTGAGTACCTGTGCCATAGTTCCGAGAAATCTTTTTGCACTACCTCTCCTTTTTACCCCACCCTTGATCCGCATCCCTTAGTTATTTTCACTTAAGAGCAACTGATGGCTTCTAGAAAATCAGTTGCATCCTTAAGTTTGCAGAAGTAACTATTATAATACATTTGTTAAATAAGTGAGTTTATATTGTAATAGGCACCCCTAGCGGGTGTTTAAGAGTGAAGTAAATTTTTGTAAAATAGTGTACATTTTTATTGTTTTTAGTAAACGATTGCGTCTTTTGTACCCGGCGCGGGAATATTTCGTTCACTACCGTTATTTCCACGTGGTAGTACGGAATATTCTCACGCCCGGTTAAAAGGAAGAAACCACGTGTGTACGAGACTTTTCCAGGCCCATTTTCTCTATCTTTGGTGATCTAGCCGTGTGAGTGATTTTGGAGTCTCGCGGTTATGTTACCAATATAGAGCGACTGGATGTAATTACAAAATATTGCAGATTTTCCTTTAATTGGCGGTTATTGTGAAGGAACTATTGGTGTGATTTGTTTTTTACTTATTCATATCACAGCCATTAGTTACTTCATTGTGGTCGCCACAATCATCATTTTATTCGTTTTGGGAGGTTTAAATTTCATATTTTCTTCGGGTGTTCCTTTTAAGTCGCATGGATTTTAACATTGTGACTAGATCGAACATTCGCAAGTAATATGTTAAAATCAACAAAATATTTATTTGAATGTATAAAAACCGGCATCTTGTTAGTTGTTGGCGTGGTTTTAATGATGTTTTTTATAGTCATAAAGCTATGTCAGCAATTAATAATGTGTGGGGTATCGTCACACCAGGCAACATTTCCGGAAAAATCGCTTTACATAAAAGAAGCATCCAAAACAATAAAAGGTAAAGTAGCATTGTGGGGTTCCTTAAATTTGCATGAATTCTATTTAAAACAGGTAAAAGTAATAACAATTGAAAATATTATTTTAATAGGCTTTGTAGGCGGCACAATACGTACCCTAGTTGAGCCTTCTAAGAATTTACTTTTACTTAAAACGCATCTGTTACTCTATTTACTTTACAGCTGGTCTTGGCGGGAATATATATTAAATAGGATTTATGGTCTATTTTTCAATGTTCAAGATTTATATTGCAACAATATACAGGGTGTTATTTCATAAATGAGAAAATAAAAAGTACTTTTCAATAGAAAAAAATATTTATTTAATAAAATCGACATTGAGTTAGTACTATTGGACTAGTACAGCTATACTTTTTGGGCAATATAACTAGGATTGCAGTGATTTTAATAATTTTACGTAATAATAAATAACAATAATTATCATACTTAACACTAAAATACAAGATGTGCAAACAATTTTGGAATGAAAACATACAAAATACGGAAAGGGCGGTGCATTTATGATATAGAATTGGCACATGATATCACCTAATTATGTCTATATTTGGTAACTTAATTATCTTTATTTTTGTGAATTATACAGGGAATATGAAAAAGGAGCCAAAGTTTTAGGAATTAAACCATATACATATTTTTCCTTATTCCCCAACAAGTTTTTTAGGCATCGGTTTTAAACTCTGCCCCATCTTGCATTTTAAAAAAGTTTAAAATCAAAACTAATAGTCTATTGCAATTATGGACACATACCACTGAACACAACACTTATTGTTATTTTTTGGTGTATACTTTTTTATAAATTTTCAACTAAAATAGCACTTTTTGGAGGTCAGCCTCGATGTGAAGGTGTTATTGGAGGTAGATGGTGGCCGCACCTGGGGAAATTTGGGGGCACGGGGGGCAAGTCGCTTTGTGTACCCACGTGGATTATTAGATTCATTCCAATAAGTATATGGAAGAGGAAGTGACAGTGAAACAACCAAAAACCTAAAAAAATGTTAATGTTAAAAACAATTAGGACGATTTTTTTCTTTTAATTGTTACCGTGAACACGGGTGACTTTAGCCCTTTTATGAACAATTTTTTCGCGCTCGATAAAATTAACATTTATAATTTGTTGGTCTAAACCTGCCAATTGAGCGATTCTATTGAGTTTATATTACAGGTAAATCATTGTTTTAAAAAAATAAATGGGATTTATTACAATTTAAAGTTGAATATATTGCATTAGTGCAAAAATACACGCGTTACAATTTCTATATTATGCGCAATTCTTTGGAATGATGATCCTTGGTTAACTACAGGTCGATTTTTAATTGTTTTTATCGGTAATCCGTTGCAATTCCTATATGTAGCTGCTAACATATGTCTAATAAAAATAAAATAAAATATTGAGTTAATTTTATACGGAAAATACACTGTAAGACAAAGTAACCCGCAACCAGGGGGTAACTTTGCACACCCAGTTTTTAATTTTAATTTTTGAAACTCAGCCCTACGTAAGATTATAACATAGTTATTATGAAAGAGCAACTCAAGACTCAAATTTTGGTATACAATATTTAATGTTTATGATTGTTAAAACTACAAAAATGTTAAGATTAAGTATGAAAGTGAGCTAAAGCCACCCGTGTTTACGGTACTCTTTTTAATCTTACCTGGATTATCAGCTCTAAACCTCAGAATAACGTATCCATTATTAGGAACAGCTATTGTGTCTTTAGATGGTGGTAATTGGAAATGCCTATGCAATAAACCTCTTCTATCCAAATCTAGAGCGTGTTTCAAGTTAATTTTTTTCACGTTTTGATCAGGTGATCTTCCTATACCAATAACGTTAAAGGAGTAACCATGCAAATGGAAAGGGTGACTCAAGTTTGGAGATTGAACTATAAAAAACAAAATATATTTCTTGTTTATATAACTTTTTTCTAAAATGTCTACCTTCATCAACCAATACAACCTCAACAATCGCATTTAAAGGTATGTCGACCATATGGGTGCATTTACAATTTGGTCCACATTGCTCCGGTCTATTATCACCATTACAAAACTGTTCTGGCGGTATCTCTTTTAACTGTGATAGAGGAGGAGCAGGTGCACCAACGTACGAAATTTCGTCTATCAAACTTATAACATGATCACCGCCAACAGCAGCTAAAAAAATGTTAATTTTGTTGGATTTAAGACTTGATAGATAAAAGCATGCTCTTTGGTTTAAGTCAGCGTTTCTCAAAGTGTGATCCGCGAATGATTGTGAGATCTCTATTATATTGGTCATGTTAAACATTAAAAATGTTTGTTTTATTATTTTAATTTTATCTCTAACATTTTTTTAAAGTAAATAACATACCCGTCATATTAGATCCCCTTTTTAGGGTCTCTGTTACTAAAAAAGTTAGAGAAACGCTGGTCTGAGTCATTACCTAAATAGTTATTATAAGTGTTGGGTTTAAACAGCTCTTGGGGTTTGTAGAAATAGAATCTGAATGGAAGGAAAATTTTGACATCTGGTCTTTCTTGTAGTAAGGCTTTATCCACCTTTTTTGCGTTTTTCAATTGATTTACACATATCGCATCCCGCCTAGGTTTGTTACAAATGGCGTCGAGCGGATTCATAACCTAAATAAATCATTAAAATGTAACATTGTTTATTTTAGGATTTAAAACTCTTGGTAATATTTTACAATACCTACCATATTTATTTACATTTATTTTACATATGCATACGTTACCTTTCCAAATAGCTATAGGCAATATATTTACATATAAACTAAATATGTACAGATTTTACTTAAGTTATAGAGAAATAACTGTTAAAAAAATATTGAATTATGTCATTTTTAGTTGGTTTAAGGTATTTTTTTTACATTTTTGACGTTTGACCTATATACAAGGTGTCCCTAAACTTAGTGGCATAAATTTAGGAGCAGATTAAGCAAGTCAAAATAAGACGAAAATCTAAATAAATATTTTTCCTAATTACGTATGTTTAAAAGATACAGGGTGATAAAGTGTTACTTATCATATCAGTTTTTTTAATATAACTTCTACTATGGTAGACTTGGAAAGGTGATATTTTGCGAACAGTCACTTAATACCAAAACACATATTCACACATAATTACAATTATTTGAGTGAACACAGTGTCGTAGAAACAGGGGTTGCTTAATCTTATTGTCCCATACAAACTTTGAGGTAAGGTTTTTATACCATTTGATGCAATTTTTCGATTACTCAGTTCGGCTACTATTAAAAAGGTGTACCTCTCAAACTTCGATAAAATTAACCGTTCTCGAGATATTCGAGATTACAATAATTGTTATATCGCATTAAAGGACTAAAAGTTATATGATAAAAAAAAATTAATTGAAAAAACTACATTTTTTTAATGTGACGGTCAGGGCAAAAAGTCCCGAGGCTCATGGAATGCCCTTTTTAGTTTTTTCAATTAAAAAATAAAATTTGTTATCATAATATGATATATATTATACCTTTTAATCCTTTTAAATAATGCGATACAACAATTATTGTAATCTCAAATATCTCGGAAACGGTTTATTTTATCGAAGTTTGAGAGGTACACCTTTTTAATGGTAGCCGAACTGTTTAATCGATAAATTGCATCAAATGTTACAAAAACCTAACCTCAAAGTTTGTATGGGACAATAAGCTTAAAGCAACCCCCGTTTCTACGACACTGTGTTCACTCAAACAATTGTAATTATGTGTGAATATGTGTTTTGGTAGTAAGTGACTGTTTGCAAAATATCACCTTTCCAAGTCTACCATAGTAGAAGTTATATTAAAAAAACTGATATGATAAGTAACACTTTATTACCCTGTAACTTTTAAACATACGTAATTAGGAAAAATATTTATTTAGATTTTCGTCTTATTTTGACTTGCTTAATCTGCTCCTAAATTTATGCCACTAAGTTTAGGGACACCTTGTATATTTAAAATAATTTTTAACAGTTAATTTTCTTTGCTATGTCTATCAAAGCTGTAAAAAAGTCTTATCCTAGAGGTGTTTAATAAAATCCTGTCACCCAAACTATATTTACATAATAAACACATTTATTAAATTAAAATATTTTACATATAATTTTATTAAAAATAACAGTAACGGTTTATTAAACGAGTTATTCGTGACTGCGAGAGACTAGTACAGTCGAATAACCGCGAACTATGTAATCCAAAAGTAAACATTATTTAATAATACCTTCATTTCCAATAAGTACAAAAATAATTAACTGTACAATAATATGACGATATTAGAATATTATTATTGACACAGGCCGACAAAATAAAATTTTCTGTTTGCGGCATGGAAGCCAACAACTTTTCTAGGGTAGGTACTATACGTTAAACAATTACCATAATTGTGCTCGATCAGCTCTTGATTTTGCGATATCGTGAACATAAAGAGTAAGAGTAAAATAACGACCGTTTTTGTATTTTTGGAGCAGGCTCAGATTACCCTAGAAAAGTTAATGCCCACCTTGCAGAAAAATGGCTGCTGACCAGTGTAATCTATGTTTAATAATACTATTAAAAAGATTTACAAAACCTAATTAGGGTATAAGGAAAAAATACTGTTCGAAATGTAATAATAATATATTCTATGACATACCAGGAAATGGCAAGCAAGCGTTACAGCTAAAGGACTCTACACCTTTTCCAACTCTATTTCAGAAAGCGTTAAATGTATTTCAGAATAGTTAAATGTATTTTAGAAGGGATGAAATTTTTGAAAGCAGTATTTGTATTATAGAATGGTGAAAATATATATTTCAGAAGCTTTTTAATACCTACCTACCAGTTTTTACAGAATATACAACATGAAGTTATATAAACGTTAATTATGCGCATTTCTGTATTTTTTTATAGAGCGTTCAATTTACTACAAGAATACATATTGGACTTTATGGTGTACATTCTGTTAAACTGTTCCAAAGTTAAAAAAAATCACGTTATTTCAATGGGATATAGAAAATCGCGATGAACCACCTCTTTAAATATAAATATTAAGAGCTTATATTTTAACAAGGTCTATGTATAATATAATATTATGCTCTATTCGATATTTTTGAATCACTCTGTACATACATAAAATAATATAAAAATATAGGGTGTCCCAATATGTGTTAAATAGGCCTCGTAAAAGAAAACATTAGAAACTTGAGCATATTTGAAGAATATTTTAAAAAGTTTCTTTCCATTTATTTACTAAAACAAAATTTTTTAAAAATGCCCTTCTAAAATATATTTAACACGTTTTAAAATACATTTATCGCTTTCTGAAATACATTTGACTATTTTAAAATATATTTAACCCTTTTTGAAATATATTGACTATTCTAAAATATATTTAACGCTTTCTGAAATAAAATTAGAAACGGTCTAGTCTATCTAGTGAAAGGGAGTTTAAATAAAGTATTTCGTTGCGATTTCTTGGTATGTTTTCTTATGTACAACAGACATTAGCACCAATCAATGGTATTGGTAACTAAGGCAATTAAATTCTAAATAAAAAAGTAGTTTATAGGAAGAGAGGTAGCAAAGACTTACCTTAAATATATGGCGATTTTAGACCATTAAAAGATAAATAATATAAATTATATAGATTGGTTAAAATTACAACAAATATTTAAAAAGTAAATTTCGGGTAATGGCAAGATCAAAACGCTTAATTTTAACTACGGTTTTCTTGAAATTTGGTTAAGGTAACTTAAGTAGGACCCTTTCAAAGTAAATGAAATTATAGTTGTATTACTCTGCTCGACAAGCACAATTAATGAATTGTTAAAAATAATAATTAGAATCAAATAGTTTTGAACTTTAAACGCCATAACACCATAAGTATAATTAGTACGGGCTGGGCACAGAAACCGACTAGTTTTGAATTACTCTATAAAACTGTAATTTTGGCTGTACACAATAATTCTTATTATTGCAATAGCAAAAGTTACAGTTTTCATGATTATGCAGGATTTAATTCATTGCACATAATGTATATGTTAAATGCTATGTTCCAGTCGGATTTGTGCCCACCCTGTATAATAAAAACCTTACCATTTAAAATATCAAAAAAAAGATGTGTACTTTTTATACTATTTAAAAATTATGAAGTACTCTCTAAAAATTAATTTGTCAAAAATGACTAATTGTCATAGTGAAAAAGCAGCCATTAATAACTCTCGTCAATAGCAATTTGCATCCCAAACATTTAGCAGTCAATTTCCATGTAAAATTGTCCCCTGAATCAGAAAATGTTGTCAAAAGTAGAACAGTTTTTGAGATATAGTCATTTTTTTTATATAATATGGAATTGACCATATCTTAAAAACTGCACTACTTTAATAATTTTTGACGGTATTTTCGGATTCAGGGGACAATTTTACGTAAGAATTGGGTGTTAAATGTCGGGGATACCATGGTATTCCATGATTAACCATGGTATTAGTGAAAAAGCAGTCACTAAAAACTATAGTAACTAGTCATTTTTGACTAATTAATTTTTAGAGAGTAGACAATGTACACAATGATTATTAGATAACTTTAATTTTCATTAACTATGCATAAAAAACGTCAAAAGTATTTTAATTGTTTAGGAAATTTTAATTTAAGAAGTTTAAACAGTTTAACTACTACGAAGTAAATAAACGCCAGTTTTTAAAGTCAATATTTTAGTTATAAAAATAGAATCCTTTTTAAAAAATGTTATTTATTGAAGTCAAACGAATTACTTGAGAAATTTTAGGATGGTTTTGCCTTTACCAATTTTCAAATTTTAAAACTATAAATAAGGGATTGTTCATAAAGTACGTTACACTTTTAGGGAGAAAGGGGCTCAAGACTGTGACATCGTGTGATATAATAATAAATACGTGTGATATAGGGGGGTCTGAAATCCATGTACTTTATGGACGACCCCTTATAAAAATGTAAACATCCATGTTTTGTGTCAATTAAGTTTTTATCAAATGACTTTACACTGGATTGTTTTACTATGTTCTACCAAAACTGTTTAAGCTATCTAAGATATTATTAGGAGGCATTATTTGACTAGCGCTCTAATTAATATTTGTACAATTTACACACTATCATCATCCCCAAATACTTTGAAAGCAACGAAACTAATAACTCAAACTTATAACTTGTCGTAATAGTTATCGATATTCAACCCGATCTCGGGCCTGTGGTTACCGCAGGTCGGGAAACTTGGTGGTACTGGCGGCAGATCACCGTGATTACCGACTTGAAGAACCAAATTCATTCCGATGACGATGTGGAAGAGGAAGTGACAGTGGAACAACCAGAAACCTGGATTGTCGGCTCTAAACCTCAGTACCACGTAACCGTTGTTTGGCACAGCGATTGTGTCTTTGCCGGGCGGTAAGTTGTATTGTCTGTGCAAGAGACCCTTTCTGTCGAGGTCCAAGGCGTGTTTCAAGTTGATTTTTTTCACGTTACGGTCCGGGGAACGGCCTATACCAATTACGTTGAAGGAGTAACCGTGGAGATGGAAGGGATGACTCAAGTTTGGTTGTTGAACTAAAAAATAAATTGTATATTGATTATAGTCTAAGATCCCAAGTAAGGTCGACCTTCACCCATCTGCTTACCAGATGAAAATTATATTTTATCAAATAAAATATGTTTCTGAACATAAACCAATAGGGTTGCCATAAAAAATATGATCAAGGCTAGCTATAATAAATAAAAAATTAAAAAAAAAATAAATAATTTTTTAAATTTCACCGACTTGCTTGCCAAATGAACGAAATTCCAATGGAAAGCATACAACATACAGAATATGTAACAGCTAGGTTGCCTACCTTTTTCTGGTCCCTATTACCTGGTTGCTTTGTACAGGGTGATCCCCTATAATGTCGCCCCCCTTTAACTTTTTTATTTTAAGTGTCCCAAAAAATTTAAAAGTGTGAGCCGAAATAATTAATATCGGTATCTTGGTTGCCTAACTTCGTGCGCCTTAGTTTGAATTGTTTAAACTGTGTGTTTTTTGTCATATTTTTTTGGGGTATTTATTTTACAAACATTTTAATTCGCTTCGCGAATTTAGTTTCCGTACGTAAGTTAAAGTGTTAAAACCTCTGGAGTCGTACAAATATTAACAACCTTAATAATTTGTTTTCCGGTTTAGGTAAGGACATACTATTTATTTTAAGCCAGATTAGCTATTGCTGAATTGCATTGTAATTTTAATAATATAATATATATTTAATATAATTTTCACGTACGTAAGGCTAAAAATAGTTTAAATTTTTAGCGCTTTGCTTGAGACGTATCCTGTAACAATTGGAGAAATAAAAACAACGAATCACCCCACAAAAGTGTTTCTTTTTTTCGTACTATACCAGCAAAATCCACAGCTCTCCGACTGTTACGTTACATCTTGGCTCCCAACGTGGGGCTGGTGATTAAAGAACACTTTAATATGTTTGGTGAACATCCTCCAAAAGAAAATGGAAAACGAACCACCCGACAATCGTCGAAAAATCAGCAGAGGTCAAACCTACCGGCCGAAGGTCAGCTACCGGTAGATGAACCGCCACGCGCGGACGCTGACGCAGAATCGGCGTCATGCATGCCGGCAAGCAGCCATCAGGACCAAGGAGCAAGAGTGGGTCCCTCAACAGGAGCAGTAAAAAGACATTACACCCAGGGGCTGCCTAGGATGCCTACAACTCCCTCCACGGCGCCCGCATCACCCTACGGGGAAGGAAACCAAGGTAGGAGAATTCCAATTTCTTTCTCTCTGAACGAAAGGCCAGTTGATGAACAACATCTTCAACATAACTTTAATAATGTTAGGCAATCTGGCTTAAATATTGGTTTACCTAGTCAAATAAATAGTGATAGGGAGTTTACAGACATAAATCGTCCTTCAGACATGAACAATTTGAGTTTAAATAATTCAAATGTAGGTTTTGCGGGGTTGGCACATAATAATCATCCTCCGCAAACTTGGGCTCCCTCTGCTACTTTTCCTCGCGATAGAGTTAACTTAAATAATTCGCAGCGTTTATTTACCGCGACAAATAATGCTGATTATAGGGTGGCATCTCCATATTGCAACCCTGCATGTGGAGATTATTCTTTCCAACCCAGAATAATTCCGGGTGCTTTTAATAATTTTTATAATGGTTTACCAGATAGTGGTAAAATATTACCAGAATTCCACGATGACCAACGAGTCCACCCAGTGGAATTTGTGCGTCGTTTAGAAAACGCGTTAACGACTTTCAATATTGATTTCAATATATTTCCGAGCTGGTGTGAGAAACAATTTAGGGGTAAAGCGAAAGCATGGGCAGACGCGCTTCTTTATACGTTTAATCACTTTGACGCATTTAAGGCAGCTTTTCTAAACCATTTTTGGAATGCGACACGCCAAACTCAAACGAAATTAGAGCTTGAAGCTGGCAGATACTATTCTTCCTCGGGTAGCTACGTCGATCACTTTTTAGTAAACGTTGCCAAAGCCAGGTTTTTACTACCTGCCTACGCAGAAAGTGACTTAATTGCCATAATTGCAAGGCATTATAGTCCGACAATTTCATGCGCACTTATCGGCGTTATTAATATAGAAGATGCACTGGATAGGCTGCGCCTAGCAGACCACTATAATGCTGCGGGAAGTTTTGACAGGAACTCGCGCCGCAATATCGCTCGTAATGAAACGCCTACTCAAGATAAGTATCAAAATAAAAGTGATAACAATAATACAGAAAAAAGAGCTGGTCGCTACATAGTGTCAGCACTGACGACAGATTCGGGTAATGAAGAGTTTATTAGGCCGTCGGAAAACTAGATTTTCCTCTAGCCATCGGTTCGGGTTCGGGGAACTTAAAAAAATGCAGAACCAAAATAATTAATAGTAATAATCCGCTTTCAGAGCTTTTAAATGATTGCGACTTTGACCACAGTGTTGATTTTGCTGAAGTACGTTGTCCTGTCGTTAATTTTAACGTGGGGGACTTTTCTTTTCCATGCTTAATAGACACGGGAAGTACGGTTTGTTGCGTTTCACAAAACGCCTGGGAACAAATTACAACGGCAGATCCAAATTTGCCTATTTTCCCGGTAACAGGAATAAAAGTATCAGGGGCTTTTAAGGCGAAAAATAGGAAAGTAACGCACCAGGCACAGATAACTTTTAAACTTAATGAATGCATTTTTCAATTTGAATTTCTTTATGTACCAGACTTAATTTATCCAGTTTTAATTGGTTCAGACTTCTTAAGAGTCTTCTCCGCGTCAATTGATTATAAACAAAAATGCGTTTTTCTACAAAAAGGCTCTAATATAGTAAAAATTAATGAAATCAAACTATTTCATGACTTAAATCCCCCATCGTCTTTACAAGCGGAGATTATAAATCGCGGTCAGGATAAGTTAATCTTAACATTAAACCTAAACCATAATCTTGCAGCTAATCCAGATATTCTTAATAATATTCATCTTGGGGAGGAACACAAAATTTTGTTTGGGAAATTACTCCAAAAGAATAAACAACTTTTCTCAGATATACCGGGGCGAGTCGAAATGTACGAGCACCGGATTTTATTACGCGATACTACACCATTCTTTTTAAAACCATATCCCATCCCTATAGCGCATCGTGCCGCGGTTCAAAAACAAATCGACTTAATGGAACGGTGGGGAGTGATCGAGCGCGCTGAAACGTCGTTTAGCAGCCCGCTGTGTACAGCGGTCAAACGCGATGGCTCTGTGCGAGTGTGTTTAGACGCGAGGCGTTTAAATTCGGTAATGTTTTCGGACTCGGAACTGCCTAGGCCATTGGAAGATATTTTTAAAGACTTGCGCTCACCAAAGTTTATGTCCATATTAGACCTAACCCACTCCTATTGGCAAATTCCGTTAAGGAAAGAAGATCGACAATATACTGGCTTTTTGCATGGTACCAAATCATACGTATTTAACGTTTTGCCATTTGGACTTAAGACTGCTGTCAGTAGTTTTACTAGATGTATGGATAAAATACTTGGCCATCTCAGGGATTTCGTTAAACTATACGTAGACGACATTTTGGTCATATCTTCCTCTTTTGACGAGCACCTAAAGCATTTGCGCCTAGTTTTTGAAAAGTTAACGGAAGTGGGGTTTACTTTACGTTTAGATAAATGTAAATTCTTCCAAAAAGAAGTCAATTACTTGGGGTACACTATTAATGCTACGGGCATGCGTCCAGATACCTCGCGGGTGTTAGCTATAGAAAACTTTGCGGTACCGCGTAACATAAAGCAGTTAAGGGGATTTTTGGGGTTATGTAACTTTGATCGCCCGTTCTGTCAAAACTTTTCCACAACAGCGGAACCTTTATTTTATTTGCTTAGGAAAGAAACTAAGTGGTCATGGGGCGAGACTCAGCAACGCGCTTTCTCTGATCTTAAAGACCTGATTAAGAAGAGTATTTTATTATATCATCCAAACTTTAGCCATAGCTTTTTTGTTCAGGCAGATGCTAGCGATGTAGGACTCGGAGCCGAATTGTTTCAGTACATCGAGGCGAAAAAGCGAGTGGTAGCGCGAATTAGTCGGTTACTCTTAGACCGCGAACGCTTATACACAATATCGGAGAAGGAATGTCTCGCTATTGTTTACGCCCTAACGAAATGGCGAACTTATTTAATCGGTCGTCCCTTTACGATCTATAGTGACCATAAAGCGTTGATATACTTAAACACTTGTCGGTTGTTAACGCCTCGAATTTCTCGTTGGGCCCTGGCTTTACAAGAGTTCGATTTTACCATTGAATTTGTACCTGGTAAATATAATTGTGTCCCAGATATCTTGTCGAGGCATCCCAATGCACGTCTACCAACGCCGAATGATCGCTGTTTTAATATCAGTCGGATTACGCGCTCATTACCTACGGAACTTTTAGGGGAACTTTCAAAGATTATAGAATATCAAAATGCGGATGAAAAACTAGCACGCATTAGAGCTAGTGTCGCTGCAGACCCCAATACAAATGGTAGGTTTATTTTAAATAATGGAACCCTGTTTATGCGTAAAGATGAGGACTCTCCTTTTCTTCTCTGCATACCAAAATCTCTAATCCCACAATGTATCAATGCCTATCATGAGGTCGGGGGTCACTTTGGGGTGTATAAAACGTGGTCGGCGTTGAAAAATGATTTGTGGTGGCAGAATATGCACGCCTCAGTAAAAAGGGCCCTGCGCACTTGCGAAATTTGTCAAAAGGCTAAAGTTAGTCAAATGCCACAACCTAGTTTTCACGCTATAGTACCTGAAGGGCCTAATGATCTGTTAGCCATTGATCTATATGGACCTTTGCCAATGTCTCGAGGCGGTGTAACTTTTCTTTGCGTAATAGTCGATGTATTTACTAAGTTTGTAACTCTTTTTCCACTGAAAAAAGCTAAGACCCCGGCCATATTAAAACACCTAAGGGTCTATTTTGATAAATTCGGAAAGCCCAAGCGTATATTGACTGATCATGGTACGCAGTTTACCAGCGATGCCTGGGTAGATACTTTGAAGTCCTTGAATATACAAAATGTTCATTGTTCGGTGCGGCATGCTTGCGCTAACAATAGTGAGCGTACGATGAGGGAATTGGGGCGCCTATTTCGCACTTATTGTCACTCGAGGCATACTCGTTGGTCTTCGGAGGTCGGTCATATTGCAGAGCTGTTAAATTGTGTCGTTCACGAAAGTACGGGCTTCACCCCTTATGAACTGCAATTTGGGAGTTCCCCACCGCCTCTATTACCTGAAAGGTTTAGGTTGGTAAGTGCGGCGCCGCGAAATAATCATGTAAAGGTTTTTCTAGCCAAAGAGAGTTTGCTGTCCAAAGCCGCTCGGCGAATGGAAAAAAACCCCGGTCGTCCTTACTATCAATTCCAACCGGATGACCTGGTATTGTTAAAAGCAAATCCAGTCTCGTCCGCAGCTTTGAACCTGACAAAAAAGTTTTTACTTCTCTTTGAAGGCCCTTACCGAATAAAAAAACAAGTCAGCTGTGCTACGTATATTTTAAGTCAGTTGTATAGCAATGAAGAGAGGGGTATGTTTCATGCGTCGCATCTAAAAAGGTATCACAAACCTTGATTTACCTGTTAAAGAGTTAAAGAAAAATCAAGGTTGGGGGAGTGATGAGCCGAAATAATTAATATCGGTATCTTGGTTGCCTAACTTCGTGCGCCTTAGTTTGAATTGTTTAAACTGTGTGTTTTTTGTCATATTTTTTTGGGGTATTTATTTTACAAACATTTTAATTCGCTTCGCGAATTTAGTTTCCGTACGTAAGTTAAAGTGTTAAAACCTCTGGAGTCGTACAAATATTAACAACCTTAATAATTTGTTTTCCGGTTTAGGTAAGGACATACTATTTATTTTAAGCCAGATTAGCTATTGCTGAATTGCATTGTAATTTTAATAATATAATATATATTTAATATAATTTTCACGTACGTAAGGCTAAAAATAGTTTAAATTTTTAGCGCTTTGCTTGAGACGTATCCTGTAACAATTGGAGAAATAAAAACAACGAATCACCCCACAAAAGTGTTTCTTTTTTTCGTACTATACCAGCAAAATCCACAGCTCTCCGACTGTTACGTTACAAGTGTGGTTATGTAGGAACTAAAAAATACTTTTTTTCTACGTATAAAGAAAATTGGAAAATTGATAAGTATACAGGGAAAACAAAAAGTTTATTTTTTTCAATGGATCACCCTATATATGAATTTATTTTTCGATTCCTTGTAAAATTCTAAGCATATTTCATATATCATACCATATACCTAAATTCAACCGTTTCTGAAATATTTAAATTATTTTTAAGATAATAAGTTGAAATAGTTTGTTTTTCTCTGTCTGAGTACGCCATTTTTACTTATTTAACAACACTTATTGACATAATGTCACTATAGTAATTTATTTTCAATAAAAATTTTGGTATACTGAGACTTCTTGATTTCTAACAGTTTAAAAAAACATTTAATGATGACATTTCGAATGCGAATATTTCAGAAACGGTTGAATTTAGGTATATGGTTTGTTATATAAATTATGCTCAGAATTTTACAAGGAATCGAAAAATAAATTCATATATACGGTGATCCATTGAAAAAAAATAAACTTTTTGTTTTTCCCTGTATACTGATCAATTTTCCAATTTTCTTTATACGTAGAAAAAAAGTATTTTTTAGTACCTACATAACCAAACTTTTATATTTTTTGGGACACTTAAAATAAAAAAGTTAAAGGGGGGCGACATTATAGGGGATCACAGCTGTACAAAGCAACCAGGTAATAGGGACCAGAAGAAGGTAGGCAACCTAGCTGTTACATATTCTGTATGTTGTATGCTTTCCATTGGAATTTCGTTCATTTGGCAAGCAAGTCGGTGAAATTTAAAAAATTAATTATTTTTTTTTAATTTTTTATTTATTATAGCTAGCCTTGATCATATTTTTTATGGCAACCCTATTGGTTTATGTTCAGAAACATATTTTATTTGATAAAATATAATTTTCATCTGGTAAGCAGATGGGTGAAGGTCGACCTTACTTGGGATCCTCTACTATTATGTATGTTAAAAGTTTACAACATTCTAGAGTTTGATTTGATTCAAGCTAGATCATTTTGGAAATAACACCAATATAAAATGACCATACAATAGTCTCTAGAAATGGTTTTCTTCTGTACATTTGTTTCTGACTTACCTTCATCAACCAGTACAACTTCCACGACAGCATTCAAAGGTATATCAACTTTGTGAGTACACATACAATTTTCACCACAATTTGGTGGTCTGTTATCACCATTACAGAACTGTTCTGGGTTGATGTCATCGTATTGAGAAGTCAATGGTGCTGGTGCAGATATATAAGATATTTCATCGATCAAACTGATAACATGGTCGCCATTTGGAGCAACTGAAATAATAAAAATGTCAGTATTTTTCGTCTATTTGTTTAAAATTTAAACGCTATTTTTGATATTTGAATGTCTGAAAAGTAGGATTTGGGGTCCTTTTTAAAGCCTACTCTTTGATATAAAAAGAATCAACCCAATAATTGATTTGGGTTTCTTGTAATTTGAAAAAGGAAGTGTAAAGTACGAGGTGTGTTCAGAAAATATCGGGAATTTTCGTTCTTTGAAACAAATATTTATTTATTCGTCTACATTAATGTTGTCGCCTTCAAAATAGTCCCCATTGCACATGTGCCAGCTCTTCTTCCAATTCTCGAAACACTTCTAAAACTCGATCTTTGCATGGGATAGCCTTTAGTTCTTTCAGCGATGCGCTTTTAATGTCATCTATGCTTGCAAAACGACGGCCCTTTAAGGTTCTCTTTATTTTTGGGAATAAGAAAAAGTCAGACAGAGTTATGTCTGGCGAATACGGAGGCTGGGGCATCATTACAGTATTGTTTTTGGCCAAAAATTTTGTTCAAAATTTAACAATTTTATAACAAATTTTGCTGCCACGCGCTTCATACCCAAAACATTCGAAAAAATTTCATGGGATGAGCCAATCGATATACCAACATCATCAGCGACTTCTCTGATGGTTTATAACCATTTCTTCCACTTTTTCCATGTTTTTATCAGTTGTTAATGTGCTTGTGCGTTCGGGGCGTTCGTCATCTTCAACGTCTTCACGGCCATCTTGGAAACTCTTATACCACTTGTAAACTCTTGTTTTACTTATAGCAGACTCACTATAGGCCTTTGTTAACATTTCACAGAATTTATTTAATTTTTTAAGCAAAATTGGATACAAATTCTTTGATCCATTTCTTTTAACGAACGAAAAATCGCCGAGCTCATAAAACACGTCTAACCTTAGCGGCTGCCACAGACAAAGTAAACAATGAACACAGCTAAAGTTTTTATCATACTTCGGGGCATGTATACCAACATAATAAAGAAAATTTTATAACAACCGGACCCTCCGAACCCGCGAAATTTAACAATTCCCGTTATTTTTTGAACACACCTCGTAGACCCTTCTCAACCTTGATGTTTAAGTGCAACATTAAACATTGACAAATTTAATGGACCGAAGTTTTAATGCAGCCACCGTATATCCCGAGCCTTGAACCAATTGATTAACTCTTAATAGTTTAAAATTGGACTAAAAATTACTTGGTTTTATTTTTTGCCCAAAAACTTCACCAATGGATTAATGGCTCTACCAGAAAAATGACAAACTAAACATTCTTATGTACTTTTAAGATAAAATATTGCAAAAATAGCGTTTATTGTTGAAAGAGTAGTTTAATACTTCACCTAAATGTCTGTTGTAACTGTTGGGATTGAAAAGATCCTCAGGAGTATACACGTGGAAACGGAAAGGTAAGAAAATCTTTAAGTCGGGCTTTTCCCTCAAAATTCCCTCATCAATTTCCTTGGCATTTTTCAATTGGTTGACGCAAATTGCATCAGTTCTTCTTTCGTTACATCTTGCATCAAGTGGATTTAAAACCTAATGGGGATTTATACATAATTACAGGTATTTACAATAACCCAGAGTCCCCATTTTGTTTTGCTATGTGAAAAAAATGTTTGATTTCTTTACAAATATAATTCACTAAACGTCCCACACCAGTAGCTATCTGTGTGAAGCCTTATTCAAATTTTATACAAAGTATACAAATTTTGTAATCTTTTGTATATATACAAAGTTTCCCTAATCTAATAGTCTATATCTCTACAAATTTATACACTTTTATCATAAAAAAGCTATTTTACATTCAATCTGATCTAATAAATGACTATTTTATACAAACATTCACCCGTTCAAACACCACTGTCATTCAGTATAAGTATTGACAATGTGGGTTCACTTACCACTCCCTGAGGGATACCGAAGTCGTATGTCGGTGGTGGTGATGAAGGTTGGTATGGGCCTCTAGCGTATCTCAGTATAGCCAACTGCTGGACTCTGTTTATACCACATTCCCCTAAAGCTCTTAATTGAATCCAATATGCGCCTGGAGGTTGGTTGGCGTTTATGACAAAATCGTATCTTTCACCTGAAAAAATGGGAACATTGAAAAGGAGAAACTTACAATAAAACAACTTAATTTGTACCTTTACATCCTATAATTATTTTAGAATAAAACAAGTGCTTGACTAAGTGCTTGGAAATAAATAAACAATTTAAGATTAATAATGGTGAAATGAATGATTGAATGAATTTGCAGAATTACTTTACTTTTTAGAATTTCTCTTCGCGACTTGGGCATAATAAATGCTATAAATAGCCAATTAATTCGCTAAAAAACTACATTAATTCCTTGTTTTTTTATGTGAACAAGATCATTCAAATTAGTTCCTTCTTCTTTTTATATCGTTAATGCAGAGCCGTAACTAGGTGCAGTATATAAAATCATTAAATGGTTTAATTTAATTTTGGAAGCTTATTTATTATATGTCCAAGGTTCAAAATTAGTGGATTCGCAGTTTACTTTATTAGTGGATTAGTGGATTCGCAGTTTTACTTTGGTTCTAATATCCTTTTATAATATGTACACTAGACTGGGCCAAAAAAATCAACTATTTTTTTTGAAAAGTACCTATATTGAAAATATGGTTTGGGGTGACAAAAAAAATTATTGTGAAAGTTTGAGTCCATAATATTAATATTAAGAGGTCTATCATCGCAATTTTAATTTTTTTTTCCTCAGCAAGTTTTTGTCTCAGAACCCCCAAACCATTGAGTTTAACAAAATTGACTCGAAAATATTTTTTAAAGAAATTAAATGCTCTACAAAAAAGGTTAAAGTGAAATTTTCCGTCAGATGAACCGTTTCCTTAAAATCATGCCTTAAAAATTGGTATAGTTTTACATTTTGATCTTTTAGATTGAAATTTTGTAATTCATGTAAAAATTAGTACCCATAAAAAACCGATAAATATTCTTATGGGAAATCAAATGCTTTACAAAAAAAGCCTCTCAACATTTTTGGCTAAATTCACTAAATCAAAAGTTATTCAAGGTTAAAATTTTGTTTTGACTTCAAATTTAACCTTGATTATTTCCCTCATTATAATATGAACCAATCAAAAGCCTTGAATTTTCGAATAATTTCGTTTAAATAAGCGATTAAATCACTAGAACTTCTTAACAGCGATTAAATTTTAGCCTCCATATTGGATTTTTGTTTGCGATTTTATGGTGTTATTTACAAGTTTTAACAAACATTTTTTATAAAACAATAAAAAATAAGTTATCTACTTTACGAAATATAACATACCTTAAATTAATGGAATTTTCTTTAAAAAAATATTTATAAATTTTGACACATACGTCAGATTTTATGAATTGTCAAGTAGTTTCCTTTAATTCGAGAAATAATCTAGACGTATATCACTCAACCTATAAATTTAATCTGTCAAACTATGCTCAGTAAGTTTTTTATTTGATTTTTCTTTTTGGAAAATAGTTTCATGCAAAATAATTAAAAATAAAACCCCTCGACCGCTACGCGGTCTCGTGATTTTATTAAATTATTTTGCATTCAACATTTTCCAACAAAAACCAAACAAAAAACTACTGAGCCTAGTTTAACCGATTAAATTCATAGTTCTCGTGATATAATATATGAATAACTTTTAAATTTAGCCAAAAATGATACTGATTTTTACATGAATTACAAAATTCCAAAGTTAAAAGATTAAATTGTAAAACTATACCAATTTTTAAAGCATGATTGTAAGAAAACGGTTCATCTGACGGGAAATTCCAATTTAACCTTTTTTGTAGAGCATTTAATTTTCTTCAAAAAATATTCCCAAGTCAATTTTGTTAAACTCAATGATTTGGGAGTTCTGAGACAAAAACTCGCTCAGGAAAAAAAAATCTAAAATTGCGATGATAGACCTCTTAATATCAATATTATGGACTCAAACTTTCACCATAATTTTTTTTGTCACCCCAAACAATATTTTCGATATACTTTACAAAAAAAATGGTCGATTTTTTTGGCCCAGTCTAATGTACACGTACCTACTGGGAAATGGGGTTTTTATGTAAATTAATTGAAGTTAAAGAATTACTCTAATTATGAATTCAGGACTGTTTGCCTCTTGCTACAGGCCAAGTCAATATTTTTTATTTTTTTGGTTTAAAAATTATCATTTTTTTATCTTTTGGAGAAAATGTCCGTATCTATCAATTTTGATTTAAGTACCATTTTGCCAATTTTTATTTGTTGAGTTTGAAATTTTAATAAAATAAAGTGGATTGAACAAACATTTTTCGTAAAACAGCATTTTAAAATTTGAAAATTGCCAAATTTTGGCTAAAGACTATATGTATGTATGTATAATTTAATTTATTTATTTATTTTTCATGAAGTTTATTAAAATGGAAAAAATCATTAATTTTATAGAAAAATAATTAAATTATTTTAAAAATTATGAAAAATACATGGCATCATAAAAAGTAAAAAAAAATCTAATCCAAATCTTTACAAATAAAAAAATCAGTTCCCGCTTTATTATTTAAAACAAAATAATAGTTTTTTATGAAAATAAATACTAAACATAAATATGTCAAAGCACATATTTTATTAAAAAGTTAAAAAATTGTCTTGCCCACAAATAAATTGATTACGGCACTGTTAATTTGTATCGAGCGCACGTATCTAGTAATTGCCCGACAATTTAAAATCGTGCTTTAGAAATCTCCCTCGACTAGGCGTTTTAAAAGTGTCGCTTAGTTCTTATAAATTTCCTAATAATTTGGTACGTGTCTAGAATCTCAAGGTTCCTTTTGTTATTTTATATTAAATTCGTAGTGTGTCCAAGCGGAACATAAAAAAGTCCCAGATCTAGATGCGGTTCTAAATACAAATTATCTTTTTGTGGGATTAGAAAATTAAGTCAAGTAAATAATAACGTTTATATTCCAAAGTAACATAAAAAAAAGTAAGCGTAAACCTGCGAAGAATGTTAAATTTCACTACTCACCGGAGAAAGAAATGATTGTGTTTACTTTGACGGGATGGACTGGTTCGCCGTCGGTGGCTATTAATGTCAAATCGTGACCTTGAATAGTCAATTGGGCAGGGCACACCGAGGCGAAAGAACTTATCATCCTAAATCTGTATCTGTTTCCTGGGGTCATTGTGAAAACTTCCAAAGGAGTATTGGTCATGAAACCTGTGTTGGGGTCTCTGAACTGACCCTTTCCGTTGATCAGTAAACTCTCAGGATCTTGACCGGTGTTCACGGCCAGACGTCCAGGGAACCTTAAGATTAGAAATGTAAGTACGGTTTTACTCTTATATATAGAGGATGAGATACAGGCAAAGCTGGAAAAGTTACTTCTAAAAAGTATCTAGTTTAGGGTGGCCCAAAAAAAAAAGAATATTTTTTTTCTCTTGTCTCTTGTGAAAATATGTTGGTTTGTCATGTTTTAAGAGCCCTGTCAAAAGATCAGCTCCATTAAAAAATTTTTAGGGGTCGCTCAAGATTTTTAAAAATTTCCAAAATCGTCAAAAATTGGATTTTTTTTTATTTTAATTTTTTTTCTCGTTCCGATATTATTTTTTAATTTAAAAATAATAATGATTCTGAAAATTTCAAATCGATATTTTGATTTCTAAAGGTCGCTCAAGATTTTTTTAACTTTCAAAGTAGAGTATTTTGAATGTTTTTGAGCGACCTCTGAATATAAATATCAACGAACTTTTAGCGACTTTTAGAAATCAAAATATTGATTTGAAATTTACAGAATTTTTATTATTTTCAACCAAAAAAATAATATCGAGACGAGAAAAAAAATTAAAATAAAACAAAAATTCAATTTTTGACGATTTTGAAAATTTTAAAAAATCTTGAGCGACCCCTAAAAATTTTTTAATCGAGCTGATAATTTGACAGGGCTCTTACAGCATGATAAACTAACATATTTTTACAAGAGACGAGTAAAAAAAAATATTCTTTTTTTTTTGGGCCACCCTAATCTAGTTACTTTTCCAAGATACTATAAACAAAATAACTTAGTTACCTCGGGTAACTAGATACTTTGAGTCTTTAGTTACAAGATACTTTAGAAAGTGTCTAAGATACTTTTGAGTAACTAAGATACTTTTAAGTAACTAAGATACTTTTGAGTAAGTAAGTTACTTTTAAGTATGAATAAAAACTATAAAATTATAACAATTCAACAACCTACAGGTTAGGTAATTACTTTTAATCTTTCTGGAATTCCCCCAATTTTCTAAGTTGCTTAAATGTATCTTAGTTACTTTACCGAGTAACTTATATACTTTTTAAGATACAAGTTACGAGATACTTTTAAGTAACTAAGATACTTTTGAGTAACTAAGTTACTTTTAAGTATGAATAAAAACTATAAAATTATAACAATTCAACAACCTACAGGTTAGGTAATTACTTTTAATCTTTCTGGAATTCCCCCAATTTTCTAAGTTGCTTAAATGTATCTTAGTTACTTTACCGAGTAACTTATATACTTTTTAAGATACAAGTTACCAGATACTTTATGTCCAATATATGAACTATCCTAGATACTTTAAGTATTTAAGTAACTTTTAAGTATCTTTTTTTTCAATATACTCCCAGCTCTGGATACAGGTTATTTAGTTCATAGAAAAAACTAAATTTCTAATTTTTTTCATCATACCTTTCAGCAGCGTCTTCGTGCATCCAATCGGATAGAAGCATTACATGAGTTGTCAAATCAAAATCATACAAATTGCTGTTGGGATCCTTTGAAGGTGGTTGTCTGACTACAATACTTCCATATAGACCATCCATTTTTTGTAGACCTGTGTGGGCATGCCAAAAGTGGGTACCAGCGTTACCGACCCATTGGTATCTGAAGAAAGATTAAACGGTTAAGATCTAGACCAAAATATGCACCATGATATAAGATGAAATTGTTTAGACGTGAATAATCAAATATACTTTTTAAAGGTTTGCTATAGCAACTACAGTTGTATTAATTGAGATATAAACTGTAATTTTTTATCTACCAATGATAAATCCATTTGCATAAATAATCAGAAATAAATTCCTACAATTATCAATTATCTGAATATTATACATACAACACTTAACAGTTACATAAAGAGTGAAAGTATAAGAATTAATATTATATTTTATGTGTTTATTTGAAATTGCGTGATAAATAAATCTGTCTCAAAATGGGACCCACATTGGCTTTTAAAGTTGACATTCATTAGGAAAATGCTTACACCGACATGTAAAGGAAGCAGTTTCAGTACTTAGTTAACTACATTTTATTTATTGAAAAATTTTAACAAAAATGAAATTTAAGTAAGTAGTTAGTGTCATCACTCTAAAACTTTACAAATGCATTAAAAAACTGAAGGATTTGTTTAAAAAGTTTAAATTAAATTTTTAAAGCTTTGTTTAAAATACATGTTTAAGATTCTTAAATTAAGTAAAACTAAGAACATCGAGCCTTAGTAACGCGTTTGCCCTACATGAAAGCTTGACACTGCCGATACATGCTTTAGCGCATCTTGTGGAAGGTTTTTCTATTCTTTTACAAGAGCCTTGCTCAACTGTGGTACGGTTAGGGTGCAGCAGGACGCTTCCTTATGCGCCTATATATAAAACACACATACTTCCACACAGTGTGGATGTTTGTGATAAAACATATCCCATGCTTACTCTATCGGATTAAGATCTAGACTCACTTTAGGCCACTTCATTACCTGGGTCTCTTGCTTCCTGATGAAGATAAATTTTACAATTATTGTCCTGTTGTTTCGACATTCTGAGCAAAAGAAAGAACATGTTTTTGCAGGATGGTAAAGGACATAAATCCGAACCTGTAAATTTATTGAACGATGGCTTCACTGTAACGTTCTTCACACGGCATTCGCACTTTATGACCAAAGATAATACACCCCATAGATTGGAAACTCTCCCACCACGCTGTGTATTTCGAAACATATTGATGCCTGCTCCGACATTTGCGGCACGAGCGAAGCCTTCGTAGCCCTTGTAGTGTAATATACTATTTCTTACTAACTCGGCCGAAAATACGTTGTTTTGTCCCCGATTCCAATGCATCAAACGTAAATTTGACCAATGCATCAAACGTAAACTTTCTGCCGTGGAATCGGGGACGAAACAACGTATTTTCGGCCGAGGTAGTAAGAAAAATACATTTTTGCGCCTTAAAAGTGATAAAACGTGTTAATGGTTGTGAAATGTATTGTTGTTGGGTGCGGAAATGTAACCAATTTGTAAGTATTGACTATCCTGCCGTCCTAAGCCAAAAAGACTCATCTCATTATTAAATTATTCTCTTAGCAAAAAAGACGCATTTTAACTACATATACATACATTTTTAAGTACTATATCCAAAGATATAGTATCTTTGACTATATCTCCTAAAAATTTCTAATTAAATTGATCGTATCTTATGAAAAAAAAATAAAGCGCTATAATTTATAAAGTAAAAATGTGGAGTTGCGTCTTTTTGGCTAAGCACGGCAGTATCGCTCTAGCGTAAAAATACTGTTTGTTAATTATGGATTATTTAGGATTGCTTGTTTAATGGTAATTTAGTCCAGGCCAAGCCCAGGCTACTTATGGTTGTTTCAAAACCAAGAGTTGGCAAGATGGATTTTTCGCGGTTGGTTAGAAGTCCACACTCAAAAGCCTTGTACAAATTCCTATATGTATATGTATAAGTAGCCTGGACTAAATTACCAAATTTTGCAATATTCTCTTATTATTGAAGAATTAAGACCAATATTTTTTAGGTTTGCACTCCCAAAACAAAAACATATTCATGTATATCGATTATGTATTTAATATGTACATATAGATGTATGTATTTTATTTTATATTACATTATTACTACAATAAATAAATCTTATATTCATACTTGTTTTATTTAAAATACAGCAGTAAATACAATATATAAAGGCACCCTACTAAGCATCAACATTCAAATATGGCGCCAATATATATATATATAATTTACTTTTGCAGCTAGCGCTAGTGCGGTTTCCAATCTATGGAGTGTATTATCTTTGTTTATGACCTCTGGTTAAACAAGGAACTCGCACAAGCCAAGCAATGTCATATTAGCTTTTTTTAATCGACTTTTGACAGTTTGATCAGAAATCTCCACTCCCGGGCATGCCGGTTGCATTCCGAAGAAGGTTTTGTAGCTCTCGGCCAGTGTCAGTGTGCTCACTTGCGTACTACTTGATGTGTTTTTTTTCGTTTACGGTATTGTCCAGCTCTCTTGGATTAGCTACCCGTTGTTTGGTTTCTGTGCCAAAGTCTGCAGATGACGGGTTGACTAGTCTGGAGTTCATTTGCTATGTAAGGCATATAACGTCTATCGGAAAGTAAAGCAACTGCTTTTGCTACTTGGACGTTAAGAGAAAGCATTTTTCATCAGGGATACACCACTATTAAAAACTGACTTGTGCCAAAGACTTTTGCTGCTATTGAAGATACCTAACCATTAAAGTAGGATTAAATTCCTCTCTACTTGTTGGTAAGTAATGTCCAATGTCCATTTATTACAAAAATGTGAGGCTTCTAAACATGCGTCCCGCCAATTTCTTTGAGCAATAGATATACTTTGAAAATCACTTTTATTCGTTACACTTACCTGAAGGTATTTCCTTGTTGGATGGGACATTGTGTCACAAAGGGAACGCCATCATAGTACTGGGTACCTCTTTGGTGGATTCCGTGCCAGTGGATGGTGGATTCCATGCCTTCCATGTGATTTTCCACATCGATTACTACTTTATCGCCTTCGCACACTTGGATGCTAGGACCGGGCAACATTCTGTTGGCAGTCAGGATTCCTCTTTCAACACCATCGGCCAAAACGCACTGACAATTCGACCACACTGTATTTGTTGCGTTTGGTGTGCAGACTTGGCAAGCTCTGAAAAAAGGAGTTTTGTGATAAAATATACATTATGTAACTCAGTCGTAAAATAGGTTAACATTAGTTACAAAATCATTGCAAAAATATTGAAAAAGTATGTGAACTAAGAAATCTTGTATCAAACACTAAGAAATCTTGTATCAATATTTACACATAAGGCTATTAAATTGACCGTATAATATATACACAGTTTTTTTGTAAATATAAAAATTTTAAATGATTTTGCTGATTTAACATGTTTTAAAAAAACTATACATAGTTTTTGTATACAATTTGAATAGTAAATTTATAATTGTCTGCTTTTTGTATAACAGAAAAAACTGTTTTATATTCATATTAAGCAAATGAATTCATGAATAAGGCAAACTAGCTGTTAGGCAGTTTTATATAATCAGTCTTATTTTGTATTTTCCCTTATTTGGATTAAACGTAACAAATATATTGAATACAATTTCCCCTTTTACTGAAATCACAAAGGAATATACTTGGTCGTGCTATTCATATGCAGTGAAACTTGACAAATTGATTTTTAGAAATTTAAAATTATAGTACCTAGTAAGTAATATTACATAAAATATTATTTAATATTTTTTAAATATGTTGGAAGAAAAATAGTGAACCTTTTATGTAATTCGTTTAACGCCATTTTTATATTTGCCCTTTTACTATTTTAAAATGTTAGTAATTTTTTTTCTTACGTTTATCAAACAATTTTTGAGAACGTTTTAAAACTTTTCAATGATCTTGGAGAACTCGCCTAATGTCACAAATGAAGTATATATGCAAAAATAAAAATACGAAGTCAATGAAGCATATATAGGTAAGAAGTAAGAAGAAGTTTTATACCCGAAATTTGTGACACCCAAGTGCATCAGCAATAACAGCGAATGTCAATTAAGAAGGGATCAGACAAAACCAGACAAATCCATTTTGGTGATTTGCAAAAATAAGTCAAAAGCAAAATAATTCTAATAATAAAACTAAATGAGTTTGACCTAAACTTTTATTGAGTTTCATAATTGAGTAGATATTACAGCTCAGGTTCCAGATTTTTAACCGCAATTAATTATTTTTTACAATGTTTTAAAAGTCTAAAACCTATCCTCCGTGACTGTTACTCTTTCTAGTATAACCTATATTTTTCAAATATCTGAGGTAGTAAAAGCATACTAAAAATATCAGTTCACTAAGTAAATTAAACACATCCAAAGCAATCGAATCAAATATAAAATATTATTAAAAATTTAAAGAAATAATTTTTATAACCATTTATGTAGATGTTACAAAAATTGATTCTATCCTCCGTTAATCTGTTTTTGCTTTAAGTTTTATGCAACGGATAGCGCTTTAATAATTTTAAATGAGCAAAAACCTCTGTTTACGACATTATAGATGCAGGTGATTCCTGAAGGTCAGTTAGAATTTATATGCAGATGAGAGTGTTGCTGTTTTATAATTCAAAAGTTTAAGTTCATTAATTTGCTATTTAAAAACCTATCCACCGTAAAGTGTAATATCTCAGTAAGTAGATTTTTTTAATAAATATTTTGTACAATTGTATTTAAAAAAATATTAAGGTGTCAAAAGATACAATAACTTATTTCAAATATACAAAGGGATGTTTAAAAAAACATACAAAATCCTAACCTCCGTGAAGCTATCTTCCGTGAAGCTGTAATATTGAAAATGTATGATTTCTTAAAATTCTCGCAGAACCACTTAGGTTATGTTATTACTAGACCTGACGGCTTCCCAAAAACCCCATTCTAGACTTACAGTGAAACAACCAAAAATAAAAAATAATCATTTTTACTTGGGGGACATCTCAATATATTCACCCTTGTATAAACATTATGTTTTTTTTTATTCACGTCATATCTACCATAGCATCGTTTCCGAAGAGTCAACCTACATTTAAAAAAACTAGGAAATCAACATTAAAATTGTTGCCAATTTCTGATAGCCGGTTTTTTGCTCCCAACTAAAAAACCGGTATTTATTGGTACAAATAAAACAGCAAATAAAATTAATTTTCGTCTCATTTTTACTGTGACGGTAATCGACAAACTGGAGCATGACATGTAAAATCTATGAAATTTTAATGTACAAAAAATCCTTTTAAAATGGCCAAAAACCTAAAAATGTTTATTAAATAAAGAGTGCATTATTATTTTCTCTGACGATTATAATTATAGGAGCATGTAATATTTATATTTGAAAACATTCATTTTACATAAAATATAGTACGTATAAATTAGAAATAATTATGTAACACAATACCTTTATTAGCTCTTTGGGAAATAACATTTTTATTACTTTTAATTTAAGTCTACGGTAAAGTTTTTAACTAGCCCCAAGGTGCCGAAAATAGGAATATAACCTTATGGAGAATTATACTTATTTAAACACATTCAATGATTTCCCTGATTTTGTAACAATCTTAACTCAATTAAGCTTAAGACAGGCTTACGGTTGAACAAGTGCAGTTGAACACATGAATGCGTATTAAGTTAACAAAGGCTGAGCCGCCATTGTCCTAATACTAAGCTAATTCATTTGTCACGCCTCTTAACAACGAATCAACGCGTTAAGTTGTGTATGTCAATGAACGTGATTTTACATTTAACATGCCTATTCACGATGATCTAGATACATCCGAGTGCTGGTTTATTTATTGGCGGACAACACGAATTTTAAGTCGCGCGGTTTCTAATACGATGATTTTATTGGTTGTAGTCTTTAACTGCTCCTTAATAAAATGGTGATATTAAAATTTAGTTTCCTCGGTGCTAAACCATTTTATATACATGTTTCACAAGAATAAATATGCATACTTAAATCTGATTTTTCTTAAGGCAGATAGAAAAGTCATGCTGTTTTATTACATATAATTTATACGAAAAAATGAAAAAAAAATTCTTTACTTTCTTGCAACAGCTTTTATTTATTAAATTTGAAAATATTAAAATTCAATAAATTAAAAATCCAAGCCTATAATTTGAATACCTACCATTAATTAAAGGTGTCAAAAATGGATTTTCAAACTTAAAAACAGTTAAATTTCTTTTTCTACGCATTAAACTTTTGTTCAGCTAATAAATAGCATTTATAATGAGAATTTATAATGTATGGCCTTAACATGGTTTTCCATAATAATTTCTAATTGTTGGAATAAACAAACAATAAATATTTGTAAAAATTATTATTAATCCCGGCGCATTCGCCATTTGTGCAAAATGCAAATTTAAGAATTTTACATTTACATTCTGGTTGCCACACTGTACCAAATTATAAAGAAAAGTTTAAGCGCGATCTGTCAATCAGTGTGGTTACAGCACTTGTTTATGTTGGTACTGCTCAAGAGGGTTCTGGTTTTTTTTAAATGAACACATTTTTGAATCAGACTTTGCTTTACATTTTTTGTTGCAAACGATATTTCCTATGCTAAATCGTTGTAGAAGTTTTGTTTAGTCGTGTTTTGGTTAATCGTGTTATATTAATTTCACTGTTATAAAAGTCAGATTTGTAAACATGAGTTTGTAGTTTGTTAATTTTATTTTGTAAGATTTTAACATATTTTTTTTTGTAGAAAACCAGGGTTTGTAATTATTTTAACAAAGAAAAATATTTAACCAAAAGTTTTGTAAACGACATTTCTTATTAAAATTTAAGTTCTCAATTTCCAACAAATACTTTTGTTACTGGGTCTACAAGAAAGTTTGTAAAAATAAGGTCCTTTTTGAAAATTACATAATTCACAATAATTGTGAAAAAAACATTTGTAAATTTAATAACAAAATATTTCAACCATAATTATTATGGTTGAAATATTTTGTTATTAAATTTACAAATGTTTTTTATTATTACAAACTATAGTATACTTATTTAATTTAACAGATTACAGTTGGTTGTAAACTTAAAATAAAGTTATGTGGACCTGAATTAACACACAATCTGGGTAATATTTTGTTTAAATTAATAATTTTTTTTTACACTGTTATAGAGGTAAAAATGGTACTGAAAGATTGTCATACAAGTTTCAAAGTGATGGCCCTTGACCTTAACGTTTTATACGTTCATTATTATTTGTAATTTGGTCGTTTAGCTTGTTTCTATAAAGCTGTATTGACTGAATTTTTTAAGACAAATTTATGGAATGTTTTTTTAAGAAACAAAATATCATTTAATTTCATTTATGAAACTGTTGGACTACTTTACTTAATAAAAGAAATTTATTATTTTATCTCAATATTTTTGTGACATAAGAAAGTGACTTGATTTTGAACCAACACAAAGAGACAGTTACAGGGCACGCCTTTATTACACCTACATATTTAGTACACCTTGTTATAATTAATAATTATAATAATCTCATTAATTGGCGATAGATGTAATCAAAATAAATTTCATAAGCATTTCACTGCTCGTGTTGCAGACTTATTATCGTACGCTTTCATTTTTGCCGGAACTATGTAAAACATCTGCATGATAAAAATTAGGCAAATTAGTTAATATGGTTTTTTACGTTGCTAAATTTAATTTATTTTTACTTGCAAGGTGTTTTTTTTCAAGAAATCACCCAATTTTTTGTTCTGGTGTTAAAGAATAAGAAAATTTTAATATGTCCACATGGAGAAAAGTGAATTTTTAAATTTAGTACCTACTTATTGCTATAACTTTGGCAGAAGTTACTTAAAACTCCTATTGAGTATTGATTATTAACAGTTATAATATTTTATATCTTATCTTGTGCGTTTTTTTGCTTATCGTTTAATTCTATTAAATTAATTAATTATTTAATTGTATATATTTATTGGTATGTTTAATATAGTTATTAATTATTTTTATTAAAGTCTTGCTTTATTTACACCGATAAAAATAATGTAGTTGAGTTAACATTTATAAATGTTCATGACATTCAGGTATACCTGAATGTCATTTTTGAAAATGTTGTTTCATCAAAAAACCTATTATATATTGGATTAATCTATATTTTG